AACTTTCTAGTGAAAGCTAACTTCACAGTCTTCAGACTCATCTCGAACACACTGAAACATGCAACGAGAATCGCTAATGGAATTAGTGATCAAATGCGTTAGATAAGAACAGCAAAATGAGCAAATCATACGTAACAGAACAGATAACACGTACGTCACCGCACGTACGTACGTGATACACGCTTTCTACGCATAGCGTGTTAATATTCTAGTACAGATTACAAGACTGACAGGGCCAGCGAACCAGAAGAAACCGACAAAAACCAATTTTATATCAGGGAAAGCCCGTAGATCGAGAACTTGCCCGGATAATATTCATTTCTTTTAAAACAACTAACGGCGGAATGGGCAGAGGTTTCAGGAAGATTTTCGTTTCTTTCTTATGTTGGCCTCTTTGTGATGTGCAGGCAGGCGAGGCTGCCTGCCCTTCTTTCCGGCGCGAAATTGTTGACGTTTTGTAAATGTTAATAATACTGTAGCCGCTAGATGTCAGATGAAATGGCACCTCAGAGTCTGGTGTACGGAAAAGCCATCTTGCTATAAGCCTACCAAAGGACAATGAGCGCGGCATAAGGAAATGAACAGTACCACCAAAAATTGTTGTGAAAGCGCTGGTTTTCCTTGCCAACTGGAACCGACTGGCTTATCAAGTAAGGACGGAAAAATGCCCGACGGGATGACGCTGGTACCTGTTCGCCAAGGAAAACCGCTGGCGTGGGATGTTGTAACCAGGTGGTGTACAGTCGCGACTCTCATGTCGCCGACAGCTCGAGGAAACCCGGAAGCGTGGCCCAGCTAGCAGAAAGTTCCAAACGCCGAACATATTCGTATCAGATGGCGCTGGTTAAGCGCGCATCGTCCATCGACGGAGGAGCAAAACGAACCCGGATGTAGGCTTTAATGCCGAAATCTGAACACACACCGCGCTTGCGCGCGCAAGCCAAAAACCAACTGGTCTCTGTAGGCAGCGCAGCTGCCTTATAGAGCCATCAAAACGCATGCAAATGCCCAGACAGGAAAAAACCCAAAACCAACCAATGAGAGAAGGGCTGAATCATAAGCCCGCCCTGACATTCGTTTTTGGAAAATGGATACCTTTTTCATCCCTTAGTGATTGAGACGCTGGGAGTGTTTGGCCCCGCTCTAAGTTAACTGCTGCATTTTATGAGCCGTAAAAGCCGAGACCTAACTGGAGAAGCGCGTTCTGCTTGTCTTAAGCAGCGTTTTAGTCCGGCCGTTGTGGAAGGAAATGCTACGGCTGTCTTGAGCCCGTTACCTTTTATCCCCAGAGAAGACAGGGGTTTTGGTTGTTTTTTCAATGTTTAAATTTTAACGATCAAGTAGTGTACCGGCGTTTGCAATCATTAGTCTCAGTCAATCCTCAACTCTCTGCACGGGCTGGCAACCCCGTGGAGAAGGGGAGTGTTTAAAGCAGCGAATTAGAAGACGTCTCTCAACTCACGTTGAAAACGAAGATTGAGTGCGTTTTCGAAGTTTTCGCGCATTGCGCGGTTAGAGTTCTTCGTTTGCGGAGTATTTAACATAGGTTTAAAAGAATCATCAGTTGGTCTGCCAACATTTCATTTGATAAATTTTAAGACCGTATTGCGTACAAATTTGCGCGAAAGGATGAGAACAACATAAAAAATAACTTTTGAAAAGTCACTTTTTTGGATAGCTGAGATAAGCTGGAAATGGATGAAAAATAAATTTGTACTTGCCAAATGACGTCAGAAGTAAAAATAAAAGTTTGTTTGATCACTTTGGTCGGGGTGCGTCCACGGTGAAGCTACACCAGCTAGTTAGCTGGTCTACGCCGTAGATCGTATTGTAGTTGCAACTCCGTGGAGCACAGCGACTAATCACGGCGCAAGGCGGGGCCAGTGAGCTCCACGGAGTTGCAAACCCGTGCAGAGAGTTGAGAATTGACTGAGACTATTGTTATCTTGGTGGCTATTGCCAATTAAAGGATCAAACGATCAATTAATCAATAAAAGGCTGAATATATCAGTACAGTACAGCGCATATTTGCGCACTATTTGTATGCTACGAGACGAGTAGCAAACGAAGCGAAAGCGGCCATTTTGCCGTAAGGTAAGGCTGATGCCGGAATCAAAGTAAGCGGCGCTAGTCGCGCGATGCCTGTTACTCCGGCCTCCTGTCTTCTGACCGGCTGCACGTGCATCTGCATGGTTATCAGTCTGTCTAGCGGACGCCCAACGGCTACGAATTCAGACTGGTCGGATTTGGTTTGGCCGTTGGCACGCCGTTATGAAAATTGCACAATGCGTGTTATTAATCGTTTACATGTTTTTAATTGTCGTTTTGTTGTTCCTATTGTTGTTGTTGTTAATCGTTTAGTGGTGTTGTGTTGTTTTCTGACTTGATTTTTCATTTTTTTAATGCGGCCGTCGGCCAACAAATAAGGTTGTGCGAAGCGCCTCGTCAGTCAGAATCTGGTAATTAGGTCTGTGATCCCATCGATCGAGAATCTCGTTGCTGTCTGAACGGGACTTGTGCGCGCATTGGTCCCAGCAACTGGAGAAATTTCTTCTCAAAGCGCAGGTGCGTTATCATGGCCGAATTGGCGGGAGCGAGATTAGGAATCCAGGAATAAAAAAAACGGTAAAGAGATTTATTAGAGAACCTTGCTGTAAAAACTGTTAAACATTTCAATTTATTTGTAATTAAACTGGTCCCATTAGCGCCTACGCAAGGCTCGGAGTCAAAATACACAGCGTAAGCTAGGTTCTGCGCGAAGCCAACGGGCAGCGACCGATGGAGAAAATTTAAAATTCCTTTTAAAAAAAGTAGAAATAATTCCAAATCTCTGGAGAAACTTAACTGCCAGAAGCGATGCTGTCTCATGTTAAAAGTTATTGGAAAAAATAATTTTCGTATGAAGCCGACGTTAGAAATTTTATAAAATAAAAGTAAATTTCCGTTGAAGCACTTTTTGCAACATGATTATGATCTATTAGTAAAATCACATAAAGGTTTAAATGTGTAATTGCATGCCATTACTTCGGTCGGATGTTTTTAAACTCATTTGATAGATGCGCGTGGGAAAAGAACAGCCCGTACCGCCCTCTCCGGGTGCCGGCCGCTTGGTCCCCACGGAGCCGCCGCAACCGCAACTAGACCTTGACAAAGGTAAAGGTAAAGTTGTAAAAGGCAAAGTGAAACGGCAAAGGGGCGGCAAAGGTAAAGTAGGCCGACCCCCGCAACCAGAGGACTGTTCGCTGCTGCCGCTGTTCAAAGATGCCATCCGGCGCATCAAAACCCTTAAGCAGCGACCGGATATCGACCGTATGCTGCAGACACTTCGAACACACTACGCGGTGCACGGTGCACAAGCTGACAAGGAGGTACGCCGGCAGCTGGACCTGGCCGTCAGCAGTGGCCACCTGCTCATCGTCTACACCAACGGCCTGCAGTGCTACAAAGACCCCGACAGTTTGCGGGACCTGCGCACTTACGACCTCGACACCAACGGCACCCGTGGCAACAAGCAGTCAAAGAGCTCCATTTGGGGCCGAGTGATGCGGGCGGTGAAGGTCGCCGTGCGGGAGATGGGCCATCCGCGGGGATCGTCACTGGAGGAAATTGAGCACTACGTCCGTTTGTCATTTACGTAAGTAGCAGGAGCGCTGTGACGGTGTTGAAGGGTGAAGTTATACATAATTAACTCTGCGTGAATGAATTACCGTACTTTGCACAAATGTTGTCTCCACTGGTTAGCGCATTGCTGTGCATGCAAACCGAGCCGTTTTCGCGAATAAAGCAGTCGCAAACTACGGCTGCGTTTTCTTATGGTTTGGAGTATAAATATTCCAAACAGCAATCAAATTAATTTTATTTATTCGTATTTCAGAAATTTCAAAAAAACTTTAAAAGCCTGACTGCTATTTAAAGCGATTCACAAAGCAATCCGTTTTAATCTATCTGTACACCTTATTTTTTAAGCAAAAAAATGCGAAAAATTATGTAACAAGCCAAAACTGAGGCGCGCTGCTAAGCCACCTGAAAAAGCAAAGCTGCGTGCGCTCCGGAGCCTCGGGTCTGCCAATGAACCAATCGGTGCATTTTCCTAGCATGCTGGTTGTGGGAAGTGACCCATACATAGCACAAGATGCGTGTACGTACTTTCACGCGAATTTTCGTTTTCTCGCACTCCCAAAAATTTTTTTTTTGTTTTTATGCTATTCTGTGCCACATGATTTGTACACACGGACATTAAGACCATTCGTGCGCGGCACATCTGGCTGGGAAGTTATGAGCGAAATGAAATTCCAGAACGTTGATCTTTGGAAGTTGTACCAAAAGTCTGATTATCAACCGATCTGCTTAAAATTTTGGATGTAAACACACATTAGAACGAAGATCGTTCTTACACCGAACCCAAGATTGCAGCACTTTTTTGAAAATTTAAATGAATTTCAAATAAAATGCAATTTATAATTTGAAAAAAATTAAAGGAATGTAGTTCCGTGTTTGAACGATTTTTTCACTGGTGCGCATCTACATGTACGTGGAAGATTTGAAGAAAGTCGATTTATAATGAGTCTTTTGGTACATCCCAAAAGTTTAAACGTTTTAAAAATTTATTTCGCCCATAACTTCCCAAGGGGATGCTAAGCTCACAAATGGATTTTGCGGATTACAAAGTATAATCGACCAGGACGCCATATTGGCTTTATCTTTAGCTTGATCAGCACAATATTTTCTGGTTTCGCTTTGGGGTTTCTTAAGTTATAGTGCTTGCCTAAAACTGTAAAGTCTTTAATACCACTTCTCGCTAGCGCGCTGCATGACTGACTGATCTTACAGTCATAACAAAACAACAACAACAATCCGTTGCCATGGCGTATACCACAGTCGTCCCCCAGTTAATGAGTAGACGAATTAACTATTTTCCGTCAGAGAAAAGACTTTACAGTGGTATTAAAGACTTTACAGTGGCGTGAAGATTCGAGTGAATAGTGTAATACTAACTAATCATGCCTACTACCGACTCGACCACATCCACAGTGTCCGCGGCTGCTGCCCTCCCTTTCCAGAACGTCCAACATGGGATCACCAAGTTTGACCCTGATATCATGGACTGGACCAGCTGGAAGGTCAGGTATAAGAACTATATCAAGCTGATGGACGTTCCCAGCGTCAAACATCGCGAGTTACTCATAGACTCGCTGGAGACGAAGGCTTTTCAGATCCTGATCTCTATGTGTCGCCCGCAAGAGCCACAAGAACTGACGCAGGACGATCTCCTGGCAAAGCTCGACGTGGCGTACACCCGTTATACATACAAAATAACGGAGTGGGCAAACTTCTGGGTGTCCCGCCAGAAATCGGGCCAGTCACTGGTGGAATTTGCGAACGCTTTGCGGGACCGCATAATCACGTGCAACTTCCCGGCGACCATCCTGGACGACCTGCTCAGTTCCGTGTTTGTTGCGGGGGTAGAAAGTGACACTACCCGCCGTCACCTGATGTCTCAGGAACTGGACTCGTTTGACAAGACGCTGAACACAGCACGGAAGTTTGAGACGGGCCAACAGGAAGCAAAGCGCAACAATAACCTGGTGCATGAGTACGTGAAGCAGACCACGACCGCCAGGCCGTTTCAGCAAGGCCGAAAACCGTTCCGGAAGGACGACCGCCGACCGAAAAACAGTAAACCGGAGCCACGGAATGGCGGATGTGCCGGTTGTGGTGGAGGCCACGTTCGCGCAGAATGCCCACATCTGAGCACCGTTTGTCGAAAGTGCGGCAAGAAAGGTCACCTGGCAAAGGTGTGCCGCTCGGCCGGGGATACCAAGCCAGTCAATCAGCAGCGACGCACCAACTACGTGGAGGAATCCTACGACGTACTGCACACGTCCACAGGACAGAATTCCGAGTCGTTCTTGGTGCCGCTATCGATCGACGGACACAGCGCCACGTTGGAGTTCGACACTGGTTCACCGGTGACCATTGTCAGCGCGGATACGTGGGCTGCCATCGGATCACCACCGCTGGAGTCTACACCCGTAACCGTGCGCAGCTTCACTGGCCATAGCATTCCGTTGCGGGGATCGACGCTGGTGGAAGTGCGGTGCGCGGACGGACCCGCGAGAAGACTGCGTGCACTGGTTTCCGACCGAGGCTGCAACATTTTGGGCAGGGACTGGATCCACAACCTCGGCATGCACCAGATGTCTCTGGAAACACTCCGAATGCTGCAGGTCAACGCTGTCACCGTGCCGGCGGCATCACCGGAAGTGGCGGTTATACTGCAGCGACACGCGAATGTATTTCGCGACGAACTCGGTTGCTGCAAGGACTTCGAGGCGCACTTGTACCTTAAACCGGACACTCGACCGCGTTTCTGCAAAGCCCGGACAGTCCCGTTCGCCCTGCGCGAGGCCGTCGAGAAGGAGCTGGAGCGACTGCAGTTCCTTGGCGTCATCAGTCCTGTCGATCACGCCGTATGGGCGGCTCCTATCGTGTCCGTGCTGAAAAAGGTCACCGGCGATGTGCGCACCTGCGCTGACCTGAGCACAGGTCTCAATGATGCATTGGACCTGCACCGTTATCCGCTGCCGCATCCAGACGAGCTCTTCGCTGCACTGAACGGCGGCACGCGTTTCTCGAAAATCGACCTCAAGGACGCGTACATGCAGATTCCACTGGATGAAGAGAGCCGTCGCCTTGTGGTAATCAATACGCACAAGGGGCTTTTCCAGTACAATCGCCTGCCCTTTGGTGTCGCGTCAGCGCCGTCCATCTTCCAACAAAAGATGGAAATAGTCCTTCAAGGTTGTTCCGGTTACGCGGTCTTCCTCGACGACATCATTGTGAAGGGGAAAAACGAAACGGAACACAACCGCAACCTGGACGGTGTACTAGAACGGCTGGATGCGAACGGGTTTACTGTCAAGATGTCAAAGTGTCAGTTCAATGTCGAATCAGTCGAATACCTGGGCTTCATCATTGACAAAGATGGCCGTCATATCGCATCTAGCAAAACGGAAGCGATCATCAAGATGCCTGCACCGCAGAATATCGGCCAGATCCGCTCATTTCTGGGCATGATGAACCACTACGCACGGTTCATACCGAATCTGTCGGACCGATGCGGTATCTTCTACGATCTGCTGAAGAAGGAACGCGAGTGGAATTGGGACGCACAGTGCCAGCAGCGGTTTGAAGAGCTGAAGGAAGCGCTGTCAAACGCCACGTACCTGACGCATTTCGATCCCAGCCTTCCGCTCATCCTGGCCGCAGATGCTTCGCCGACCGGAGTGGGCGCGGTACTGACACACCGCTATCCGGATGACACCGAGCGGCCGATCGCCCATGTGTCCAAGACGCTGACATCTGCCGAGCAAAACTACGGGCAAATCGAGAAGGAAGCCCTGGCTCTCGTGTACGGCGTTAGCAAGTTCCAGCAGTACCTGGCCGGGCGGGAATTCACGCTTCTAACCGATCACAAACCACTTGTGACGATATTCGGCAGCAAGCGTGGCATTCCAGCAGTAACCGCCAACCGACTCCAGCGATGGGCCATAATACTCATGGGATATCAATTCACCATTGAGTACCGGAAAACCGAAGAGTTTGGCCAAGCTGACGGCCTGAGCAGGCTGCCATTGCATTCTGCCGACCTATTCGACACGAAAGATATGGGCATCGGCGGTACCGTATACGCACTGCAAATAGAGACGCTTAACCGTCTACCTGTCACCGCCGAATCGGTTGCTGCAGCTACTGCCAAGGACAAGGTGCTGGCGGAAGTGGCACGGTTTGTGCAGATCGGATGGCCCAACCGGGTGGACGAGCAACATCTGCCATACCACAGGCGCAGGCTGGAGATGAGCGTCGTGAACGGCTGCATCCTGGTCGGATTACGCACCGTCATTCCACCGCCACTGCGCAGCCAGCTGCTGCAGTACCTGCACGAGACGCATGCTGGAATCGTGCGAATGAAGGCGGAAGCACGGGGACACATGTGGTGGCCAAACATCGACAGCGATATCGAAGAGCTGGCTTCGAACTGTCGCATGTGCTCGATGAACGCGAAGAACACCGCCAAAGTGCCACTGCAGCAGTGGACGGCCAGTGAACATCCGTGGAAACGCCTCCACATCGACTTCGCTGGCCCAGTGAAAGGGGAAATGTACTTCCTGGTGGTGGACGCCCATTCAAAGTGGTTTGAAGTGATCCACATGCGCAGCACCACGGTGGAGCAGGTCATCGATGCGCTATCAAACCTTTTCTGTCGATACGGACTGTGTGAAGAAATCGTATCCGACAACGGGCCACAGTTTACCGCCGACAAGTTCAAGGAGTTCTGCCAGATCAACGGCATACGACATACTACCACCGCTCCGTACCATCCACAGTCAAACGGGCAAGCGGAAAGGTACGTTGACACGTTTAAACGAGCCCTGAAGAAAGCGGCCGACAGCGGTGGTGACGAGCGGAATGCGATTCGGCTATTCCTCTACCGATATCGCACAACTCCACATGCGACACTGGCATCGCTCCCGGAGAACTTTTCCTTAAAAGGAAGATGCGCACCGTGCTGGATCTGCTAAATCCATCGTATTCCAACAAAACAGAAAGGTCACGGCAGACCCAAAAGCAGAATTTTGACCGTCATACTACGGAAAAGGCATTCCACCCTGACCAACTTGTCCTGGCGAAAGATTTCCGTCGCAATGCGCAGACGAAATGGGTGCCCGGACAGCTATTACGTCGGAAAGGTCACACTGATTGGGAAGTGCAAGTGGGTGAGGAAATTTGGCATCGCCATGCGAATCAGTTAAGGAAGCGCGGTTGGAAAGATGATGAGTTGGAGGATGTCACGCCCGCAGTGCAACATCCTGATAATGTGCGTCAACGCAGTGTTGCAGAACCACCGCAGGAGTTACCACGCATGAACGCACGTAGCCAGTCAGTGGATGGTTCCTCCCAGACAAGAAACGAGACCCGAAGTAGCGAAAGTCAGACTACCGAAAAACCAGCGGAAATTCAACCTCTTAGAAGTTCTGCTAGATCTAACTTCGGTGTAGCACCAAATCGCTATGGTTGGTTCTCTGACGGAAAATAGTTAATTCGTCTACTCATTAACTGGGGGACGACTGTGGTATACGCCATGGCAACGGATTGTTGTTGTTGTTTTGTTATGACTGTAAGATCAGTCAGTCATGCAGCGCGCTAGCGAGAAGTGGTATTAAAGACTTTACAAAAACGGTGCACGATTCAGCTGGGATTTGTTTGTAGCGTGGGCACTTACCCGCTGGGAGAGCTGATAGGCCAGGCCTTGGCGTACCTGGTTCGTAAGGGCCAACTCGTCAAGACCTCTGCACAGCGCTACCGACACTGCTCATTGCCAAGTGTCCGATTGTCGAAACAGTTGAACGATTCCTCCGAGAGCCTGGCCACACTCAGCACAACCATTGCGCCACCGCTATCCGATCCCGCCCCACCGACCACCGCGCCGCCCAGCGTCGTCTTGCCCGCATTGGTTAAGCGCAAGCGCGGCCGTCCCAAGAAGTTTATCCCACCGCCGGCCTCCGCCCGACCATCTACGACCATATCTGAACCAGCGCCGCTCAAGCGCAAACGCGGCCGTCCCAACAAATTCATCCCGCCGCCGGCCTCCGCCCGACCATCTACCATCTGTGACACCATCTCGTCCGCACCACCACCTCCCGTGGAAGAGAGGCCGGTGTTGGGCCTCCCCAGGCGCATCTAGCTATCATCTCCCGTACATATGGTTCCGGTGTTTGGACCGCCAGCGTCGTTATATCCACGCCGATCAAACGGAAACGCGGTCGTCTCAGGCGCATCATCCTATCACCTCCCGCAGTGATGGTTCCGGTGCTGATACCACCACCCGTCGTCATGCCCAAGCCAATTAAACGCAGACGCTTCCGTCTCAGGCGCTTCCTCACCCCCTCCGCATCGCCACCTCCCGTGGAGACCGTTCCGGTGCTGGGACCGCCCAGCGTCGTAATGCCCACACAAATCAAGCGGAAACGCGGCCGTCCCAAGCGCATCCTCACCCCGTCCGCACCGCCACCCGTGGAAATGGCTTCGGTGATGCGATCGCCCAGCGTCGTCATGCCCGGGCCGATTGAACTCAGACACGGCCGTCCCAAGCGCTTCCTTCCCAACACCCCGTCGGCATCGCCACCTCCCGTGAAGATGGCCCCGGTGCTGAGACCGCCAAGCGTCGTATGTCCACGCCGATTAAACGCAAACGCGGCCGTCCCAAGCGCTTCCCCATCCCGCCCGCACAACCTCCCGTGGAAATGGTTCCAGTGCTGGGATCGCCCAGCGTCGTTACGTCCCCGCCCATGAAGCGGAAAGCCGGCCGCCCCAAGCGCTTCCTTACCCCGTCCGCGTCGCCACCTCCCGTGGAGATGGTTCCGGTGTTGAGACTGCCCAGCGTCGTTCTGCCCGCGCTGAAACAGCGGAAGCGCGGCCGTCCCAAGCGCGCTCTCATCCCGTCCGCACCACCACCCGTGGAAATGGTTTCACTACTGAGACCGCCCAGTGTCCCCGTGGAAACGGTTTCACTGCTGAGACCACCCGGCGTCGTAATGCCCACGCAAATCAAGCGGAAACGCGGCCGTCCCAAGCGTTTTCCCACCCCTTCCGCATCGCCACCTCCCGTGGAAATGGTTTCACTGCCGCGACCGCCCAGCGTCGTCAAATCTGCGCCGATCAAGCGGGAACGCGGTTGGCCTGAGCGCGCCCTCATCCCGTCCGCTGCAGCACCTCCCGTGAAAATAGCGCCGGTGTCGGTCAACCGTGCTGTCCAACGACGCTACACGAATTATGAATGCGCGGCGTGTAATTCCCTCACCCTCTGCAAACCGGCGCTGCTGCAGCACATCACCAGTCAGGAGCACCGCGAAAAGGTCACCAGCACGATGGTGAAACACGAGCCGCTTCCTCACCAAGGACGTGGGGAAGATGACGCAGCATCTGCAGCGGCACAGCTGCCATGAGCGCAAATCAGTTTCCTCCTGCTTGCTGCCCCGCAGGGCATTTGACCATCTGGTGGCTGAATAGCGATATTGTTAGGAACTTCGCAGTTTGGTTGTTGGTTCTTGGGTTTTGCCTTATATTACTGATGACATTGACCTTGTGTTTTTTGCCTCTTGACAACTGAATCCGAGTTAACTATCGCGAGTTGAGTTAACTGCCGTATCCTTTTTTATTTTTTAATTTATTTATTTTCTATTTACTTATTTATCTTACTGTTTACTGGCCAATAGCCGCCAAAACAACAAAAAGTGCAAGCGCGGGCAAACTGCTTTATAGTTAAAATGAAAATCACTTCAAAATCACATTGACAGTGGTTAAACTCAAAATCACGCAGTAATCATCATTTCAACACATAGTACACTTCATCCAGTCTATTGTTCGTTTATTGTTTATTGTACGGCAGGCAGGTAACCCATTGAAAGCTAGGATCGAATCTAGCGTGGGAATTTAAACCTAGCTAAATGACAGACAACAGTATGAAAGCCATTAATACAAGAGAATTACTAAGAAAGGAAGGCAGTCAGGCAATGGTAACATGCTTCAGTGCATTACGAAAAACAGCAAGCGAACTGCTACAAAGAATGTCGTTTCCGGCTTCGGTTAGTCGGTTTCTGATGTTGTTCAGTCTCCACGCCAACGTAGACTTCCCCGTCCTTGTGGCCGCGTCCGCTTCGATGAAGGTCCTGTTTCCGCTTCGAAGACTGTACGGTTTCGATTGTTGCTTTATGACGATCATTTCGGTGAGGTAACGGGGCACTTGGAACTTCTCCGGGTGCAGAATTTTGTAAAGCCATGTTGCTTCCTGGTGTTTCCATCGTTCAGACAGTGGCGTAATCCCGTATTGTTTCATCAGGCTGGTGGCAGATACTTCGGCATAGTTAGCGATAGCTCGAATAGCTTTACTTTGCGCAACAGCCAGCGGCACTAGCATGGACGCAGGCGCACCGCTCCACACAGTGAAGCAACGGTCCAGGTGAGACTGGACAAATGCGTGATAAAGTCCAACGCGTTGGGGCAGCGGCAGTCCGCTCTTAACACTGTTTATGAGAGCGATTCCATGGTAAGCACTTTTTTGGACCTTTTTAATTTGGTCAGTCCATTTCAAATTATCACTCCCAAGTGTTTGACTGACTTTTCCGGTTCAAGCTTATGCCCGTTCAAATCAACCGACACGATACTCTTATCACGACTGTACGCAGAAGTGACCATTAGCAGTTTCGACTTTTTTTCGTTGACAAACAAACGGTTCAAATGAAGCCACTCGCATATTATTGGGAGTACTGCAGTTATTTTGTCTGCTGCTTCCGACTTCGTGTCTGCTATCGCGTAGCAGATCGTATCATCAGCAAAACTTTCTAATTGCACATCTGGGCAATGAAATTCGATTTTCAGCAGCTCGTTTAAATAAATTATGAAAAGTAAAGGACCAAGAATCGAACCCTGTGGTACACCTGTGAAAACGCGTTCCCATTCTGACCACCGTTCTCCGATACGTACACGCTGCATTCTGCCAGTAAGTTATGAGTGCATCCATGTAAGCGCGTCTTTGCTAAACCCCAACTCACGCAGCTTCGTTAGCAATAATTCATGACACACCGAAGGAAAAGCACTTTTTAAATCGAGAAAGACACAAGCAACAGCTTTTCTGGAGTCCACAGCCTTCTTCCATGTTTCCGTTACTTTTAAAAGCAACGTTTCCACGAATGACCGTTACGAAAACCAGACTGATTTTGGGACAAAATGTCAAAACGTTTCAAGAATTTGGCGATTTGTAACTGAGCAACTTTTTCAAATACTTTCGACAAATTACATAACAATGATATCGGCCGCAGTTGATCTGCCGATTTTGGTTGAGCGCACTTGGGCAGAGCTATCACATCCGCCTTTTTGAAAATATCTGGAAAGATATTTTTCTTAAAGCACTGATTAATCAAGTGCGTCATGGGTTCGATCAATAAAGGAAATATTTCGTGCAAGAGTTTATGTAGGATGCCGTTAGGCCCTGCGCATTTTCTCTTGCTCAGTATGCTGGAAAAAGCTTCCGCTACGGTAACAGCAGTTACTTGCTCGAATTCAAACACCGGTGACGTAGGTTCTGTAGGAACAGGAATAACCGCCGGCGGGTGCCGACTGCCATGTTCGCCCATTTTAGCAAACTCGCGGTTCAAATCATTGGGATCAATATTCGGTACAACGTTCGGTTTGTTTCGGTTCAACATTCGGTTCATTTCCCGCCAAATAACCGCACCATTTTTGGCATTCCGATCGAAATACTGTCTTTTAGCTTCTTTAATGTTAAGAATTACATCACGTTTCAAACGTTTAAATTGACGATTATTACCCTCGTAGTCGAGGGTATTTTTCGACAACTTTTTACGTTTGTATGCGAGATCTTTTTCTTTAAGAAGCTTTTTAATTTTTTCGTTCATCCAAGGAGCACTTTTTTGGGAAACCCGCTTAGAACGCATAGGAAAACATTCATCAACAATTTTGAACAAAGAGCAAACAAAATTCGTGACTTCAGCATCAAAGTCGTTGTAATTGACATAGTTAACATAACGTCGAGTAAGCTCAGAAACTTTGCTTTTAAAATCGTCCATGCTCGTATTCTTCCAGTCTCGAAAAGTTACCGAGTGGTGTTGCGGCTTCTTTACAGGAAAAGCTGCGACCGTTTTACATATTCTGTGATCAGAGATATCGATGTCTGTTGGAAGACACGGCAAGTATGCACTAGCTAGTCGGCATAACATATAGTCAATCTTCGACTGGGATACTTTCAGGATATCTTCGACTGGGATACTTTCACTTTCAGGATATTTTCTTCAAGTACAAAACGTTTCTGCCAGTACAAAACGTTTCCTGAACACACGCAGCGTTACCTCGCATTAAAGCAACACTGATTCTCTGCTTCAGAAACTGAGTGGACCGTTTCTCCTGTGTCCTCTCAAAAAGCATCTTACCGAGTGTTTATGTTGACGCACTTGGTGTGATGATAATAATGGAATTTACTCGGCGCAATGAAATTGGCAGTATTTAACTGAAAGATATTGTACAGTAATAGGAACAGTTTTTAAGCCATACTACGATATCATCCGCAACCAGCGAAAGTAGTACTACTCGAAACGCACTTTAAATGCGTTCTGTAAGATACAGAGCCGGGAGTTCTGTAAAAGTGAATCTACTGATGGCACAGCGCTTAATCTTACAAAGCGTTACAGAGCAACGAGACCACAACTCAAAATTTTCCAGTTATGTGGTCGAAACTTTCAGCGTACAGCGAGTTTCACACTCACATCACAGAATGATTATTCACAAATAGATGGTCGATATAGGCGTTGTTTATTTTAATTTTAGCTAGTGTAACGTTTTATTGCGGATCAGTGATTTCAAAACTGGAACAATCAGCGCTAGAAGTATCACTCATAGACTGATAGACTTGTATGTTTAAAGGCCGGACTTGTATCATCCGAAGACTGTGGTTGCCTAGAGCGCGGAACGCGTTGGGCCAGGCGTTACTCGTAGTGATTTAAAGAAAGTTAGACAAAGGCAATTAGAAACTAGGTAAAAACCAGAAAAGCACTAAAAAGATGTTCGGGTTCAAGGGTAGCAAGTAGCAACTAGCAAGGGAAAATATTTTGTTATTGCATACACTTGGTGAGATCGACCTGCACTTGTGGTGAAAAATGCGAGTTCTGTATCGTAACGGAGCAGGAGAGTTCCTTTTAGATACAGAACACTTTAACTCGGTCGTCCAATCAGAGGTAGGGGGGTGTGATCGAAAAATTACAGAACTTCCGGCTCTGTATCTTACAGAACGAATTTAAAGTGCGTTTCGAGTAGTACTAGTGACCATTAATTTAATGGTCGCTGTGCCCGTTACCATTAATTTAATGGTCGCTGTGCCGGTCAGCCCTTTGATCACCAGCGCCTCATGCGGCGCGTTGCATACCTACAATGGACTGTGAAAGTAGTACAAAACAGTCGCTAAAGCCGCTTGCGCAACTTATCCGCCAGGTCGGTCCAGTGTTAAAGTTGCGCAAACGGCTTTAGCGGCTATATTGGTCTTTGTTCAGTCAATTTTGCAATCCATGGTGATCACACTGCTGACCAGTACAATAAACAGTAAACTTGACGAGCTTGCGGACGATATCGTAGTACAGATAGCTCTATTAATTTTCAGTCAGGGTTCCATAAGGTCATAAAATTGGAAGTTTGCTGGTTCGGTTTTTCCGCGCGCGCGATGGACGGCAGTACAACCCACTCCGTAGCACATTCTCCGGCCGGCAGTCGCTGGGCCTCCACGGGGTCCCCGCAACCCGCGGACTGTTCGCTGCTGCCGCTGTTCAAGGAGGCCATCCGGCGCATTAAAAAGATTAGGCAGCGGCCGGATATCCACCGCATTCTGAAGTCACTAAGAACACACCACGAGGTGCACGACGCCATGGAGGTGCGCCGGCAGTTGGATCTGGCCGTCAGCAGCGGCCGCTTGCTCATCGTCTACACCAAGGGACTCCAGAGCTACAAGGACCCCGACAGTCTGCGGGATATGCGCCGGTACAGCATCGACACCAACGGCATCCACGGCATTAAGGGATCAACGCACTCCGTTTGGGGCCGTGTGCAGCAGGCGGTGAAGGCCGCCGTGCGGGAGATGGGCAATCCGCAGGGATCGTCGCAGGAGGAGATTGAGCAGTGTATCCGCTTGTCCTTTACGTAAGTAGAACGGGCGCTGCTGTATCGTAACTAGAATCGCTTCGAAAACATGACACAAACCTGAGCACTAAACTCTAGCCCTGCACCTGAACAAAATTTGAACAGTGCTGCCACGCTCACTTGTACGAGCGCATTCACGATTGAAGCGGGTACACAGCGAATCGGCTGAACATTTTAATGTCGGCTATGCAGTACCGCACCCCACAGCGTACAAACGTACTTCAAAAGAAAGTAACAATATATGAGCAGATCAGCTTCACGCCGCTCCATAGTACGGAATTAGCTTGGATTTCTTCGTAGCGTGGGTATTCCGACTCTGCGAGAGCTGATAGACCAGGCCCTGGCTTATCTGACGGTTCACGGCAAAATCGTGCAGACCTCTACAGGACGCTATCGATTCTGCTCGTTTTTATGGAATCGACCAAAAAATTTGTCCAACGACAAGGCCACGTCCACCAAGACTATCGAGCCAACACCGCCGGCACCCGCCACACCTCCTATAACGGCACCCAGCGTCGCTATGCCCGCGCCCGTCAAGTGTAAACGCGGCCGTACCAAGCGCGACATCTTCCCACCGGCCGCCCAGCCCATTAGCGCTCCGTCCCCCGCGGGTGGCCCAAACGCATTACACGGACAATGACTGCGAGGCATGTTAGCTGGCGCACACACGAAAAAGAATTTCCCAAACATTGGGGTAGTTCCCTGTTTTGAGTTCGTTCGTAGAAGAAGCGGACCCTTCGATTCCTGATGCAAGGAATTAGTGTTGCTTTAATGCGGGGTAATGCTGCTTGTTGAGGAAACGTTCTGTCTCGGTACGGGACTGGATGAAGTGTATTATGTGCTGGCATTAATATGATGTATATAAAACTGTATATAATACGTGACCAAAGTTGATTTGAATAACCCAATAAAATACAGGGAATGTATGCTTTTTATTGATCAGTACGTAGCGAAAAATGCGGTACAAAAGTGGGTTAACAATAACAACTATCCATAACATCATCTCCGTTCAGCTAGGTGAAAGGCAAAGTACACATCTTCTTTCTCTATCTTGTCGCTAAATGTACCGAGTACAGAAACTGCATTTCCTCGTTGAATCTCGATCCCAATTCTTTGGCGCAAAAACTCCCCGGAACGAGGGTTGGCTGTACTGTCAACAATCTTTCTCACCAGCTCTTTAAATAATTTCTGCGTCAGCGGTCCGGATGTTCCAGTGGTTTCAAACGCCAACGGCTGGACTATGTAACGGGATGCCAACCCGCTATATTTTCCTAACTTCCGGTTTTCCCGCATTTCTGCTGCACTTCCCGGCACCCTGGACGTACGGGCGATGTATGTTTGAGCAAATGTGTCCGCCACGGTTACATCCCATACCAGCGGCTTTCCGTTTTTCCAAGGGAAAGCTGTCACGCCATCCGGCCGCTTCCCATCGCCTCTATCTAAGCCCGCCGGCTCTAGGACGATGGCACTTTTGCCGAACTCAGCGCCCGCTTGGTTGCTTCGTTTAAGACAGCGTGGACTCCGTTTCTTCCTTTCGCTAAAGTACAGTGTGTTGATTGATAATAACGACGCCCAAATTGATTGTACGAGTAGTTGCCTTTAACTCGGTGCTTCTTTTCTATCCGCGTTAATCCGACGCGCCAGTTACATATTCAGTATTTAAGTATAGCACTGCAGTAAAATACTCGTAGTTCATTGCGCGGCGCTACCCGGAAAACTTTTTTTCGGAAAAAAAGTGGCCACTAAATTAAGTACTGTTTTGGTACGAGAAGTTGGTTAGTGCAGTCTTCCTCTGTTGCTACCATCCCGGAAAGTTACAGCCACATGTATACACAACACTTGAAGGCTTCGTTCTTTTCAAGTCTTTACAGTTTAATCATCTTTGTATTGGAAAAAACAGAGTACTCAGCAGTCAGCAGTTGTATTTCGCTGTCAACAACCCAACTTCAGCGCAGCTCGGGAGAAACAGTGCAGCCAGCGCCCTCTTCTGGTTACTTATCGAATTATTGCTTGTGACCTTTAACGGCATTATCCATCGCAAGAATGGCGTTCTTAACAAACGGAATCTGCTCTTTGTACTCTGGAAAGGAAGACAAAATATGACAGTGCCAACATAGCAGCTAGTGTGAATTTAACACGTCCTCACTTGTCGGCATGAACGGGCGCAGCGCTTCCGGTACCGTGATGCCGGTCGCCGTTTGCCCGTTCTCTAGCAGTGCACAGATCACGCGGGTCGTCGCGCACATGGTCGCGTTCAGCATGTGCACGAACTCCACCTACGACGCGCCAAAGCGACAACATTTGTTTTAACGGTAAAATGTAACGACCGTGCAAAGATTGGCCGTAAATACTGACCTTATCGCGTTGTTTCTTGGTCTGTCCGTAACGGATGCCTAACCGGCGCGACTGGTAGTCGGTGCAGTTGGAGCAGGACACTAGCTCCCGGAAGGCACCGCTTCCGGGGAACCAGGCTTCCAAATCGTACTTTTTCGAGGCGGCATTATTCAGCGCTCCTGGATGGAAAAACCGCGATATTAATTACGCGAAGAACTGAAAAAAATATTGCTAAAAAATTAAAATATCAAAACTTGATTAGTGTTACTCAAAATCATAGCCAAGGCTCAGTGCAGTCAGTACCCACGAGTACTGATTTTAAATAATTCAGAAACTTTTTTATATCTGCTTATTATCTGGGCAGATGCAGACGTTTGTAGAAGTACTGAGTAAAGTAATAAGAAGTGATTACGTAGTAAACTTCGGGGTTGAACTGGAGAAGCGTGTTTGCTGCTTTTCTCAGGTAAGCTTGTCTATTATCTGTTGTTAAAATACATAGAGAAACTGTTGTAGCTTCAAAATATCTTTTTTTTCAACGCTTACAATTATTTTTGCTTGTAAATTGCTAATAGTTCTGATTATTTGCGATTCTGATATGGAAAAAGCGGCGCGCAAGATAAATTACCATATTAAGGGTACGCAAGTACCTACCGGAAACGATATTGACAACGCGATAGGGAATGCCCAGCGTCCGGCAGAACAACTCCGCATTGCCGATCATCTCCTCCATCATGCGCCATGATTCATCATCATGCGGCGAGGTAATACAGAACTGCTCCACCTTCTCGAACTGGTGCACGCGGAAGATGCCGGTGGTGTCGCGACCGTTGGAGCCGACCTCCTGGCGGAAGCAGGTGGACACGCCGGCGTAGCGCAACGGCAGCTGCTCCGCCGGCAGCCACTCCCCGCGGTGGAAGGCGGCGATGGGCTGCTCGGAGGTGGCGATCAGGTACTTCTCGTCGGTGCTAATGTCCGCCGCGTCCTCGCTGCCGCGTCCGATCACCTAGATATCAGCGCTGACCTTGACCATTCGAAAGGAATGATTTCCTATGTTTTCTTAGGTTTTCTCAGGCTTTCTCTGGGTTTCTTAGGTTTTCTTAGGCTGTCTTATGTTTTCTGAAGATTTCTTATGCAGCGTACTTTGTACAGTTCCTCGTCGAACTGCGACAGTTGCGCAACTTCCTTCATAACGTCCTTGCGCATGAAGAAGGGCGTGTACATGGGCGTGAAGCCTTTGTCTTCCAGAATCTGCAGGGATAGCTGGATGAGCGCTTGTTCCAGATACACAACGGGACCCTGTACGTAAAAATAAATAATTATTGTCAAAATACGAAATTTCAAAATAAAATGTTTTCAATAGATTCGAATAAATAAGAAGAAATTAATCAGAATAAAACATGGGAGTGGTTTTCGTACTAGCAAATAATAGCCCCGCCCACCGGCGACAGCCGCCCCCCGACGGGTATCACAACCGCCGATCATGGCGATGAGATCAATATGCGACCATTTTTTCCGGGATGCTACGTCCCCGAAGACCCTCTCCACGCCGTTCTCTTCCTGTTTGCAACAAAGATTACATAACTAATTAACTAAGTCAACGTTTTTCACGGAAAGCAAACGCTACCTCGTCGTTGCTGACGATGCAGGTGTCGTGCACCAAGTTGCCGATTTCTCTGAGCGCCTTATCCCGTTGTTCTTCCAGCGTTGTCATCAGATCAGTGTACCGATTTATCTCCTGGTCCATCAAGCCGGCTAACTGCTTTAATTGAGCCATTTGCAGACCCTGTACAAGAGAAGAATTTCGTATGGATAGCCAAAAACTGATTACTTCATAAGTCTGCAAATAAAACAGAAAGCCTAAAACAAAAGTGACCTTTAGAATATCGGCGGACATGGACTCCAGAGGCGGGAGTTGTGCTGGCGCAATAGTTACATCTCCGTCTAACAAAACGGCGGTTTTCTCGCCCTGAAAATCCGCACTGGAGCCGGCCTGAAACTGCAAGTTTTATAAATCCAAAACTCGTAATTTCGAATTAATACTGAATTACTAATCTAGTAGCTATCAAATTACAGATATTGGTTGTACATTGACAGAGATACCTTCTTGTGCTGACCGATTTCTTTGCTGACACATCGTTTCCACTTGTTCCACTCGTCCACACAAAATCTAATAAAAATTTGAGAAAACCTGGTATTGTTGCGTCAGACTGCAAAGCTATCAAGAAACTACGTACCTGGCTTTACGCCACTCAACATCGCTATGGATGACCTGATCGACCAGCGCTCCATCACGGAAACGTTTCCCTTCACTGGCGCGGATAGCCTGCACCTTCCCGTCTTTCTCCTCACGGAACAGATTCACGTCCAGCACCATTTTCCCGCACTGCCGCGATCGCACGATACACCAACCAATCCACAGAACAAAATCAGAATGGAAAGGATGTAAAAGGTAAAAAATGGGTAAATTTGCGCTCGCTGTATGAATTTGTCCAGCATCGATCGAAGACGGTACTGGTACAGATGCTAATTCTAGCGAGGGAAAAACGGCACGTGTACTGGTAATTTTATCAAGTGTCTTTCCTCGACACTTGGCTGATGAAAGAAAACAAACGATTATCGAGCACAAACGACGGCCGTTATCAATAGCATGACCGAAATTAATCATAAATTTCCGCCACAATCTGCATGCATTCTTGCATCATCCACAGACGCCGCTGTTTAGTCAACGCTGAGTCAACGCGCTGAGCCTGTTGCCACCGCCCACAGGCGGTCGCTCGACATAGCGGTTGACCGCCCGTAGGCGGCTGCGCAGTGTGCAGCATGGGATTTTCTTCGACACATTTCACGTCTGAACGTGAATTTTTCCGAGTTTCCACTGTTTCCAGTTTTTCATTTTCGAAGTTTCCCTCATTTTCCAGGGTTTCAGATTCATTTTTTGCCAGTGAATTTTTGAAGATTGAAGATCGTGACAATAAAAATGTGGAAGACAAATCCGAATAACGCTGTGATGTTTTCGATCTTGGCTTTTTCATGACAAAATATGCGAGCTGAATAATTTACGAGTAATTTGGAAAATACCGTTGCAAAGCCTTCCTGTTAATCTACCGTTTGCCAGATTCTGCAAGGACTCATTTCAGTCATGGCGCGCGAAATTTTACTGGACCGTTTGCTGATGGAAAAACCGCTCTTTCCCGGTACTTTGCATGTGGGCTCGAGCAGATCGCAGCAAAACAGCGAGTCTCGATTGACGCACTCTCTGTTCCTGCAGGTCTTCGCGACGGACGTTCACGGCGCTCCCCCGTCCGTCCCGCGCACGCCCGCAGCCGTTCCACGGGGCGCGACACGGACGAGACCCTGGGCTACAAGAAACTCCTGGAGGTGGACCTGGGACCCATCAAGCGGGACGCGCAGACCGACATCAACATGCGGTGAGGCAGAGGCAACAACCTAGGTTGTCTTGCTGCTTTGGCGTTAGTTTATCTCGAAAGTGATAGTTTAACGGTGGTGTGGGGTGCAGGAAGAAGCTGGGCACGGAGGCGCTGCCCATGGAGCAGTGGGAGGTGGGGGCGCTGGTGCGCGGCGTCCTGGAGGTGAAGGAGAAGGTGGCCGCGGTCTTCACGCAGGTGGAGCTGAGTGATAAGCTGCGGATGTTGCTCAACGAGGTCCTGCGCTGCCAGCATCTGTTAGCGGTACGTAATTCCGTTGCTTTCGTTGGCCTTCTTTTTATTAAATTTCCTGTATATTTCTTCTTATTTTCTTCCTTTAATTGTAATTATTTTTCGCATTTTTTTATTTAATTTTCTCATTTGTTTTGTTAAAAATTACTGCTGCCTGTTTTAAAGTTTTTCGTGATTTTTCGTACCACGCAATTTGTTCCTTTATTTTGATAAATTTTTTTTATTTAGTTATGTTTTTCCACTTTTCTGTTTCAGTTTGATGGTTTTTAAATACGTATTTTGGCTGTTTTTCGTATTTTCGCCAAGTTGTTTTGCTCTGTGTTTTAATAAATTAATTATGCTCTTTACTTTATATTAATTTTTTGTTCGTTGAATTATTTTAATTTTCGGTTTTTTGCTTTTCAGTTTAAAATTTTCGGAAATTTGTATAAAAAACCCTTGGCTTATTTTTCGTATTTTTTACCACGATTTCTGGAAAGATTACTTCATTTGCGCTGGTTGGGTGTGGAATTTCCACAATAAAATATCATTTTCACAAAGAAATTTAAAGATCTATTTTTCTGAATTAAATTTAAAATCGAAGGAAGACGAATTACTGATGGGGATTTGTGTGGGTAGGTGGCCCCGGCGCAGCGCCCGTCCAAGTGGCAGCTGACCGTCTTCCCCTCGGAGATCTTCTCGGCCTCCTCCTGCCTGGAGCCCGTCGCCCGCATCCTGGCGATCCTGGCCACCGGTACGCGTATTCCCTGATTCTGGCTGCTGTTTTTTTGCTGCCGTCGATCACACAGGACATTTGTCTAGGTTTGGAGAATGTCATTCCCTTCGTGGAGCTCTGCCACACCGTCCTGCATCTCCCGCACGGACTGTGGATCCTCGATCGGATTCTACTGCATAATCCCAAGCGAATTCTCACCGGTTAGAGTCCATGTTACTCGTGCTTTAATTAGCTGGACACTTTTTTAAATTACTGATTTTTTTAATGTTGTTAAATTTTTAATACTCATTTTTTTCATTTTTTGTAATCTTAATTTTTGTATTAGAAATATTAGAAAATACGCATGTGTTTCAGTAATTCTTGAAATATTTACAGCTATTCTCGAAAATGTTAAAAGCTATTAATAGAAAATATTAATAGCTAGTTAAATAGCTATTCTCTGTTTTGAATTTCAGCAGTTAAATTTTTTTCTACCATTTGTTTTTTAAATTTCAAATTTTGTTGGTTTATGAACCGTGGGTGTAGTGGACAGCGTCATAAAAACACCAGCAACAAATCAAAACATTTTTGTTAGTATTAGTATTTGATAATGTAGATTTTCTGACAATTCTTGAAAATAATTTATCTTTTTAGTAATTTTCAATCAGACTCAATGTAAGTTTTAAATAATTAGTGCTTTTAATACTATAATTTTCTTGATAAATTATAAATTGTTTTACAATTTTGGGTACCAAAATTTTTTTAAAATACTAATTGTGTAAACCACGTGTTTTTAAAGGTGTAATAATTAAGAGATCACGATTTACTTTGACGTGAGAAATTTTTCCTAATTTTTATCATATTTTATGCAGTGTACGAGCATTTGATGGCGCAGTGCAATGGCGAGGATCTGGACGATCCGGCCAGCGGATTCTACGGGGAAATCCTCCTGCACCTCACTCGCCAGTTCCCCAAAACCGCCAGCCATCTCCACTACATGGCCGTACGTGCATTTCTTCACAATCAAAAATTCAAAAAAAATAAATAAAAATAGAAATAAAATTCAAAAAATTCAGCGCTGGCTGAATTAATTGTGATAAATGTGTGTAGGTGGGACAGCAGCGTTTCTTCGTGCTGATTCTGTCGTTGGTGCTGGAGAAGGGCCGGCAGGCGCGTCCGCCGCCGCGCACCGGCGTCATCCAGCACACGGACTACGCGCTGGCCCCCAAGTTCATCCTGGCCGACGCCGTGGCCCTCCTCTTCTACCAGCTGCTGGTGGCGCCGCGCGGCGAGACGCGCCAGTGGGCCGTCAAGTGTGTCGGCCTCGCCGGAGCGGTAAGTGGCATTTCCGTTTTGTATTTCTATTTTTCTTGTAATTTTTATGATCTTCTGGGTTTAATTTTCATTTTAGATAATTGATCATTCAGTTTGCGTACGAGTACGTATTTTGTGTGTGTTTTTTTTACCGTTTAGATTTTGTCGAATTGCTTTATCCATTCGTAATCAGTTTCTTACAACTGAAAAAAGATTTATCGCAAAATTTACGGGGTCGTGTATCGTACTTTATCTGTATATTTTTCCCTTGTTTAACACTGGCCCGTAGCTGGAAGCCTGGGATCATTGTCACTGCACTACGAAATCTCACAAGATTCTAATTCCTAAATTTCATACCTTCAGTATCTGTTTCTACAATTTTTCAAGATGTTTTCGTCAATTCGTGATAATAAACTTTTTTAATTATTGTTTGATTTAATACTGCCATTTAATTAATTAATTTATTTTGCGTTGTTTTCATTTAATTTCTTTATGATCTATTTTTACAGTGTTTCAAGGTTTTTTCATCAATTCGTGTTAATAAAATTTTTACAATTTTGTTTGATTTCATACTGCCATATACATTTACTAATTTACTTTGAGTGGTTTTTATTTAATTTTCTTTACCTATTTTTGTTATTTAATTTTTCAGACATTCTGATTTATGTTGAAACTAGTTTGTGTAATTGTTATTCGAATATTTGCCATTTTTTATATCTTTAAAAGCTGTTTAAATTTTTTCTGTTTCTTATCCTATTTCATATATGTTGGTAATAATAAATTACAGAGACAGAATGCGCATTTCGTGGAATGCCGGCTGCAACTGCGGATCCACGCCCTCAAACTCTTAAATAAATAAAAATAAATATTAAATTCTTCGTTTTTGTTCGATTTATTGCTGCCCATGCGTGCCATTTACAATGCAATTAATTTAATTTATGGTTTTGTTTATTTGTCCGCCATTTTCTTTATCTACTGTTGTGGTTTGATTTTTCAGAGTTTTTAACTTATTTTAAAATAATTTGTGGAATTTTTTTATGAACATTTGTTATTTTTCACTCCTTTTATAGATGTTTCGATTTTTTCGGATTTTTTTATCCGCTAAGTATAATTTTGTAATAATAAATTGCAGCGGCAGAATGCGCATTTCGTGGAATGCCGACTGCAGTTACTGACCCACGCCCACAAACTCCTCCCGGAGAAACCCGGCCTCTTCCTCCCCGACGCCTCCCTCCAGTCCGCCTCGCGTCTGATCTACCTCTACGCGACACTGAAGGAAGCGGCCAACCTGACGCTGACCAACGACGAGTACCGCATCTTATCCAAACTGGTGACCAGCCGCGTCAAGCTGACGGGCAGCGGCAACGCCTTCATCATCCTGGGCGTGTGCTGTCTGGTGTCCTTCCCGGAACTCCTCAGCGAGCGCACCGTGGAGCAGGAGATTGTCGCCTGGATGAAGTGGATCCTGGAGCTGGACTTCAGCGGGCTGACGGGTGGTGGGACGTGTCTGGAGGCGCTGCTGCTCATTGTGGCGCATCTGCGGGCCAATGAGTGGAAGGAGGTGTCGGCCGTCATCAGCGGATATCTCCTCACCAAGGTACGTTTGTTTTATTTCAATACGTTTTATTTTAAATAATATTATGCTATTAAATGAAGTGGTGCATTTTATTTCTAACTGTTATAAATGTTTTTATTCATATTGTAGTTATTCAAATTTAGTACGAGCACGGTACTTCAACTGTCCTTCGTAATTTAAGACATTTAATTTTTGATTGATTTATTGAGTTGTTTTTTACAGTTGATTTTAAAATAAATTAGCTCTAGCAATTTAATGAAATTTGATTGCAATAATTTTAATAAAATTTATTTTGCTCTTTAAAATTGAATGGGTTTTTTTTGTTAAATTGTAATCAACATATTTTGCACAAAATTACGGATGTTTTTGCTGGATTTATAATCACGTTGTCTTTTCTGATCGGACGGGATGGTGTTGCAGGTCAATATCAAGCCGCAGATGGTGGTGCGTTTGAAACTGCTCATTAACGCTGAAGTCTTTCGCGACGAAGTAAGTGTCGGTGGTCGTAGTGCAGTGGATGAGACAGAGTCGCCAAAACTGCTTCAACAACTGCTTGATTTAGTATCTGTAATGACAATTTCTCGCCAAGCGTGCGGACAAGTAGACTATTTATTTTTCCTGTTGGGATCATAAAGAACAGCTACTTTAGCCATTAGTGGTAAAAAATTCACTGCAACTTACCTAAACTTTCATCAATTTAGGTAAGGTTTATTTGTGATAGAGTTTGATTTTTAATCTGTTATTTTGGTTGAATTTGATTCCTGAATTTGTTCCGTTATTTATTCGGAATCGGTTATATTATTTATTCAATAACATTCAATAATTTACCCATCAAAAAATAATAAAAATGATCTTTATGGTGGGAAAAATTGTCTGAAAATTGAAAAAAACGGACCGGATTAAGTTGTGACTGCTTTAGTTTAATTTCAAATCGATTGGCCATCTATCTGAACAGTCACTTCACTACGAAATTCCACCAGTCTCTTAGTGCGATTCACGGGCTGCTTTGGTGTTATTCCTTAATTTATTTCCCTTAAACAGTAGTTTGTTGGTTTTAGCCATGAGAATCCTATATAATAAATTATGAAATAAAGCTACTAAATAAGCTAATAAATAAGTAATAAAAAATCCGGAAATGGGCTGCCTGCTGCACGAAGAAATCCTAAATAATAAAAATACGCCATGTACGGGATGCTGCTTGTCGTAGGCGTTGTGGCGGTATTCCCTGCGCATCCCGCCGACGGAGAAGCTCAACGCCGCCCTAACCCACGCCCTGCCGGTGCACTGCATCTACAATATCCTCCACAACAAGTCCTACGCCGTCTACAACATCTCCGTCAAGGTGAGCATGATACCGGAATTTTCTTGAAAATTTTCTCGGTATTTTTCCCTACTGAAAAACTGAACAATAATTGCCGTAGGAGACGGAAAAAGAATTTCTAATCTACGAGTAAATTGACACCGTCGCTTATCGTTCAGCCTTAACGACCCACTGCGTGGTGGAAGTTTTGCCACTCCACTACAATATTTCATACACAAGTTAAACGGTTTTTTGCGGTGGCTTTTTTTACGACCGTTGAAAAAATCACAACGGCAAACGTTTCGCAGTTCAGATTTCAAATCAGATCGGTTCCAAATCAAACCCACCGCCGAGAATTCGAGCTGGTTTGAACAAAGTTTTTTTTTACAAAAGTATAATTGAGACAGATGAAAATGCAGAAATTGATCAAATTAAATGCCGGTTTAATAAAATAGAATTTGGATAACTGGTGAAAATATTAAGTTAACTGCGATGTAGTATTAAATATTAAATTAAATATGAAAATAATATTAATAAATGCCGGTTAATATTTCATTAGTTTTTTTGTTTATGTATAACAGGAAAAACACTCGGAAAAAGAATTTTCAAAATTTAATGTAATTTTTTTGGAAATAATTTTAAAAACGGTTTGAATTTGGCCAGGAATGGATCGCCCATCAGATGAGCAAATGCTGGCTGCCGGTGCACCCGATGATGGTGCACCTGCTGACGGTGTTCGTGCAGACCACGCTGCCGGTGCTGCGCCGCATCTCCGACGGCCCGGACGACTACACCGCCCTGCAGAAGCCCTTCACGCCCGCCGACGTCCTGGGGCTCATCTACGACCGGCCGCCGGCGGCGCTCAGCGCGCTGGACATGAAGAAGCTGCGCACCGTGGACTTGTTTCAACGCCAGGATGTCAGCGATCCCTACAGGAACGTCGGGAAGGTCCTCATGGCGTTCTATGTGTTGCTGTTCAATGATTTTTATATGAACAACCTCAAGACCTTCAGTAAGACGACCATATTAATTTAGTAATTTAAAAAAATAATAATAGCAATTTATCCGATTTTATTTCCATACCAGAAAAATAAAAAAAAACTTAGCATTACTGAAATGAAAACGACTATAAAATCAATCGAGATTAAAAAATTAGAAAAAAAATTATTTACACAATTAATTATTTAATTAAGTATTAATTAAGTACAATTAATTATTTAAAACTATTTACAGTAAACGTACAAGTAAAATTGATAAAAATAATATCAGCAATTTATCCTGCTTTGTTTCCATACCGAAAAATAAACAAATTTATAATATTATTCCAATGAAAAAGAAAATTAACTGAAAATTTAACAATTATAACAGTAATTATTTCAAAATTATTAACAATAAATGTGATTTTTTATTCCCCGTGAATGAAAAATTGAAAGTTAGTATTGATTAAATAGAACAGAAATTAAAATGAAATTAAAGTGAAAAGGTAAAGCGGACTTGAAATTAATTAGACTAAACATAGTTTTGAAAATAGCGCGATGATGTGATTTTTTTGCGGATTTGACGGAGGATTCGGCGGGTGTTTTGCAGTGACGGCGAAGGTGTTGGATTGCCGGATGTACGGCACGGAGGTGCTGGAGCGGATCCCCTTCAAGCACTACCTGACGCTGACGTACCAGTTCCAGGATCTGTTCGATCCCTTGGGCGACGCGCTGGGCCGGCTGATGCTGCAGCATCTGCCGCATATGCGCACCGTCTACGATGAAATCAAGGCCGAAGCCAGTCATGGCGACCGGCATTTGGCGCTGGCCCTGCCCCGACCGCGTCAGTACTCACCAATGAATTAAACCGAAAAATCCAGGAAAAACTATATTCCATCAGTTTTATTTAATGAATAAATAAAGAAGGAATTTCTATTTTGAAATTAAGCCAGTGTAAAAATTGCCTTATAAAGTTATAATAAACCGAAAAATCCTGAGGAGAAATAAATTCTATTTCATTACATAAAGAAGAAATTTTTGTTAAAAATTAAGAAGTTGGATGTTTCCAGGTAAAAACTGCCTTATAATAAATCGAAATCTAGTAAAAAAATATTAAGTCGGTTTTATTAAATAATTTAACAAAGAAGGAACTGGTGTTAAAAATTAATCCAGTGTAAAAACTGCCTTAGATGATGGGATAATGATTTCAGTAAATCTGTGAATAAATTCAAAATACTCGTACATTTGCGCTAAAATTTGGTATCGTAATTGACGTATAAGAATTATTATCAGTAAGTATTTGAATTGTGAATAGCAGATAAGGCATTAAATAGAAAGATTCAATAAATTAATTGCATTAAGAAACCATGCCGACGTTGTACAGCGGCGGACGGAGATGATCTGACGCGTTTTCTGGACGTCCTGACGCGCTGTCCTCCGGAGCGGATCGGCGCGTGTCTGGACAGCTTTCTGCGCCTGCTGCCGCGCGTCCTGACCGAGGAGCTGCCCGAGTCGGCGCAGGATGCCTTCGAGCGCGTCTGGGAGCAGCTGATGGACGTTGACACCAACACGTCAGTCGCAGCGTCCCGAATTTTCGTTAAAGATGCCCAGAAAAAATTTACTTAATTTTTAATTAAATAAATTCGTTAAATTTCTTAGGGTTTTGTTGGCGACCACGCTGGCCTTGCTGCAGCACAAAGACAAATCCATCTCGTCGATTACATTCGAGGAGCTCTGCCTGGAGCCGTTGCATATCCTGCGCTGTGATCCCATCGTCTTCCGGTTCGTTGTTATTCGTTTATAATTTCACGCAATGCAAAAATATCTTAAGCAGTAGAAGTATTGAAAAAGAAAAAATTGAAATTAAATACAATTGACGCGTTGGAAGAATAAACCAAGATAATATTCGAAAAATACATACATTATAAGCACATAAAATTAGCGCAATGGAAAGTTAAATAAAAATAATAATTCAAAAATTCAAAAACATAATTCAGAAATCAAAAATAAATAAAATTGACGCAATAAAAAATGTGTCTTTATTAGCACAAGCCAGTCACACTGCAAATTTTGTTAATAAACCAAGAATAATTATAACAGAAAAATTTCTCTTAAGTTGTCCGTTACATCCATAGTTCCAAAAACGGACACCGCATTTCCCCGTTGAATTTCGATAGACAGACGCTGGCGTAGAAATTCATGTGATCGAGGTTCACCAGTGTGCTGCTGCAGTCGCTTGCCGATTTCCTTCACTAGAGCGGATGCCGACTTGCCCCATGGTCCGAGTGTTTCGAAGGCTAACGGCGCGAAAATGTATCTACCATCGAGGTACGCGTACAGACTGGTCTTCCTGTCTTCGGCCAGGCGGCGGATCCCGCGGATGCCGAAGTGGACTTGATATGCGATGGGGCAACAGTGTCGACGCAAGTGACGTCCCAGGCTAAACACATGCCACGTTTCCAGGCGAACGTCGTGCACCCGTCCGGGCGACGATCGGACGTGTGGGATGTGCCGCGGGGCTCGAGCTTCGCTGGGATGCCCGCCGAAACTAATGATCGGCAGACAATACTGTTTAGCCCGCCATGGCGAGCGTGTCTACCTGCAGAGAAGGAGCATGACAGTCCGTGGTGACCATAAACGTCGAAAAAAAAAAAAAATAAAAAATTATATAAAAATTATCATGCTGAAATAAATACATTATAAATAAATTGATGAAGTGGAAGAATTGATACGTGTAACGTATGGGAAAGAATAAACTTGACGCAAATAGAAAATAATGTGAATAAAATAAATAAAATTGACGCGACGGAAATTGTCTTGCAGAAAAGTCTTCTTAACGCGGATTTTATTGCGGACGTTCTCCTCGTTCCTGACGCTGTCGCGGAGCTACCTGAACCAGCAGCTGGACGTGATCGACCAGCAGCAGATGCTGGTGACCGAGGGCGCCGTGGATCCGCTGCGGGAGGAGCGGAAGCGCTGCATGTTCATGCTGCAGGAGAGCGCCGCCGTGCAGATCTTGATTGAGCAGCTGGACGCCGGCCATCAGGAGGTGTCCGACGATCTGGACCTGCCGGAACGCCTGACGGCCCCGCAGAACGCCGTCTGCATCTTCATCCACCAGCTGATCATCAGCAATCCCACCCTGGCCAAGCTGGTCGTCTTCCAGGTCAGACTGGGATTTTTTAAACACTTTTCAACCTTTTTTTGCTGTGAAATTATCAGATGAGAAATTTCGGTTTCAATAGAATCGAGATTTGAAAAATTAAATATTTTGTAATTTTGTTGGAAAGATTTTCGGTGTAATCCGCTACAGTGGTTGAAAATCAAGAGAATTTTCTTTTAATTTTAAAACTCTGTCAAAAATCCACTGGGAATGATTTTAACCAAATTTTTTTTTAGTAATTAAAAAATTAATTGCTCATTTTTAATTCATTTCAAACACGCGACGCGGTTTTAATTTTCAGATGGTTTTTACTTTGCCAATTAAAATCTTAAAATTTTGTGTTATTAGCCCTCGCAGAATAAATTACGAAATAGTAGAAATTAAAATAAATTCCAACGTAAAAATGGCTTAAAATAAACAGATAAATAAAAATTTATAATAATATATAGAAAATGTACTAAAAATCATATTTAAAAACCTAAGAAAAATAATAAGAAGTAATTCAAATAAGAAAAATGATAAGAAAATAGCAATAAAAATTAAAGTTCAATAAAAATGGAATAAATTTTTGCAGACCTTCCCGCCGGCGCGTATCCCGCTAGTCGTCCGCGGCGTGGAATCCCTGCACATCTGCCTGGACTACCTGCACGAGGCCATGGCCCTCCCGTCCGTCACCAAGAAGCTCTTCATCCTGGAGCTAACCAGCTGTCTGTGCGTCAAATTCCGTATCGCCCGCAGCGTGGCGGTGGCGCGTCTCGCCGTGGACGTCCTGGCCACCCTCCTGACCGCCTATCCCCGCGAGGTGCGCCGCGAGGTGGTCCGGACGGGGGCGCGGGTGTTGGCGCGTCTGGGGAACATCTTCCCGCCCCTGCGGGAGGCGTGCGTGGGGCTGCTGGAGCAGATGGGCGAGGCGGAGCGGGCGGCGGAGACCGCGGGGGGTGCGTGGCGGGGGGCGGCCAGGAGATTGGTTGGGGGCGGGGCGGGGCGGTCGGAGAAGGGCAACGGGGTGAAGGCGGCGTTGAAGTGTGCAAGGGGGGTGCCGCCCCTCCGCAGTTGAGGGGGCGGGGTGGTCTACTGTGTAGAAGTTTTTTCGGGGTTTTTTGTGGTATTTTGTGCAGAGAATTGAGTTGTAGCCGTTGATGGGCGTCGTGTTATGTTGCTGATGATTTTGTACAGGACCGATATTTCTTTGGCTTATTTGAGCGACCGGATGTTGCACGCGCGAAGCGTTTTCTCGCCAATATATACTAATCATCTGGCTACAGGATGTCATAAAAACAGTGCAGAGAATATTATTGTTGATTTATGTATTTCGTCTATCTGACGCATAGCGTCATTAGCGTGATAGGCGTCTTGAAATAGTAAAAAGCCTCGGAGAAACTGAAACTCTGGAAACCTAAGAAACCTAAGAAACCTAAGAAACCTAAGAAAATTGTAAGAAACCTAAGAAAACCTAAGAAGCGTTTGAAAAAAAAGAAACAAAAAACTGTGAAAGCGAAGAGCGTGGTGTTCGTTTTGCGGCGAAGTGTGGCAAAGGTCAAATGTCTCAAGCCATATGTCCCAGACGGAGGTGCCACTATTTTCTGCAGCGTGGTGTCTTCGCGGCGGAATGTCGCATGTCAAATTTCAGTGCAGCAAACCCAGTTGTCCGGATGCGACTTGTAATATAGTAGCACAAATTATGGTTCCTCTCATAGAAGATTTTTGCCCCGATACCCCCGGTAGCCACGGTTGCTCTGATGTGCATGCGATATCCTCGCTCGCTACTGAGTGATAAGGGCGATATATGCCCGCTCATTCCATCTGATATGCCTTGTCTGGCTCGTCACTTGCTGCTTATACGAGTTGTTGTTGTTGTTGCCTCGTATATACCGCTGCTTTGCAACACCGATTCGATCGCTCACTCTGATTCCATTCCTAATAATAATTCTTATCGTATACATAATTGTCTGCTCCGATGATTGTTCAGTTTGCACTTTGCTTGACAGAGCTGGCGGCTGTAGCCTTCAGGTCTTGAGTTCATTTAGCAGTTGTCCGGTCATTTTCACAATTAAACGTTCGCCACAATAATCGATATTGAAAGTTCGGCCTCTGCATTGAAACTTTTGCCGTTATCCTGCTGGATTAAGTCGAACACCAGCGCTTTCAGTTGTAACCGCAATCAGCACCCACCCATGTGTGTTGTATCTGGGTTGGGATTGTCGGCGAAGCGGTGTCGATCGTGGGATGTGTTATCGACAGCCGGTATGCGCGCGATACCTTGAGAATCGATCAGGGGTTCGAGCCACAGCGGAAGTTATTAAGGACGGTCTCTGAGTTGAACGTCGAGGCACCCTTGCATAACTTCCGCTGCGGCGAATGAGCGGGGCGAGCGGAGACCTCGATCCGCGATAACAGTGGCCGATACGTCACACGTGTAATGTTTAATTGGTCTCCTTCGTGTTTAACAACAATGATTACATACTACGGTTACAAGTTCCAAAAACAACCAAAATCACTCCCTTCCGCAATTTTACTTCTGCCCGGCAAAGTGCCTAAAACTGCGGCAGCGTTTCCCTTCATTATCGCAAGACTAATGCATGCGCTGTTTTAAGAAAGCGGTAGTTCTGTGGCCGATACGGTTGGATTGGGGTCGTGGCGTACAGGGATCCAGCCATATAGCGATCCTGAATCGTAATGCTATAACGACTTTGCGTAATCGTTGTAGGGCGGATCTTATCGAGAACAAACGAAAGATGATTAAGCGAAGAGAACTGAAAATAATAATTTCAGCTGCAATTCATTGATCACTCTCTTTTTGTGTACTGAGTAAAGTAACGATACCGCCGGGGAAAAAATGACCAGTTTGTGTTTCCTTTTAGAAACTAAGGGGACACTATATGCTTAAATGTAATAAAAATATCTTTATTCGATCTTCATAACCTCTTGTTTCTGGCGTCCCGATACAGGTACACTGGCATACTCGAGCTTCAGATTTGGCCACATTGTGACCTTTTATTTTATTCCGCTTTGCCCAAATCACGCAACTTTCCTAACTCCACACACCACAACCTTTTAAATTGTGTTTCTAATGTCAAAAACTATAACACAATATTTTTGACGGCACCCGGCAACTGCCTCGCAAAATAGGGATGTTTGTCAGGATGTTGCCGGCCACGCAACAAATCCGTGTAGATGAGTTCGTTTCGCTGCAGATTCAGGCACGTTGTTACAGTCTCCTCATCCAAGTTGCCCAATGGTCCCCGACACATTTTCCGCCAATGTTCGGTGACCTTTTAACGTCTTCACTTCCGCGTCTAACCGTTCAGCTCCAAACCGTGCCTTCCGCTCCTGGAACTTCCGGCGGAAGTGCTCATACAGCAACGTATCGGCGTGATTCCACTCGTTAATCTTCTCCACCTCCGTTTCCGTCAAGGCGGTGACCATGGCGGGCGGACGGGCGTTGACCCGAAAGGTCACGACGTCCTGCCACTCCCAGCACAGGAGCTCCCGCAGCAGCACCAGCGACGCCTCCATCTCCTCCGCCAGCATCACCAGATCGAACCGCGCGTCCAGTTCCCGGATCTTCGCTGCGATGGCCGTGTCGTTGTCGTAGTCGGTGACCTCCAACCCGGCATCATACATGGCGGGGTTACGGCCGAACCGGCTCCAGACGATGGTGGGGCGGAAGGTGAAGTAGCGCTCAGGATCCTGGAGGAAGGTGGTGAGGTTGGCGCCGAAGCGCTTAGGCAGGTTGAAGAAGCTGAAGGCGGATTCGAAGAGGGCGGACGGTTGGCGGAGGATGGTGACGAAGACGGTGTCCGGCGGCATGAGGGCGGCAAGGGCCGGGGAGAAGCGGGTGTGGTGGCACAGGATGTTGTAGGCCGAGGAGGGGGCGTCCAGTGGTAGTGCCATGGAGGGATGGAAGGCTTCCAGTGGGTGGAAATAGTTGACGCGCTGCCTGTAGCGTACAAACGTGTAAATGCATGCTTTATGGGGTCGTCAAGGCATTAACCGTTACAAGCACACGCGTTACCGGCAAAACCGTCCTCCCAACGCTTTTGTCGTTAAGCCGGACAAACTGTCCGCCGGTGCAAAAATGCGTCCGCCGTACATTTGCTTTTAGTGTAGTATGTATATATTACATACCGGTATCCGGTAGGGTAGGGCAAAGGTCAAGTTGTGGGTGTGTCCGTAGCGGAGGAAGATATTCTGCACAGCGCTGCTGGCGCATTTGTGCGTCTTCAGGAGGACGATGTTGCGCCGGGGCGTGCAGTGGTGGGCGGTCGGTGCAACCGTTGAAGGGTGGTGCTGATGGTAGACGAAGAGGAGGGACAGCGCCGTTAGGTAAAAGACCGTGGTCAGCGAGAAGGCATAACGGCGCATTATCACCAAACCGCGCTCTGGAACACGCGCTTCCAGCTGTGCTTACCGTGCGGCCGGCCGGGTAAGACATTTAGATGTAAAAAAAATATAAGAGCTTAATTAAAACCTTCCAACCGATTAAATCCACTGCATTAGAACGTATAAAAGTGTGACGCAGTTGCATGTCGGCTGATGCGCATACTCGGTTAGCCTTTCAATGTCTTATACTGATTAACGTGTAATTAAGACCGCGAACCGGAGAAACCGCTCGGGTGGTCGTTAATCTCACTGATTAGTCAGGTGTGTCACGCTCTGTGTCAATAACACCCTGGGCAGAAACTGTATACTACGTGTATGCTGAATGGGTGCTCACGAAATCTTTCTGTGTACGGGTGTACCGATGCATCTCGGAGCTACGCACGTACACTTGCAGCTGCGTCAGAGCCGGGGTGTGTGTGTGTGTGTGTGTGTCCATGCAGCGTAAGTTGCGTAACAACACCGGTTGACGCTTAAACAACGCAGTTGCTCACTACACTGCTCATGCGTTGATGTGGTCTACTTAGCCCGCGTTCTATACCACGTTCTGTGTGTGTGGATTACGCTTGTTAATACGTCACAGTTGCACTCAGTTCAAGCAGTCGCCAGAGCATACCACGAGAGAAGCCGCGGATGCTGTTAAAGCAGGGAATCTACAGCCGCGGATGATCTTGTCCCCACACCGGACACGTCTGTACTGAGCCTGGCCCAAAATGTCACGCATGCCGGATCCGGCAGCGGTGTGTCATACGCCGAACATCAGTGGTGACATTTTCCTAATGGCGCTCTTTGCCATTAAAGCGTATTATTCGGAATTTAATTACCAAATCATTCTCTGCTAAAAACAGTACGAGTATTCTCACTGGTAAGTCATACAAGAACAGCTTACCAGGGCAGCGTCACCGGCCCCCCTCTCAGAAAAATTTCATTTTTTGCAGGGTTGCAGAGTAACACTAGGGTATGCTTAAAAAAATAGTTTCATCTGCCATGGTCAGTAGGGCGTGGCCAAACAGAATTTAGAAGTTTAAAATTTGCTATGTTATAGCCTATGGCCAATGCATTGCTTCGTACTTTAAGCACATTTACGATTTAATACAAACCACAAATAAATTATTACTAAATTATTACAAAATAACTGAAGCGGCCTGTACGTGGTACTTATAAAATTACAAAATATTGTTAAGTACCACGTACAGGCCGCTTCAGAAACAAAAACGGTTAACGGGGAATATTGGACACACATAGGCCTCGTACGATAGCGCATTCAAGTGGTTCGTATTAATTCGTAAATGTGCTTAAAGTACGAAGCAATGCATTGGCCATAGGCTATAACATAACAAGTTTGTAACTTCTAAATTCTGTTTGTACGCCCTGCTGACCATGGCAGATGAAATTGTTTTTTTAAGCATACCCTAGTGTTACTCTGCAATCCTGCAAAAAATGAAGTTTTTCTGAGAGAGGGGCCTGTGACGCTAGCCTGGTTAGAGTAACATTGCCAACTGCCAAGAAAAACAACATCGGACACTGATCATTCCCGGCCAATCCAGAGGCTACAACAACGTCCTCGTGGTGTCTCATTACAGAGTATTCACGGTTAACCAGGAGTAATGATTCGTGTTTTTTGCCTTGATTACGTTAGTGCGGTAACACAGTTTTAGACTTTTGGAAAGGTAACGGATTAATCGTAAAATCACCATCCCGCGCAGTACTTTCGTCCTCACCAATCTGACTGAAACCTTCTCCAAAACGTCTACAACCATGGAGTCCAGATATGAGAATTGTGTAAAACACGCAACTACTTAACAGATGCATTCCTCATTATGCAAAATTCAGTAGTCCATGCCAATAAAATCATTTCGAAGAACAGCAGCCCCGTCTCCAGAGAGACATTTCACATATCTATGATCCCGGGATTTCATATCGATAATTACGTTAGCTAAGCACTGTATCCTGATTTGTAGGTAGTTAGTATTGTTTCAACGTCATCAAGAGACGCAGTTTGCTCGTATGATTACTCACCCATGACTAATTACAGATCCGACAAGGCACATTACGCACATAGCCAATTACCCTTTGTTTTTCGTGTCAACGGGTCATGCTAGTGATGTCACAAATGTGTGGCCGCTACACCCGTCACGCGAGTTTAGGCTGCTGTTTTCTGTGCTCCTACACTCGTATAATCAGTAGGCGTAACCGACCACCGACAACATTGGCACCGTTCAGACAACGAAGGCGTATCAAGGTATCAACGCAAGGCGGTAACCATAACCTGTTTGAGGGCACGAAGAAACGTTTTCCATGTAATCCAACTGTTTAAATAGTTCTTGCGCTCAAAGAGCGCTAGCTTTTCTTCATCATGAGAACGTCATGTGGCGTGTGCGGCGACCCACAGTGTGGAGTACCCGAAAGAATTCCAAGTGGTCCTTATGCATTACACTGTTGCTCGCGTTCCTCGTATCCTGTATGCTATTGCTGGATTCGCAGAGACACTATGTGGTTCTCGTTGAAAACCGGAGAACCCAGAACCCGGCTCTTGCCGATCCCGGAATATTCGCTGTGGACCCCGGATCTGTGCAGCAGCAGTATAAGAGTTCTCCGCAACCCTGTGCGCCGGACACGTTCCTCGTGGTCGCGGTGATCACGGCGCCGCGGAACGCCGGCGTCCGGGCCATGATCCGGCGCACCTGGGGGTCCCTGGCCGGAGCGGCGTGCCGCACCCGTCTGTTGTTCATGCTGGGACGGGTGCATTCCCACAGCACGCAACAGCATCTGGACGAAGAAGCCCGGGAGCATGGTGACCTTTTGCAATCCAACCAGTTCGATGATACCTTCCGCAGTTCGACAATCAAGGCAAGTGACTCGGTACATGGTACCAAATTCTTGTGCATGCTCGGGAAATTTCGCTTTTCCGCACTCTCAAACACTTTTTTGCATGTTTTTGTGACAATTCGTAGCCAAATGTTTGTTTACAGTATATTGGCTAGAAAACAGTTCGGGAATTATGGCTGCATTAATTCTAAAAAGTTTAAATGCAATCAGGTGTACCAAAAGTCTCTCTGTGAGCCGGTCTTTTTCCAATTCTGCATGAAAATGCGCATGCGTATGCAGATCGGTCTTGCTCACGAACCAGGGTTCTGTAACTGTGTACAAGTTTCAAAATGAATTCCAAAAATTGAGGAAATATTGTGGAAGTCCTTTTAAAATTTGAAAGGTAGTGTAACCAGGGTTCGGGGTAAGGATGACCTTACATCGTAATATGCGTTTATTTGCAAAGTTCGAAAGAAGATCGGTCCATAATGAGGCTCCTGAAACCCCTGTAGGTGTTTAGCCGAAACTTTCTAACCCGAATGTTGCGCGCACAAACGGTTTTTACGCTGGTGTATACATATCATTTGGCTACAGAATGTCATAATACAATGCAAAAAGTGCTGAGGAGTGCGCCAAAGTGCGCTAGCAAGAAGTGGTATTAAAGACCTTACAGAAAGCGAAAGGTTTCGTGGATGTACCCGAACTTGGTACCATGTAACACTTCAGACGCTGCACATGTACCAGTGGTGCGCGGCCTACTGCCCGTCCTCCACGTTCGTGGCCCGGGTGGATGACGATGCGTATCTCAACATTCCCAAACTGTACGACACCCTGAAGAACCAATCGCCTGATGCGTTCTACGGACATGTGTACGCGCAGGAGATCCTCAACGATGCGTGGTTCCCGCAGCGGAACCCCAATGGGAAGTACTATTCGCCGCGGGAAGAGTACCGCCAGGACCGGTATCCCGTGTACATTTGGGGATTCTTGATAATCGCGCCGACACGGTTATTGGGGAAGGTCTTATACGCCAGCCTAGTTATTCCTTATAGTTTTCTTGACGATGTCTACGTCACCGGATTAGTGGCGAACTCCAGTGGGATTCCGTTGCGGCATATCACCGGGATAACGCAGAAGACGAAAACGATGGCGGTAGCACAGTCGTGCTTAAAGGACAAGTATACAGCCATACACAAAATGGGACAGAAGGATCTGTACGTTCTATGGAACGCGGAGTGTTCAGGTTCCCGCAGTACCTGCAACTGATGTGTTAATATGTTTGCATGGGTCTTCGTTTTATACAGTTTAGGGGTGAAAAAACGCCGTGTACTGATATACTATGCGGGAATCGCTGTCGCGACAACACACCGGATGACCAACCGGTCCGCAGTTGCGGGAGTGGGAAACGCTCTGGAGTCCATGAGCGCCGAGCGGTTATAGTGATATTCCGGATACGTATCTGTGTATTACATACAACACGGACACATGTACAAACTACCTGTACTATTCAACAGATGTTAGTACAATACTTAGTAGCGTGTTAAGGATAAGTATGAAAAGCGCTGTGTATGAATCATCATACACACACATCACGACAATACACAAACTCCTGTTTCCGATAGGCGCAAACGTATACTACACGGTCTGTACCCTAACGAAATTTACCGCAACCTAGACGCACTCAGGAAATTCCCAAATGTTTAATCAACAAAACAGAACGAACTTTCTCTTAGCTTAAAGCTAGTCACACCCAATCTCTTGCACAGATATAGATATAAACTGTATCTCTAACTTCATCTCCCAAAGCGAGACTCAGTAGATTAATGTATGCAACCAGCAACCAGGATTGTTAATGTAATTACATAGTGATCGAATGCGTTAAACAGCTCTTATACTGCCATTTATTTGGCCGTATTAGTAAAAACAATACTGGGGAGAGTAGGGTGTATTCGCGGAACACTACTTAACATTATTTTAAAAACCAAACACGAACAAAACATCACATAAACATCACTGGTAATTAATACTAGCACAGTCATGGTTAATACTAGCACCCAAAACATCACAAATACATTTATACTCGTACATTTCTCTGATTATCCCATTTTTAAATGCAGCCGCAATGGTGTCAGTGGTGGCCGCTTCGGTATGATACGATCTGATTGCTGCATGCAGTGACGACTTGTGACGGCTTCCGCAGAAAAACGCGCTACCGGCAGCGTATGTTAATGGCGATGTCGGAGTGGATGCTGCCGAGCGCGCAACAGATCCGTGTAGATTATTTCGTGTCGCTGGAGGTTCAGGCACGTGGTCACGGCCTTCTCATCCCTACTGACCAATGCTCCCCGACATTCACTCCGCCAGTAATCGGTGACGCTTTTCAAGATCTTCACTTCCGCGGCCAACCGCTCCGCCCCAAACCGCACCTTCCGCTCCTGGAACTTCCGGCGGAAGTGCTCATACAGCAACGTATCGGCGTGGTTCCACTCGTTAATCTTCTCCACCTCCGTTTCGGTCAGTGCGGTGAGCATGGCCGGTGGACGGGCGTTGACCCGAAAGGTCGCAACGTCCTGCCACTCCCAGCAGAGGAGCTCCCGCAGCAGCACCAGCGACGCCTCCATCTCCTCCGCCAGCATTACCAGGTCGAACCGCTCGTCCATTTCCCGGATCTTCGCTGCAATGGCCGTGTCGTTGTCGAAGTGGCGGACCTCCAACCCGGCGTCGTACATGGCGGGATTGCGGCCGAACCGGCTCCAGATGGTGTTCGTGCGGAAGGTGTAGTATTTTCGGGGGTGCTGGAGGAAGGTGGTGAGATTGGCGCCGAAGCGTTTGGCCAGGTTGAAGAAGCTGTAGGCGGACTCGAACAAGGCGGCTGGTTTTCGGAGGATGGTGATGTAGACGGTGTCCGGCGGCATGAAGGCGGCGAGGGCCGGGGAGTAGCGGGTGTGATGGCACAGGATATTGTAGGAAGAGGAGGGTGCTTCCAGTGGTAGTGCCATGGCAGGATGGAAGGCCTCCAGCGGGTGGAAATAGTTTATCTGCCGCCTGTAAACGGTATTCGACATGCGCATCATTTCCAGCCAGCAGTAAAACACTGACAGTTAACGGTTCTAACATATTAATACTTCGACCTCTGTGCCTGGACATTTTCACAATAGAAATTGGCGTACCGGACACCAGAAACACGCTATCCTTTTGTTGTTCTGTTGGTCCACATGGCAAAAACTTTTCATACAATTGATTTCGTGATAATTAGTGTTTTCATAGAAGCTTGCATATTATCAGGGTTTATTGCACTAAAAAACTGATAATTTTGACGGTACGTGGTACGTGCTGGTGACATACCGTAATTATCGAATTAGAAGCCCAGGGTTACAAATATTTCAGACGACCCATGGGCTCCAATTACGGGCATGGGCTTGTATTTGAGGGGGCGGGGCTTCAATTTTTCAAACCAGCTTTTTGGCATTTCTTAACATGGGCTTTACGGTATTTAATTAAGCCCATGGGCCTCTATTTCGGGGGGGGGGGGCTTATAACTTTCAAACGACCTTAGGTGGGCTCGAATTACGGGGGGGGCTTCAGATTCGATAATTACGGTACTCATTTATACCATATACACTGCATGCATTTATGAATAAAATTAACAGAAATATATATAATATTTATTAAATTATATGTATTATTAATAATTTAATAAAAATATTAATAATATTTTCGATAATGTTAATTACTATTCGCAGGAAATTGCGCTTCCAGATTAATTGGCAGTCGAAACATGCACGCAATTCTCCATTGATCTCAACCGTTATGGTTGCTGATTGTTGCGGCATAAGAGAAGAACCGCGGACTGGAAACAAAACAGGCGCACGCTGGGATATACCGGTACGTGCTTGTAATAGATAATGGATGAGCAACATGTATCATTGATAGCTGATTGCATTATAATTTCTCGTGGCATACCGTTTCTCCTTCGTGTGTAGCGGTATTGTTACAATTACAAATTCTACGTAAAATCCACGGAAAATGATTATATGGAAATTAGATCGACCCGATTCTGCTCTCATCCATGCTAAAATACTGTACGTTTCCTATGCGGATCAGCCAATAATTATTATATATAAGGGAGTTTTATAAAAGGTCATCGGCGCGGCCGGCAGCATCTTTGTGCCGGGTGTTATTCGGATTAAACTTCAGTTAGAGAGTTCCGTGTGAGATTCATTGTTATTATTATCATTATCACTCTACAGTAGCCAGACTTTATCAACGGAAATATCTTACCAGGCTATTGGAAAATTTTTTTGGTTGATAACTGATTCTCCGTAATCGCCATACCCGGAGGCGACCGGCGCAAAGACGGTAAGAGGACAATAAAAAATAATTATTAAGGAGAATGACATTATTAAGAAGATTATTAAGGAGATTTGTAGTCTAGGTGTGGCAAGGTTTATCTCATAAAATCAAACAAAAAAATAAAAAATTTTCTGAATTAACCAAAACATTTCCGGTAGACTGGTGAGATATCTTCCATTAAAAGCTGGCTACTGTAATGCGATAATTACCTATGCGATATTAGAATAACACTGTGTCTTTCTGGCAGACGTAGTGTAATGACAATCGTTCATAACGCAACTTGCGCGCTACAAGCCGGTCCGGAGTTAGAGCACGATACAGAACAGCTAGCGCATAATAAGCGCGATGTTAACGCCTAGCACGCCTGTTAACGCCACTACACTACGTCTACCACAATGCGTAAATGCGCTCCGCAGTTAGATTGTCCCTTACTGCATCGACTGTTTTCTGGTCACAGGCAATTACGATTATACTCATTAAAATATATGGCATGTACCAAGCCACCAGCCAGCCAAAAGCATGTTACGTGTTTAAAGAGTGTGGCTTGTCGTGGCGTAGTATGTTGTTTGGCGTAACCCATGAATTTACATTGTTCGCTGTTCTCTATCGTGCTCTATCTCCGGACCAGCTTGTAAATACATGCTATCTGTACCTTTACGATGGATATTACTGGACAAAGTTGTAAATACGTAGTAGAAACATACCGGTAGGGTAGGGCAAAGGTCAGGTTGTGGGTGTGGCCGTAGCGAAGGAAGATATTCTGCACAGCGCTGCTGGCGCATTTGTGCGTCTTCAGGAGGAACCATGTTGCGGCGGGGCGTGCAGTGGTGGACGGCGGTTGACGAGGGCGACGTCTCCGCTGACGGGTGGTGATGGGTGAGGAGCACGGACAGGGCCGTTAGGTGAAAGACCGTGGTCAGTGTGAGGATCCAGCGGCGCACGATACTCATATCCGACCGGGACTCTGAATTCCGGCTGTATTTACCATTTTGTTGTTATTATTACAGGAGAAAAGCAGGCAACCCCAAGGTCGAACAGTGGCTTAGGTAGATCAGATGTACGTTAGTGGCTTAGGTAGTTGTGTGGTACTCTAAGCAGGGCGCCATCCACTGGAAACCGAGAAACGGCTGAAAAATGCACCGATGGGGAATCGAAGCCCGGCTACGTCGTTAGATCCGCGTAGGCAGTACCACTGCACCACGGCGCGATACGTTGAAATCCTTTGAAAGACTTAGTCGCTGTATCTGTACATGAGCCGCTTATCTCCTCACAGTACTGTTTTGTATAATAATTTAGGTGAATAAATAAGCGTCCTAATTCTTGCCAATCAAACGCATGAACAGTGACGCAATTCTTATATGGTGCACGTGTAGCCGCGCTAGTGTTCATCTACGTATACCGCGAATAATTAACGACGCCAGCAGGAAAAACCGCTTCGGCAACAGTTAATCGCACTGGCCAACCGGGCGTTACGCGCAGCGCTAGCCGGTTACCAGTGGAAATTTTAGCAGAAACTGGGCGTTCTACGTCAGACGTACTGTTAACTGCCAACGAAACCTTTCTCGTGTTTCTTTGTGCACGCACACGGCAGCCGGGGTGTGTTCATGCAGCGTATCATCCGCTGACGATTAAAACGGTTTAATTACTCTCTACAGCAGTTCAGCTGTTCAGTGTGGCCTAATTAAACAGCGTGATCAGTAATCACTTTGTGCTGCGTTGAAGTTACGCTTGTATATACGTCACCGCACCATCGCAGTGCGCATCTGAATGCGGTACCAAAGAAAGAAACGGTATCGGTTCACTGCGTACTCGTATGTACACTTTACACAGAATCTACATCGGTAGGTGTAAGTGATTAATTCCCTTGCTGGTGAACGAACACACCAGTATATCCAGCATTTGCGGGCAGTGTGCGCTGATGCGCCGGGGTGACCTTTATATAATTACAAATTATACATAGAAAAACAGCCGCAATGTTTTCGGTTGAAAAGGTACGGAGCTCACAACAACCGTAGCTTGTCCTTTTACTTTGAAAGGAAGTGGCCCGGTACATGGTACCAAATTCCCATTCTACCACTTTACCATTCTACCACTTTAGTTCTACAAATTCTTTCTAATATTAGGATGAACATTAACATTTGTTGGAATCATTTTAAAATTTCAGAAAACAAGGTGCAACTCTGGTTCGGCGTAAAAACGATCTTCATGGACATGTGCGACTACATGCAAAATTTATATGAGATCGGTCCATATTGAGACGTTTGGTACACCTGAATGCATTTAAATTTTTTGGAATTTTCTTACAACCGTAACTCAAAAACCTGCTTGGGCCAATCTTGGCTGTTAAGGAAACTCTAAAAGTTTAAACGCAATTCGGTGTACGAGTCTTGGTGTTGCATATCTCGTACCGAAAGTCTTGGTGTTGCATATTTGCGTTTACATGCAAAATAATTTGAAGAAGATCGGCCCATAATGCAATTTGTTTTCTGAAAAATAGTAAACACTTATTGGACTTCCCGTTAATTTGCTTCCCATGGGCAAGATAACAAATTAATATGACTATAGTAACAGCCTAGTAGGATCCGACCGTAGACACGCTCGTTAATCGTTCGTTACAGTGATGAGAGACATGGTGTCGGGAGAAAACAAATAACAAATTACTGTTTATGATTAGCTCATTGGGAAAATCACCATACCCATTAGAAACCATTAATTACCGACCCGGTGTTAATTCTTGTCCGGCTACTTAACAGACTGTCAGTGCCGGCAGGGCAATATTAACGATACCAGCCGGACTGAAATTCGTATAAATGCTCAAGATGCCAGTGCAGTAATATGAGTATAATACGTATATACAGCCAGAAAATCGAGCGTGAAGTTTTCTTAGACTTCTTAGGTTTCTTATTGTAATTATTGCCAAATAATATTCTTGACGGTTGACATGTTTATTAGTATGAAGTGCACTTCAGCGTGAAGCAGCGATATCGTTCGGATTGAGTGACACGGTTAATTAGCCCGGCACCCTGCAGTTCGCCGCCTGTTGCGTATCTAAACGATTGTTCAATGGAGAATAAACTCCCCTGTAACCGGAAGTATCGGCTAATCCCTAACTCATACGTGCCAGTCATGCTGCGTCCCCGAAAACGGCAGAGTGACCAGCTGCGGCCGCTTAATTATCGCACGTGAGTTGTTGATCAATGAAGACATGGAAACATAATTAATTTTTTATAAACAACAGCCGCTTAAATGGACAAACAACTGCGCCCGGTAATTACACGGGGCTCCTGTCAGCATCGCTTTATCGCTGACAATACTGATGGACAGTGTCGACAATGGCCGTGTGTCAAGTGGCGCGCGTCGCCTCCGGCGTCTCCACTACAAAAAATAATTAAGAAAAAACGAATTATCATCGTTACGGTTATTCAGCTTAACATTCACTGTGGCATATATAGCGGCGGTTACGTACATAAGAATATTAATGCAGCATACTCGCCTAGTTAAGAGAACGGCTGTCGCTGAGAAATAACGCGTGACCTTTGTGTGTATAGTATGGAGGTGGTCGTGGTGGAGGAAGGCGTGAAGAAGCAGGATATTGTCGCGGATATTCTCAACGAGCGCATTCGGCGCCGGCTGGATGAGTCGTTCTACGTGCTGGATCTGGATGATGTGCTGGAGAAGATCAACCAGTGGAAGCGCTGTATGCCGCGTGTCGGACTATTTTACGGTAGTTGACCGCATCACTCATACAGTAGAAAAAATGCTATATACGTATATGCTACTGACATAAGATTATTTATTTTTAGAGAGTATTTTTATAAAACATTCTACACTTTAATGGGTTACCTGCCTGCCGTACAATAAACAATAAATAATAATAAACAACTTTAACATTAAGGTTTTGAAATTTTTTAAAGGAGCGATAAAATCCAGGCAATATTTAATAATTGTTAAAGAGAACGCAGCGATTTTTTCACCACCTCTAAATGCAGACTATCAATTACGTAACGCTGGTAATTATGTTTCTGCTTTTCATTGTTAAAAGTAATTTGAAGATTACGTATTTTAAGCGATCATTATGTGTACAATACCGTATATTACGGCACTGCTGTAAATACAAATCGGTTAACAAACGAATAATATTATTATTCCGCACGTTTTGCTGCGGTGACCTTTCAGCAGGTCACTTGCATACTGCATCTGATGTTTTCAAAACTGAACGAGGCTCTTTCTGACTTATGAAACATGTTTTCTGATTCATCGTACAAGCAGCAAAACGGCTGCCAGAATTTACGTTATAATTTTTTTATAATTAACAAATTAATACTTTTTACGTTAATTTACGTTACGTAATTGCTTAAGTTAATTATGGGCGGACTAGTTCTACTTATTGCAGCGCATATTGCAGACATTGTTTCCTGACGTTTCTGTATAGTTTATCTTTGTATATTATTATAACCAAATTTACTGAATAAATTGTGTCGTATTTTGTGCATACGTAGTCGTATGCACAACGTTTTTCTTGGTTAATTTATTTAATTTAATATTTGGACATTACTCACATTCCGGGCACTTTTACATTAATATGGATTCGCGTGCTAGGCACCAGACACTCGGTATTCTCTGCGCTGTTCGACATAGTTAGAAATCTTCCAAATTTTTTATTAATCTCGTTCACAAGCTTGAAAAAAAAGTTAAAAACACTAATTATCATGTAATCAATTTTTTTATTTGTTATGTGGAACGACGCAGAGGTGAACGTGTCGCTGCTGCCCGGTACGCGAATCAAATATTGTGAAAGCGTCCGGAATGCGAAAACGTCTATGTACTCTGTATACAGTAATACAAATCAAACTTAATAAGGATTTTTATCCAGCTAAAGGCAATACACAGACTGACAGACATATATGCTTGCGCAGGTGTACAGTTATTGAAATTTAAACATTGATAAATAAAGATTAATAAACTCCACAGGATAGCCATATATCTTTTTCCTACAGCGGTAAAATGCAACTCCAGCGCGGCGATCCTGCGCGTCGTCGCCGCCGCCGGCTGCGGCTTCGACGTGGCCAGCAAATCCGAGATGCAGAAAGCCTTATCCACCGGCGTCCCATCCTCCCGCCTGGTCTACTCCAACACCTGCAAAGCCGCCTCCCACCTCGTCCACGCCCGCCGCCACGCCCTCCGCCTGACCGTCTTCGACAGCGAGGACGAGCTGCGCAAACTGCACCGCCTCTTCCCCGGCGCCCAGGTGATGGTGCGCCTGCGCTACGGTGACCCGGCGGCCGCCATCCCCATGAGCGGCCGCTTCGGCGTGGACACCGCCACGGCGCGCCGGCTACTCGGTGTCGCATGGCAGCTGGGCCTGGAGGTGGTGGGCGTGGCGTTCCATGTGGGGTGTGGCAGCAGTGATCCCGCCGCCTACGTCCAGGCCGTCGCCGAGAGCCGGAAGGTGTTTGATTATGCGCGGAGAGGTCGGGAAGCCGATGCGGGTGCTGGATATTGGCGGAGGGTTCCCGGGGGTCCTTAGCAAGGTGGCCATGTCGTTCCCCGAAGTAAGACCATGCTCTTATGCTGGAAAAGATATTCGTTACATAAAGTATATCATTGTTAAATTAAAGTATGTTCAATGTTCATCGTATTTTAAATTGTTTTTTATTATTTAAACGAACAAAAAGTTCCGTAAAATGTTTCTATAAAATTTAGGATTAATATTTTTTTTATAAAATACGTTTATTTACAGTACTTCTTTCAGTTTATTTATACGTGTATGTTGTTATTTTTTATTTTATTGAACGCGTTTATACCTACTTCAGAATTGATAATAATTAAAGGTTCATATTTTGATTCAAGACATAACAAGTTAATGACAGTACTTCTACTCGTATGTATATTCAGCTTTATTTTTCCCAGTTTTGTGCGCCCATTAATAAAGCGTTGGACGAGCATTTCCCACCGGAAAGCGGAGTGGAAATTATGGCGGAACCGGGACAGTACTTGGTGACCACCGCCCAGTCCTTATTCACTTCAGTCATCGGAGTCAAATCCGTACGTTAATAACGTTATTTCGTGTAGAAGATGAATTAATCATACCGAAAACGTTTAAAAGTAAGTAAATAAAAAATATGTAAAGAAAAAAAATATATGAATGAAAAGCTCTACAGAAACTGGAAATTTAAATACCATAAAAATAAAAATCTAAAGAAAAGCTAAACAACTATGTATGATCAAAAATAAGTGAACTCCAAAAATTAAAAAAAAAGTAATTTATAGAAAAAGATAAAAAATGTTTATTATAGGAAGCCGACGGTCAAGAACAAGACACGTACATCCTCAGCGACGGCCTGTACGGCGCCTGCCGCGACATCGCCACCTTCCACCTGCAGCCGACCATCCGCGTGCATCCGGCACACCCACCCGCCAGCGAGCCGAAAAAGGTCAAGGTCACGTTGTGCGGACCGACGTGCGACAGTCTGGACAAGCTGGTCAGCGACTTCTCCATGCCGGAAGCGCACACCGGTGACTGGCTGGAGTTGCGCAATATGGGCGCCTACACCAACGAGCTGGCCAGCGGCTTCAACGGCTTCCCCCAGCCCAAGACCGTCGTCCTCGTGTCCAAAGGTCACTTGTCATTAATACCCACTTAAATGCCTAGTTCAGCTTTTTTAGAATTTATTGTTATCTATGTTATTCTGCTGCCAAATGTAGCTGTGTGTTGAATTACTGCAGAACATTAATGTTGCCACGCAATGTACGCCGCGCTCCAAGGGCGGAGAATACACGCCTACAGATTGTCAGATAAACTGTTGTGGGTAGTAGCGCATGTGGGCGTTTAATTGGGCGTTGTTCCGCCTACTAGTAAAGAAAATGGCTTCATAAATGGCAACAGTTCATGTACATCCGCAAAAACATTCGCTGTTGAGCCCGCCGATCCTTCGTGAAAGTTCCGTGCTACGCTTGTTAAAACGACCGTGTTTTGTCCATTTTAAAAGCACGGTTTGTCCCGTTAAATTCGCCACTTCTCTGGCATCTGAATATTGCGCGCCCACACGGTTTTCACGCCCATGTATACAAATCATGCCGAGCTTATTGCATAATTTCAATCCCATATACTCTGTATTTGGCTGCATTTGGCTACATGAAGTTCTGCCTGAAATGGGTAGTTAACAAGTTTCTGTGTGGATTACGGCAATCGGGAGATAAATTTTTATTAAACAACAGCCAATACCGATATATATACAGTATATGCCTCCGCTAATGGACGCTAATTAAAACGATTCAAATCTGTGAATTAATGAGGCTGGCCGAATCCAGCTTGACCGGTTAATACCTCAATACAACGACAATCTACGCTTACGTGCACGTGCCGAAGGATTCCCGACCCGTCCACGCATCGCTCCGACATGTCGCCGTATGGTGGCGGATGATCCCGTTAGCAGCGGGCTTTCTTTGGCTGTGTACGAGATTAACGTGATCGTGACGGAGGAACCTTACAGCTCCATAAAGCGTCGCGTGATCGGGCAGAAAGATTTTTGGAGAGCATCGTGCACCGGAAGCTATCGACAGGCCAGCCGCTGAGCTGGATTACTACTGCGCTTACGGATTAACGTTTTTGCCTGGTTTTCTTGTTTCCCGTTGAACAGTGTCATTTTATTCTGTACTGTAACGCGAACAGTCTAACATCATCAGCAAACAATGTAGGACGAAGAAAAAGCGCGCAAATCACTTCCACAGCTTATTAACAAAATCAGCCAATCCCGGTTTTTATAATTACCTTTTGCCGTATGTACAATTATGTACAATTGCTACTGTATAATAATCGCGTAAGCCTTAACGAAATTCCGTTAATTATCATGTACAACAACATTCTAGCACCGGCACTGTTGTGAATATTACACAGTAGCGTGATTACAAAAAGCGTATAATCTAGATTACTGGATGAGAAATACAGATGCGCGGCACGGGATACGGATGGGAGGAGGCGTCCTCAGCCGGGCGCAGACTGCCGCCCCCGGGCGCCGGCCGCGTCGTGCCGTTGCCGCTGCTGAGATTGCTCAGCGGGACAATGTCCGATTTGAAGAGCCGCTTCAGCTGCCACATCCGCAGCAGCTGCACCATGAGGAGCCGCACCCGCAGGCGGTAGTCGCGCGACAGTAGCAGAAAAATCACCTGTCAACACCACACGAGCGTTAACATAACACTGGAAAGTATTACTGAGTTAGCATAAAATAAAAAGAAATTAAATTTAGAATACGGAAAAAGCGCCGACATCTGTTAGATGTTTCTTAAGCAGAATCCTAGAGCGGAAGCGTTTTCAATGCGAACACATGATCGAAATACAAGGGCATACTGAAATTTCCCGGAACCGAATTACCTTTACAAAGAAGCGCTCGTTTTAGCACTGAATGATTAATTGAACAGTAAATTCTGTCGCATCACTGCGCAGACTGTATAACATTCCTCAATAATGGGTGCTTAAACAAAATGAGGTGTAGCGATGCGTATATGCGTCGACTTAACGTATCATCTGGTACGCTACACACGCGAATGCCTAAGCCCGTTCCTTGTTGTGCTGCCTGATCGGTAATCACACTGGCGCGTGACCAATCATCTCCACGAAAATACCGTACTTAAAGATACGCTAATGACTAGTGACCTTTAGAAGAAGCCGCGGCTGAGCCGTGTCGTCGGTTAATTCGCTGCCATTTAATACCGCAGGTTTTGCATTGATAATGGTTGCAAACGACGCATTTACAACTTAATGCTTTCTTGTGGTTAATTTTATTCTTTGGTTTTACGGAATGTGCGACAAAATAATTTGCGTCTCAAATCAAAGGGAAAAAAGACGGGAATTCCGAAAATAAAATTCGCATTATGCTGCCACACCGAGCGGTTGCAGCTGATTCGAGCGCCGAAAGCTGCAAAATTTCCTTCATTAAAAATATTGGAAATTTGCAGCTTACAAGGTTTTCGCGAAACATAAATTATGCCAAACGGGAACATACAAAATCTGTAAAAAATGGTTTCTAGATCAGAAAAATTCGCTGATTATTAATACGTGGTCAGACTTGGCTTTAAAAGAACCAGCACATGGTCGCTGAGGGTGTCTTTAGGAAAGTGATTTTCACAGGAAAATAAGTTACCTGAAGGAAATTACTTATATGCCTTAGGCGCTATATTCCTTGAAGGAACCCTATACGCGCGCTATCAGGGACGTGGTGACCTTTATAATAAGTCTTACCGGACTGCCGGTTAATCCGGCGTAGTAGAGCATCCGCATCCACAGATGCATGGCCGGCATAGCCACGTACAGCCGGCTGAAGTACACCAGCGTAATGGTAAACGGCAAATAGCAGATCATGAACCACAGCGACGAGGCGAAGAGCATCTTGGCCATCCTTAGCCGCTTCCGGCTCTTCTCCAGCACCCGTGCGCTTCTCCCTCCCTCCTTTCCATCGGTCTGACGGCGCACCCGCCACATCTGCAGGGTGAGAAAGATGACCAGGTAGTTGGCGAAAGTCCCAGCCATCGGGAAGTACGACCCCAGCGCCAACAGGAACACCTGCGTGGGTCGCTGCGGCCCCACGGCCATCACCACCCCGCACGACTGCCAGGGCGGCAGGGCGTCGAAGCGGCCGACCACGCCCAGCATCTGCGGGAGGGTGGTGGTCAGGGGGATCAGCCAGCTCAAGGTGGTCATGATGAAGATGGCCGGGCGGGAGGTCCAGGCCGGGTAGTGGTGCGGGAGGAGAATGGCGGTCAGGCGGTTGATGGAGAGGCAGAGCGCCGACCAGTGCTCGGCCTGGACGATCCAGGAGACGGCCAGGTAGAAGAGCGCGCAGGAGGCGGAGGAGGGACGGAGGCTGGGGACGGCGGTGGAGAGGGCCAGGGCCGGGACCACGCCCCCGCCGACTAGGAGCTCGATGAAGAGGAGGTGGACCACGAGGCACTGGGAGCCGGCCAGGACGTGGCGGCGCAGGAGGATGGAGAGGATTAGGGAGATGCTTAACAGGGCGCTGACGATGCCCAACATTACCATCACCACCGTCCATGCTAGCATCGTCTTCTCGTAGGTAATCCACACCGGCACAGGTGCAGTGCGATTTATACTACTGTTGTCCATCGCTTGACAATTACACTGTCTATATAATTAACAAAACGGAAATTGCCGGCACTTTTTTACGCTGTAAATCAGCTGGCTGTTTAGCAGGCTAGAGTTTTGTCCGTTATCGGAATTAACCAGACTACAATTTCGGAATAAAAAAAGCGGAAATCGGCCAGTCGGTCCGCGGTTCGAAAATTGAATAATAAAATCAACAAACCGCGTGCAACATGGGCTCATCCAATTAGCATAAATCACCGGCACTGGGTTCGAAGAGGGAAATGTTTGTTACGCACAGTATATGGTAAAACGAAGGTCTCTTTGTTTGCTGGAAACGGCAGTGCATCTTTAAGAAAATGCAACTGCCGGTTGTGCTACGATCGTATGACATTTGCGATCTTTATAAGGAATGTCATTATAATCGCCTGGCGGCGGATAATTCCTCCCTAGACAATACACAGATGTACCTTATGCTCCTGTTTCCGCCTGTTATTACCGGCACGGCGTGGGCGGCCGTAGCGTGATGGCTGCGTACATTGGTGTGCCGGCAAATCGGAGCCTTGGATGCGACGCTTCACGCCTGGGGAAGCAGCCCGCGTGCTCGCTGCTTGCATTACCAAATCCCTTTGATACTGCTCTTATTCTTCTTGCCATCCGGATAACGTTTCTTACAGGAACAGACGCTACAGCAATCGCTGACAATGCTTATTTTATTATATAATAATCATAATATGTGTTACACGAAAAAGCGCCTATCTTAAGCAGGTATTGTCCAAAGGTCACCGCTGATATCCTTGTAGTTTTGTGGATAGGCGAGCCAGCCGTCGTTTCCGTGAAGTTTCCGTCTGTTTTCTGTAAGGAAGCCTTTGGCCGGTGTGGGTGGCGTTTGCACGGAATAAACCGCCGGCGAATTTGGGAATGATACAACGCACAAGATGACTTGAACGTTCTTGTGCTGCGTCTTACGGGCAAGGGGCAACAGAGAATGGCTGTTTCTCTGTGCGTCTGCCGTACGCAGACGCCGAATGAAACGCGAGATTCTTTGTCTGCTGGGTAGTTTGCTGGCAGCAGACAATAAATTACTGGGTAATGTAAATATATATAATGAAAGTGCTAAAAGCGTTACAAGCGGAATCCAGTTGGCACACGTGCAATTTCACGAATGGCGGATTGATGTCGGCGGAGTGCTTGGGAAAAGGGAAAGGCCAACTGATAACGACCCGGTGCAGACAACATGCAGACAACATTTGTCCTAATATAACATTTGTCCAACAACATGCAGACAACATGCAGACAACGGTGCAGACAACATTTGTCCTAATATACTCAGTAGGATGTGTACTAACGGTATTTTATTTTCATTATACACTGCAAGCAAGAATGCAAGGAGCAGAAACGACAAGAATATATATATATATATATATATATATATATATATATATATATATATATATATATATATATATATATATATATATTCGTTCAGTGAAACGGCAAGAACTCACTCAGTATCTTTATACCGTATCCAGACTGGAAAAAGTCAGACGGTAAGGTTAATTAAGCAAATACAGTGACACAGGTTAGGACAGCCAAACCGGGATAACGGTTCATACAGGAACAGACGCTGTATCAGACGCTATTTCTCGTTTTTACCTACCTACATATTCGGCACTGCCTTTTCTCATAACCCTTTAATACGATATTTAATTGGACTTAAAGGATTTCGTTGTGCGATAGCAGTGCAGGACATCTTTGCGTTTTTCCTGATTTGGCTGAACATATGTTCGGGTTCAGTTTATCCATTGAGCATACCAATCATATGCAAGTACTAACATTAATTACAGGCGCAATACAAAAAGATCTGAAGATTATGCACCATAAGGCCTCGTTGTGCATTATAACTATTAAGACCATTATAGCCGTTCAATGTTGATTACCGGTATAATTAATGACCGGAGACGTCAGACAGAGCAGCATAGTTGAGTTAACTTGAGTAGCCGGTACAGAACGGGCATCGTTCATGCCATGTCGCAGACAAACCCAATGCCTTGATCAACTTCTACGTCAGATAAATAAACTAGAAAAATTATACGGTCACTAGAGAACATCCCGCCGTTTTCTCCGGATTACTTCCATGTGCCTTCTTCTTCGTAATAACCACAATCGGCAGGATCAACATACTGGATGTTCATCTGCAACAACGACAACGGTTTGTACTGGATTATTGATGACCGCAAGAAGCGTGACGGCAGTGGCACCAAATCAGCAGCCGGGTGCTGCACGACAGTGAGGCACCACAGAACCGCAGTATCGTCTATAAAGGAACTAACAGCATTCCCAATATCGTCCCGAACAAGAATCTACGGCAGCACGCCACAATGGTTCTTCGTTATTTCGGGAGACAGGACTAGCAACAAGCGTAAGGGAAGTTATCCGGTACGTCACTTTGTTACTGTAATTGTAAATTCGTGTACATGCGAGATCTCTCTTTTGAGCACTCCCAAACACTTATTCTGTATTGTCTTATGCCTTTCTGCAACCAATGAATCAATGATTAGTGTCCATTGGCGTTAATCTGTGCGCGCAACATTCTGTTGAAGAGTTATATCGACAAAAAAGATTCCGAAAAGCTTAAACGCAGTCCGCTGGGCCAAAGAATTTCAATTTAAACCAGCTGTCTTCAAAAACCGCATACAGTTCTGGAGCAGGGACCCAACTTTTTTCATTTTGTAAAGAATATAAACGTAAACTTTTCGAAATTTATTTTAGAATTTGAAGAACTTCTAACTCCATGGTTCACTGGAAGAACGATCTTCATACTCAGGTACGTATATGTGTTTTCGTGCAAACTTTAGAGAAGGCTTACATAGTAACATACTGGCACATCTTGGCACATCCCCAAAGCGAGATGGCAAAAGTACAAAAAATGTTCTCAGATATATTTTTCTTTAGGTATCCAAATTATTTAGCTACAGAAGGTTGTTAAAGAAGGCACGGAAGCGAAAGCTTCCGTGCTTGTACATGATGGGGATAGTGGGCATGCACCGGGCCACTTCGCTTTAAGAGAAGTGGGCCGGCGCATGGTACCAAATTCGTGTACATGCACGAAAACTTTACCTTTTGCGCACTTCTAAATACATTTTTGTTTCGGTTTATGACATTCTGTAGCCAGACGACTTGTACACACTGGTCTGAAAACCGTTTGTGCGCGCAACATCCATTTCGAGAGTTATGGCTGTCAGAAAATTCCAAAAATTTAAACGCATTCAAGTATACCAAAAGCCTGATGGACCGATCTCCCTCAAATTTTGCACGTAAATGCAGATGGCCATGAAGATCGTTTTTACACCGATCCAGACATCCACGATTTTTTTCAAATTTAAAAAATAATTTTTTAAGTTTTGAAATTCATTTTAAAACTTGGAAAACATGCTAGAACATTAAATCGGTGTAAAACGTTCTTCGTGGCTATGTGCATTTCCATGCAAAATTTGAGAGAGATCGGTCCATAATGAGACTTTTGGTACACCTGAATGCATTTAAACTTTTTGGAATTTTCTAACTGCCATAATTTCCGAACCGGATGTTGCGCGCACAAACGGTTTTCCCGCTAGTGTATACAAACCTTCTGGCTGCAGAATGTCATAAACCGAAACAAAAATGTATTTGGGAGTGCGCAAAAGTTAACGTTTTCGTGCATGTACACGAATTTGGTACCACGTACCGGCCCACTTCCCTTAAGCACCAGCCGATGAAGGTCACTCACCCGAAACTGCGTCGTGGCCAGCAGCACGTCGTTGCGCTGTTTGTCCTTGAGGGTCAACGTACACTGCAGCACGGTGTCCTGGTTGTACTCAATCGGCGGGACCATAGCTGCAGCGGTATACAGGATGGTGTCGACGTAGGCCACGAAACACGGGTCGTTCGCGCAGGTTAGCGTCGGGTAGACGGCGTCCTCCACACCGGCGCTGATCGAGTCGCGGATCTGCACCGCCAGATCGTCGTAGCGCGAGCAGGCCTATACAGAATATTCTTGCGAAAACTGTCAGGGAAATATTTTGTTATTACACAAGACGCAAACGCCTTACACCGAAACGGTACAACGGTGTCCCCTCGCTACTCCACGCCTCCAACTGGCACGTGGTCACGCACAACTCCGCAGGCAGGTTGACAATCAGCGCCTTCCCGTTCTCTGACAAAACAGGGAAATGCCGTATGAATTTTCATCCCATCTGGTTTAGTCATGTTTCGTAAAGATTGCCAGCCTCTGTTTTTCGGAGAACCTGCTTTTACCCATTAGCGTATAACCAGGTTGCCACGTTCACAAGACCATCAGGAAGGGAATTTATATGAAAAGGGGGGAATCCGTGTAAAGATGGTTGTATTATGGGGGACTTAATTACGGAGACAAGGCGTAATTTGATAAGAGAAAAAATTCCCTATGGAAAATTCCCATGGGGAAGTTGAGGTACACCTACAAACCTTTAAACCTCGTTGCCACTCACCGCCCGATTGGCTGACATAATCGGCGCACTGCTCCGCGGAGCAGGCAAAGGGCAGGGAGCGGAAGTAACAGGGATTGTTGCTGCAGGTGGGCGTGGCCGCCGCTGGTGTGGCAGCCGCACAGGGCGGCGCACAGGTGGCGCATGCCAGACAGTTTCCTCCAGCGCGTGCCTGTGTGTAGTTACCGTAGCCGTACAGGGAACTGCTTGACGCGGCCGAGGAGTGGCAAGTGTGGGTAACCAGGCTGAACAGACATATCAAATGGACCACCTAATCAAAATTGATATTACAGTTCTCGACAACTAAAGCAGCACAGTCAGAAAAAGAACTAAACGTGTACCTTTATGTTCTGCAGAATTCTTTTCTCGCGGGTAAACATTTTGCTCGCAGACAAGGAAAACATTTTAAGCGGTAGATAACAAACATTAGCTGCCGCCTGCTGGACAATTAGCATGTACTGGATTAAGCTCAGAAATGATGAAATCATTCATCATGTAACGCTGTAAGTCTGTAACACTATTACAGAGTACACTAACCTAGTATCAGATGCGCGCGCATCGTTTTTTCTAGCTGATATTTCGGCATTCAACACTACTGTTACGAAACACGAAAAAGCCGATGAATTATGGTAACACTAATGTACAGGATAGAACAACCAATATTTGCAGCAGCTGCCCACCCAGTCCCTTATCACCCATCGCGGTTGAGTAATCCTGCAGTATACGCTTTGTAAGTTATATTGATTTCCATATCAACCCCATTTTGTCGACAATCAGCCCTTCTTGCGGGCACGTTGTGGTGTGGATATTATTTTAATGAAAAAGATGATAAAGATTTGAGGTAGCAGGGTTGCGAATTTATAACGACGACAGTAGTGATTTGATTTATTCATAACTCTTTTTTTAACATTTGACCGGCATAATTAGACAGATTTGTGTAATATTAAAAGGCTGTAATACAGAACATCTTTGCGTTTTTCCCCGATCATTTCGCAGAGCACGTGTTTATTTTAGGTTGTTCATTTGAGTAGACAAACCTTACACGTCTGGTCGGTATAACGTGCAAGTGTCAAGAACAAAGAACATTACAAGAGATTGGTGGGTTAAAATTAAAACAGATGTTCCTTAATTAGCCAGTAACTGATCGGATTTATTTACGAGGGAGATACCCGAACACGTCCGCTTCGGATCAGCATACACTTGGTAACACTGGAATCCTTAGAAATTCAGCTATTTTCTTCGAAAGTCAGAACACCCTCAGATAAAGAACTCGAGTTTAGGGATCTCTGAGAAACCAACACAGATATGATGGCTGACTTCCATCGAAACGTCACGTTAGTAACCCATAATTTCAGTGCCATGGTTTTTTTCACCACCAGGGATTACAGCAGATTAAACAGCGGCTTCGTCCGCATTACTACTGTAAGACCTGATGCGGAGCTCACGTACAGCGACAAGTCACTCAAAGATAGTCAACACTTTGCACCGTTGTGCAGTGGCTATGTGCCTTTTATAGCAAAGGAAGAAGATCAGGTCTTTATCTTTATATCTTTTCTTTATATTCATACAAGCTTACCGACCAAATCGTATTTATGCGCCGTTTTAATAGGCTCGTCAACGCGTGGTCAGTTTAAGTCCAGCTTGGTCTTAAAAAATTCCATATTTTCCATAGGTGTGCCAACAGATTTTTGTTTGTTTTTATTAACCAGTGGTCAGAAGATGGTTTCACCAGGTCTTAAGTATAGGAAACGTAAAGAGCACTCGAAGAAGTAAGTACTGTATTCACTGCACAGTTATGAAAAGCCAATAACACAATAATGTACTGTAACCACGGAGACTATAGCGGATGCATAAATACTTGCTCTTTAGGTAGAATTATATATTATTACGTCATGCAAAGTCCATACGTATTTCAGAGCGTCAAAACGTCAGAAATTCAATACGTATGAACGTCAGAATGTAACACCGTCAGAACGTCATACAGTAAAAACATCGGAACGTTAGACGTTCTAACGTTATAACGTTAGAACGTCAGAACGTTAGAACGTCAGAAAGCCAGAACGTCATAACGTTAGAACGTCAGAACGTTAGAACGTCATAAAATCAGAACGTTATAACGTTAAAACGTCAGAACGTCATAAAATCAGAACGTTATAATATTAGAACGTCAGAACGTTAGAACGTCGGAAAGCCAGAACGTCAGAACGTCATAAAATCAGAACGTTATAACGTTAGAACGTCAGAACGTTAGAACGTCATAAAATCAGAACGTTATGACGTTAGAACGTCAGAAAGTTAGAACGCCAGAACGTCAGAACGTCATAACGTTAGAACGTCAGAACGTTAGAACGTCATAAAATCAGAACGTTATAACGTTAGAACGTTAGAACGTCAGAAAGCCAGAACGTCAGAACGCCAGAACGTCAGAACGTTAGAACGTCAGAACGTCATAAAATCAGAACGTTATAACGTTAGAACGTCAGAACGTTAGAACGTCAGAAAGCCAGAACGTCAGAACGTCATAAAGTAACAACATGAGAACGTTAGACGTTAGAACGTCCGAACGTCATAAAATCAGAACGTTATAACGTTAGAACGTCAGAACGTTAGAACGTCAGAACGTTAGAACGTTAGAACGTCAGAACGTCAGAACGTCATAACGTCAGAAGGGCAAAACGTCATAAAGTAAGAACGTTAGAACGTAAGACCGTCAAACGTTAGAACGTCAGAGCATCAGAACTTCAGAACGTGAAAAATTAAAATTGTCAGAACGTCAGAAATTCCGAACGTCAGCCTTCATATATTTTTAATGACCTTTCCAAAACAATGCCAATACTGTCCAGTACTTAAGTGCCGAGCGCGGATGCGCGAGGCTACCTTGTATTCATACAAGCTTACCGACCAAAGCGTATTTTTGCGCCGTTTCAATAAGCTCGTCAACGCGTGGTCAGTTTAAGTCCAGCTTGAGGTTAAAAAATTCCATATTTTCCATAGGTGTGCCAACAGATTTTTGTTTGTTTTTATTAACCAGTGGTCAGAAGATGGTTTCACCAGGTCTTAAGTATAGGAAACGTAAAGAGCACTCGAAGAAGTAAGTACTGTATTCACAGCACAGTTATAAAAAGTCCTTAACACAATGACTGTAACCACGGAGACTATAGCGGATACATAAATACTTCTTTTTTAATGCACTGTAGATGAAAAATTATTATGTGAGCAGCAAATTACGTAAACGTCCATAAAAGGTAAAGTACATCGCCCAGTATGTCGCCTGTACAGTATCTATACGTCGGAACGTAAAAACATCAGAAGTTAGGACGTCAAAAGGCAGAACGTCAGGTAATCCGAACGTGAAAAATCAAAAACGTCAGAAATTCAGAACGTCTGAATATCAGAACGTAAGAATGTTAGAACATCAGAATGTCAGAAGGTGAATTAAAAACGTATATCAGAACGTACGTTAGAACGTTAGAACGTCAGAACATCAGAATGTCAGAATGTAAAAAATAAGAAAAAGTCCGAACATTAGAACGCCAGAATATCAGAACGTTAGAACGTCAAAAGATCAGAACGTCAGAACGTGAAAAATTAAAAACATCAAAACGTCAGAATGTCAGAATATCAGAAAGTTAGAACGTCAGAACATCAGGATGTCGGAATGTGAAAAATAAGAAAACATCAGAACGTAAGAACGTCAGAAGTTAAAACCGCCTGAAGATCAGAACATCAGAAAATCAAAACGTGTAACATCAGAACGTCAGAATGTAAAAAATTAAAACCTTGGAACGGTAATACTCCTTATAGAACCCGACTGCGAAAGCGTAGATGCGATTTCAGTCTTAATCTAAAACAAATCACATTTTCCATACTTTCCTAATTTTCAATAAGTTTTATCATTTCCCGCATGCTTATGTATCCTTTAAAAATATTCATAATTTCCAGTATTTAAGTGCCGAGCGCGGATGCGCGAGGACTTTTGGTACACAACAATGCATTCAAGCTTTTCCCTCATTTTAGTACGCATTAGTTCGGCAACCGGATGTTGGGCGCGCAAACGGTTTTCAGACGGAACAATGTGTACAAATCATTTAGCTCTAGAATGAATAATGAATTACAAAAAAATTGATTCGGAGTGCGCCAAAGTGAAAGTTTTAATGTATGTATCCCATTTGGACACCATGTACCGGGTCATTTTCCTTAACAAGATACCGTTTCTTACTGGAACTGACGCTAAACAATTCGCTGAGAATTCAGCTGTGATTATCAAGGAAATAGATCTCTATTATGATCGGCCGCCCCGTGGAACTTGGCTTGAAAAAACCGCTAAGCAAATTAAAAAACCGATTTCACCATTAAACTCAGCATGTCCCAAAAGGGCCCCACATGCATTTTGTTTTCAAAAATATCTGCCATGGACCATCGCTCGGATGCCGGTACCGGTACAGGCATCAGTTCAGGTGACCTTGAAAGACCTTTTACATAAAAAAAAACACTGTTGCGTGGAGCAGCTAATATTCGAATGCAGAATATTTAGTGTAATAAACTTCGAAACTGTACTTTGTGTAACCGTACTTTCAATTAAACTTCGAAAAATGTTTCAACTTTGTCACTTTTCAACAAAATGCTCTAAAGCGAAGAAATTTTCTTTTGGTTTTCGGAACCGGAAAACGCTTTTGCACTGGATCTTTTTAGCTTTTCCGCATACGCATACATTGTTCTCTGTGCATTACAAAACACTTAGATCTACAAACCAATAACCATAAAATTTAAAATTAACTTTAGTACCAAAAAAGTTGTTTGGTTCGGTGTAAAACGATCTTAGTACTCATACTATATATACTCACGCGTGTACATGCAAATTTAGGATATTGGGGATTATTCCTATTTACCTAACCATAGTTTGCAAGCGAAAGTTTACTGACCGTGAGTTTTCATATACAATGAAAAACTCACGGACCAGACCGGCATATGAGAACGGAACCCAACGGAACCCTTGCCCAGTACCCACTGTTCGATGTTAATAAAGTTCTTGAGCTGTCGAATGAACAGAACCGCACAAAGGTTACACTATCCACTAACCAGACCTACTGAGTTACAGGAAACATACTGACCGTCGATCAGGCCTGTAGAGTGAACGGAAGCTCAAGTTTCAGGGAAGGGATATTATCTTAGCGTTACAAGGAAAGAGAGAAAAGGGACTTCTGTCTACACGGCATCCCCCCGCTGGAGCAGACAGAGCACCAGACCCCTGATGACTACAGCAAGGATCTGAAGGCAACAATCGAATCCATTGGGATCTCTGTTAGATTTGTCTCCATTTATTCTGCTAAAAAGGGTCGTAAGAATAGTTTGTTCGCACGTGTTGGTTCTTACGCCAGTGAGTCTGAAAAAATGTTCACGGCAGACAACTGGCCCCTAACATTGGGGTGCGTGAATGGCAGTTCACCCCTAAGGAGCAGTAGTTGCCGCTGTCTCGTATGCATCATCAAACTTATGTTTTCTGGTACTTAGTTTGTACTTAAACGAAATGAATTATGAATTCATCTTAGCGTTACTGGCTTAGACCAGATAAGAGCAGAACCGTTATCATTGTCCAGCAGAACGCTAATGCTCCAGCTGTCAAACGAACAGAACTGTCCAAAAGCTGGCATGTCTATCCACCGACCAATCCTACTAAATAAAAGGAACGGTCGCCATGGTCCGATATCCTCAATTTACCACCGGCCGTACCACCCCTTACCACAAACAGAGTGACCGCGAGGGCTAGTTTTTGTTTTGTTGGTGACTATTGCCAATAAACAAGAAATTTTAACTACCTAGTACCGGGTAGAACGACATCCCGTGTAAATGCAAACGGCATTAGATGCTTAAAATCTCTGTCAAAACCTTTTTTGAAAACAGTTATCCGGAAACAATCAAATTCAGAAAGAGCTAACCCACAGGTCATACCAGTGTTTAGGGAACACTAATCAGGGCTGCTGCGTAAACGGAAATTACAGGACCCGCCATTGCTGTTATTAATGTTCGGTGATTAGGACAACGTGATCTCTGTTGCTCGTTATCACTGCACACTCCTGCTGCTGACTGAATGAATCGAATTATCCAAAAATTCACACTACTGTATCTACCGATCAAGCCTGCTGATAATCTGATTACTGAACAAAGGATATTATTGTCCTCGATGTTTCCACATACCAGTTATTAAGAAGTAGTGAAGCAGAATTATTAGAAACTTAGCACCGCTGACCGCTCTCCGATTATTAGTCGTGCTACTAACTATTTTGCTTCACATAAAATGAACCGATCAGCTATATAATGATGTTTCCTGATTAGATCAAGCTAACTGAAGCAACGAACAGCGCCTAATCATAAAATGTAAAAACATACACACAAACCAGGCTTCAAAAATAAATGAACAAGAATTATTTTTCAAGGAATTGATTATAGACCACAAGAGCATCTGAGGCGAAGCCGAAGATGACTCTTGTTTTATTATATAATCAGCATAACTTGTGTAACACGAAAAAGCGTCCATATTAGACAGGTATTGTTCAAAGGTCACCCCTAATGCCCGTGCAGTTTCGTGCTTAAGCCAGCCAGCCGGCGTTGCGTTTCGGGGTAGTTTCCACCTGTTTTCTGTAACGAAGCCTATCGCTGGTGTGGTTTGCACTGTCAGGGAAGAAATCGGAAAAATAATCTGGAACCTGAGATCTGGCCAACAAATATGTTTGTAAGGGAGTGGGTGTATTGAATTGTGGTGTTTTATGTTCACCTGCCTTCTAGTGGACAATAAGTAGTTCTTTACTGTGAGGAAACGAGAATATTCGAGAATAATACAAAACAACTCGAAACTCTTTCGGATTTACACCAGCAACATTATAACGGAGTTGGTGGAACTTAGGTATATACAAATGCACGTACCTACGCGTCCACGAACATGGTTTGAGAGTTTTCATCACATTACTGAAGGTAGCAGGTAACCCATAAACCTGCTGTGTTGCACATATATAGCATGGGAATTTCATCCCACCGGAACACAACACACACTCATTATCAAACTCCGCTACAGAAGGCATAATCAAGATACAGCACGGCTCAGAATTGCAGGCATTATTAGACTCAGCGCTGCATGTTGATAATGTTGATGAAAATCTTCGGATTGTTAGTTTCATGCGGTTGTATTTCCAACCTCTTCGATATAGCCACATTCAGCAGGATCTACGTACGTGATTTTCACCTAAATAACAATAGCCGATAAACAGTTCCGCGGACCGTTACATGCATGGCGAATGCATACCGGCTTAGCCAACACTATACAGTTCTGTACACTATAAGCGCAGGCAAAGCGACGCCGTGAATTTTGCTCACTCAGTACCTATGCGAACAGAAACAGCCAGAGCGGAAAAACCTTTCCGGACGTGTTGGCATAGGTGGTAAATTACAATAGTTTCTAAACGTCCGATATGAATTTAAATTATTTACATGCTCAGGCCATAAGGCCCAGGATTACTATTTTTTCACTAATGTCTTTGATGATTGTTCCGAAACGCCAAGAAAACTGGGTGAGCAAAAATTAAGGCGGATGTTTCGGCGGTTCCGGGAACTTGTAGCGGACATTTGGGACGGCCGATGTCGCGGTCACTTACCCGAAACTGCGTTGTGGCCAGCAGCTCATCGTTGCGTTGTTTGTTCTTGAGGGTCAGCGTGCACTGCAGCACGGTGTCCTGGGTGTACTCAATCTGCTGGCCAATAACTGTACCTGTATACAGGATGTTGTCGACATAGGCCACGAAGCAGGGGTCGTTCCCGCAGGTCAACGTCGGGTAGACGGCGTCGTCCTCCACACCGGCGCCGATCGTGTCGCGGATCTGAACTGCCTGGTCGTTGTAGCGCGCGCAGGCCTGCACAAACAACGTCATTAGTGGCTACCGAATGATAACAGGCTTGCACCAGAATCAGAAACCTATATGAACCGGTGTGGGCTTACACCGAAGCGATACAGCAGGAAGCCACCCTCGGCACTCCACGTCTCCAGCTGGCAGGTGGTCACGCACAGCTCCGCCGGCAGGTTGACGATCTGCGCCTTGCCGTTTTCTGACGCCAGTTCAAAAGTTCGTTAATATAAATTAGCAGGCACGAGAAAATTCGTATTTCAGATATGTTTTTGGACTTTTTGCACAGTGCGTTGTATTAGTAAGAGAAATTATAGACTCTTTTTATTTCAATTCGTACATAACATGGCATTAACCAGACACTACTGCTTCAAAATTAAACTAGGGATAAAAGCCCCGTTGTGCTATAAATGAGCCAGCTGGCTACGTTGCAGATGGCATAGGTAGTGCTACCTGTACCTATAAATCTGCAAATACGGGAAACATGTGGAGTCCCTAAATAATAGCACTTATTCATAAAAAGGGATAAATGGAAGAAAATATATAAAACTGGATTAATGAAGATCAGAAACACCAATATTCCAGCGCAAAAACCATGAACGGGGGCATTTCAGTATCCGGCCGCCGCCTTAGGCGGTTGTAGTGGACACCGGGACACCACTTACCGCCGGATTTGCTAATAAAATCGGCGCACTGCTAGGGGAGCAGGCACAGGGCAGTGAGGGAAAGTAGCAGGATTGTCGCTGCAGGTGGGCGTGGCCGGTGTCGGTGTGGTGGCCGCACAGGGCGGCGCACAGGTAGCGCATGTCGGACAGCCGGTGTTTTTTGTCGGCGAATAATTACCGTAACCGGCGCCAAGGGAATCGCCTCGGGCAGCTGCAGCGCCGACGATGTGGTTACTAACAAGGCTGGATATGCCAAAAAGGAGGATCGCCTAATCAGATGTTTCGTAATAATGTGTCGTAATAATGCATCCGGACAGTTAAAAGCGCCACGTACTTCCGTACATACTAAAGTCAATAAATTGGTCGTGTCTGGCGCAGAGAAGGGTTACACACGGGCCGCATACCTGCGCTGTTCGCGGAATTTTAAAAATTGCACATGCTGATTTTCTCCACGGCATAATAATTTTTGCGGGCAGACATTTTGCTTAATAATTTCACCGGTGAAACAAATTAAAGACGCTCGAACAGCCTGGCAAATTAGCCGGTGTTGTATTTAATTTACTCAGAGGATGATACAGATCCTTGCCGTAACGTCCCAGTATATCAGATGTGCTCATCGTGTTTTTGATGAATTGTAAGAATGTAAACACTGTTACGAGAAATATGGTCAAAAGATGGTTTGCTGTGGCGTTAAGGTACAGCTGCAGGCATATTATAATTAATACCCAGCAACGAATTCCAAAAGAATTTTTTTAGCTTTTCAACGAGATCATCCTGCTGTTATCGGCACGACCGGCACATATTATGTATAAATAAATATAAAATTAATTGTACTCGTCGAATGTTTTTTCATTTGTGCAGATCGGATTATGTGGAATTTTGAGCGTATTTTTTTTGTCCTACAAATCAATGTCACGCATTAAAAAGACTACCCTAGCGATGGGGCTGAAGGCTTTGTTTGATAAAATAACTGGTGGTGGAAAAAGTAATGGCACCGAATTTTTTGGTTGTGGTTCTGTGAAGAAATATCTGTGTCTTCTTAAAGGATTTGGCCCGGTACATAGGATAAAATGCATGTATATCCACGGGAATTTTCGCTGCCGCGCACTCCCAAACAATTTTGTGAATTGGTTTTTAATATATTGTAGCCAGTGGATTTGCATTCCAAGGCGTGAATTCCATTTACATCGCGCAGAACATCCGGATGGAAAGTTATGGGTAAATCACAAATCCAAAAAGTCTAAATGCATTCAGGTGTACCAAAAGTCTCAGTATGAACCGATCTTCTTCACACTGTGCCTGCATACGCACGTGCTTTCTTGATCCTGTAGAATATAATTTTTGCATTCCGTACTTGATTGGTGAAGATCAGAATATTTTAGCCAGATTAGAGGAGCATTCAGCTAACTGTTGCCGGTGTCTGACAGAGCATGTGCGGTTTACCATGACACTTCCGCTTGGCTTAACCGGACACGTTCCGTTGGCCGATGACGCCGGCATTGGACGTGGTGCGCCCGCGTGATCCGCGGCTGCGTCCAACGGTCGACATCACTTCCGGTGGGCTGGACTTTTCCCGGCACTTCCAGCAGCACAACAGCTGGCGACGGTATTGTGTATTCAGCATCATGTACAACACCTGCCGAAGTGCGGACATTTAAACAACGTACTTTTGAGTAGACTCAGTGTTAATTCGTATGTACAAGCCCGTCCGGATGATGAGCACGATAGAGAACAGCAAAAAATGTAAATTCATGGGTTACGCCAAACAAGATACTGCGCAACACCGCGCCACACTGTTCAACCACGTAACATGCGTTTGGCTGGCTGGTGGCCTGGTGCACGCCATGCATTTCAATGGGAATAATCGTAGTTGCCTGGCGGAAGGTGGCCACAAAACGGTCGGTGCGTGCAGTAAGGGACAATCAAACTGCGGAGCGCATTCACGCATTGTGGCAAACGTAGTGCAGTGGCCATCGTGCAAAGCGCTAACATCGCGCTTAATATGCATTAGCTGTACCTTTACGTGCTCATTACCCGGACGGGCTTGTACACATCCACCAAAATCTGCACTTTCGCGCATCTCTACAGAAAGTATTGTCATTTTGGGGAACATTCTGTAGCCAGATTTGTATACATTGCGCTGCACCATCCACCGTAAATTAAAAATGAATATTAAAATTTTTTAAATCCATTTTAAAATTTGAAAATAATATTGCAACTCTGATTCGGTGTAAAAAGAATCCGCATATCTGTAGATATGTTCGTCTGCATTCAAAACTTAAAAGAAATCGGTCGATAGTGAGACTTTTGGTACACCTGAATGCATTTAAACTTTTTGGAATTTAAAAAGTTAAATTACTGTAATTACTGGTAAAAAAAATTTTAAAAGTTAAATTTGGAATTTAAAAAGTTAAATTAACTGTTATTAAGTTAGTTTACTGCCGTAACTCCCGAACCAGATGTTATGCTCACAAACGGTTTTCACATCTGTATATACAAATCGTCTGGCGACAGAATGTCATTAAAACAGAGCAAAAAAGTGTTTGAGAGTGCGCAAAAGTGAAGGTTTTCGTGCATGTATACGAATCTGGTGCCATGTACAGCGCCACTTCCTTTAACCTGCATTAGGCATGGCCGATACTGCTAAATATCGATCTAGTTAATAAACTATAAATTTAAAATTGCAAAATGTTAACTTTTCTTCTTTATGATAACCTTAAGTTTTGAGAGGAATAGACATTTCATTGCGGTGGGCGTCGCGTAGTGGTAATCTTTCATAGCGCAAACTTCCCGCTAAATCCGTGATATCTGTACCTTTACGTTAGAAATTACGGGACAGGCTACGGGACAAATTACTGGGATAATTCGCCTAAAATTGCAGCGATTTCCTTACCGGAATACTGGCCGTCCCCACCGTCATCAGCCCGCGCAACACCTGCCGCATAAACGGATAGCGAAAATACAGCGTGGGAAACAGTGGCGCCACAAGTGGTGCCGGCGTCATACAACATGCGTAGCAGACGAACACGGCGAAGAACACCAGCGTACTCCGGAACCGCCGCTGCATCGTCCGCTGCAGCTGGCTATCCTCCGCCGGAGCGATCCGCCGCCGCAGCACCGTCTTCCGCATCAGCACCACGAGGAACACCGTCAAGTACAGCGCGAACAGCAGCGCCACCGGCAGCGCAATCCCTCCGGTGGAAAAGGTCACCGACCACGCGGCCCCGTACACCACGCCGCAGGAGTACCACGGCTCCAGACTGCGCATCACCGCCTGGCCCGGCAACTGCGGCACGACGGCGAAGAACAGCCAGGTCACCCAGCTAAAGGTCACCATTCCGTAGAGGGCGCGGGGGCGCACCCAGGCCGGGTAGTGGTGCGGGAAGCAGACGGCCACGCAGCGGTTGATCCCGATCATCAGGTCGGCGTAGTCGATGGACGGGAGTAATGCGTTGTATAAAAAGTGGGCGCGCCGGCAGAAATTGGGGTCGTCGGCGATGGAGAGCGGCACACCGGGGTAGGACTGGATGAGGAAGGGGAAGGCCACGCCGCACTGGAGGGTCACCATGATTAGGAGGTTGACCATGAGGATGCCGATGCCACGGCGGGAGTGGCGGGTGGAGAGGATGGCGCCGGTGAGGAAGATGCTGCCCGTGGTGCCGACGATGCAGCTGGTGGCCATTACGCCGTACCAGATCAGCTGCTCGGTGCGGTACTGGAGGAAAATCAGCATGCCCGGGCTGATGGTGATATTGGTGCGGTTAAAGGTCATTCTTTGTACTGATAAGGAACCCAACGGGATCCGCAAGTATCTTCCGAAAGGCTCGATAAACTGGAATTACTAAGGCCTTCAGAAAGGTCAGCACAGGGGAGTAAAACACTGGAAATCGGTCAGCCGTTTCGCGGTTCAGAAACTGAAGGATAAAGTTAACAAACAGTGTGCAGCAGGAACACATTCAATGCGCATAAATCGCCGGCACTGCGTTCGAACAGTGAAGCGCCGGTTTGCGCAGTATGCGTTAAAACGACGCATCGACTTTTTCAATCCAACAGTGCTGAACTAAAAAACTGGAATCGGTCAGCCGGTTCGCGGTTGAAAAATTGAATAATAAAATTCACAGTTTGCAACAAGAACAAAATCGCCGGGACTTATTATTGCTTTTTTTTGTAAATCAGTTGGCTGTTTGGCAGGCTAGAGTTTCGTCCGGTATCGGAAATTAACCAGACTACGAGGTAGCACTAAAAACTAAGATAATAGCTGATCGGTCCGCGGTTTAAAAAAGAATAATAAAATCAACAAACAGTGTGCAACAGAAACACGAAGACAGCTGCGCGCAGTTCGCCGGCATCGGGTTCGCACAGTGCAGTGCTTATATGCCTAATATGTCCACTTGCTACAGTCGAACACTGCAAAACTGAAAATGCAAGAAATTTGCAGTGTTATGATCTTTGCCTGACAACATTGCAGATTCTGGATGGAAAAGGAAATGATAATTCTATTCGGGACAGGTATCCCGGGCGAGCATCAGATTTCTGATTTGATTAATCCGGTTGATTATTTCATGTGTGTATTGTGGCAGCAGCAGCTTCCCGGCAGCATATGGGCGGGGCCGCGGGGATGATCATGATACAGCGTATCACCTGCCGTCCGCCCGTTACTTTCCGGTCTTGGCAGTAATATCGTAATTAACCTCTTTAATTGTTCATACGGTTGTTGGTTCGGGTATCTCGCATGTTTCTGAGATCGTCCAGGTTCCGGCCGTTACCTGCATTTGATTGATTACCCGCGGGATTGCTTAGCCATAGCATTTTTGTACATCGCGCATTTTTAGCTGTTGTGTATACTCAAGCAAGTACACCAACCGGAAATTATACCGTCCATTTCCTAATTTTTGTTTCGGAGGAGAAAATAAGGATAAAGGGGTATGGCTTCATACATAGCCTACAGGCTATAGGCTATACATAGCAAACTGACTGTGCGCCAGGAATTTTCCTGGCGCACAGCACTTTCGAGGAATAAATGCGGAAAATAAAATTCGAAGTGTTTTTATTCTGTCTCTTTGCGACTGTAAAGGGAATCTGACCATCCTCGTATACTTGAATACTTCCACGTTTCTCGCCTTCCGGACATTTTCACAATATAGATCCACGCACCGCGCACCAGAGACACGGTATTCCCTATGTTGTTCCACATGACAAAAACTGTTCAAAAATTGTTTACGCGATAATTAATGTTTTTATACAAGCTTGCACACGAGATTAATGAAAAATTATCAGATTTCTAATGTGCAACACCGCGGAGAATACCTTGCCTCTTGCGTCCGCTACGCGAATCCATATTGTGAAAATGTCCGAAATGCGAAAAACGACCAAGTACATACAGATATACTGTACTGTACTGTACTGTATATAAAAAAACCGAAAGCAGGCTCGGTAGACAAACTGTTAATAAGTTTAATTACCTTAATAAGCTTGATTACGTACTCGTACAGATATACAAGTGTCGGTCGCGCTAGCGCGCGACCAGCTGTGTTTGAGGTGTGGAAGAATGAAAAAAATACAAAATATACTCGTACTTCGTAACAGCAGTAAAAAAAATTTTGAGAAATATTTCAAATATAAAACCTCTGCGAGGCCAGCTACGAAAATATTTTAAACATGTAGAAATGTGGGAAGTTTATTGGTTTTCAAGCTGTCCGGTTAAATTCGACCAGTTTTATGAAACTGTGAAAGCCTCCGTAATTCTTTTTTTCATGGTTCTTTTTAACGTTTTTAATGTAACTTTATACTGCCGATCTAAAGTACTGAAAACTTGAATTTTTGGTACGACAGATAATATTTAAACAGCGATAAAATGGTAGAGTGGGATCATTTAAACGATGCCCATAAAAAACCATTTTTCAGCGCAGAATTAATGGAAACTTGTGGGGAACAGTTAACGGTCGCCCAAGGTGACCTCACATCACACCCAAGGTGACCTCATTTGCTACTACTGTAATTGTAAGATTTTTCAGCCATCAGTCAAGCTCTTCAGTATTTATCAAAATAAAATAAATACATATTTAGCAGATTTCGAGGTTAGTGTATGCCCAAGCTGTCACCAGTATCACAGAGCCGTACGAGAGTGAATACAAAAACAGACCGCGAACCGGCATTTAGATATTTAGAAATTACATATAAATTAGACAATTAAGACCGTGAGATATTGAGGTACTCAGACATTCCTAGACATTTTTAAAATGTTGAAACTCTGGAGGCTCAAAAAATTAGAGGTAACGGCCCCGCTGCGCGGGGCCGAGTCGAAATATTTAGAAATGTTTAGAAATTCTTGAAATGTAAAAGCTTTGGATGCGACTTTGATGGAAAAATTTATAGTTAAGTATTTTGCGGTATCCGAACGTGTTTTAAAAGCACCTTAAAGGTTTCAAGAATTTAAAAAAATTAGAATTTTGATGGAATTGACAGTTTAAATAACTATACAGTCTGTAGTTTAGGTTGCTAAGCTGCGAAACTTGTTTTTCCTTATTCGATACGTTTCCAGAATTTACTGCCAAATTTCTATGAACCCGAAACGCTAAGTACAGGAAGTTTGAAAGGGTTTTTGAAAACGTTTCGGAAACCAAAATTTTTTTCCAAGCTGCAGGTAGGAAGCTTTGAATGGTGCTCTATTTTATAAAATTAACAACTTAATGGAAAAATCAAAGTTGATTTAGGAGATGATTTCCAAAAGTAACAACCTTTAAGTACTAACTATCGTTAAGTACTACAACCTCTAAAAATTTTTTTAGACCTTCTCCAAAACTCAAAATTTTTTTGAAGATAAAGGTAGGAACGTTTCTGCAATGCTCTGTTTTATAAAATTATCAACTTACTGAAAAAATCGATCTTGATTTAGAAGATAATTTCCAAAAAATAAGGACGTAAGGATATATGAATCTATTGATAGGTTTAATTACGTTAGATGGCATAAACACACCGGTAACCGGCAATATTCTTGTACACCTCAGCGCCGGTATTTTATTTTAACAAATGCAGATGCTCCGGTGAGATGCAGGCGACCGTCCCGGCGGTGGGGACACCGTTGAAATTGGAGGACAATTCCTTGGCGTAATTCCCCATATTCTGGATCTCCAGCCACGTGTTCTTCTCCAGCGCCGGCAACGAGAAGTCCTCGGCGATGATGTCCAGCGGACTGCACGTCGGTCCGAACAGCGTCGACGGCGTCCCGGGGCGGTCGGCCGAATCGAACGACGGCGCGTTCAACGGGTGCACCCGGATCTTCAGTTTCGGCTTGAAGATCTCGATGTTCCGGCACGCACCGTACAGCCCGTCCGACAGGACATAGCCCGGCTGGCGCTGCTCCTCCTCCACGGTTTTAATGCCGATGACGTAGACGAACAACGACTGTGTCGTGGTCACCACGAACTGCCCCGGCTCGGCGATGATCCGCACCCCGGAGGCGGGCGGGAAGTGCCGGTCCAGGCCGGCGTTGAGGGCGTGGCAGAAGTGGGGAAAGGTCACAGGCGCGTCGCTCCAGTCGCCGCGGAAGCCGCCGCCGACGTCCAGGACGGAGAAGGGCCGCCCGTGGGCGGCGGCGAAGTCGAAGAGCCGCTTGGCGACCTCCACGGCGCCGACGTGGGCGTCGGCCGTTCCGCTGACGCCCACCCCGACGTGGAAGGCCACGCCCATGACGTCCAGCCCGCGGTCCCAGGCGCTCTGGATCAGCGTGCGGGCGGTGGCTTCGTACACGCCGAAGCGGCCGTGCATCTGGATCTTGGCGTGCGGGTTGTCTTAGCGCAGGCGCACCATCAGCTGGGCGTTGGGCTGGTACTCCTGGAGCTTGACCAGCTCGTCGTGGCTGTCGAACACGGTCAGGCGGACGTTGTGGTGGGCGGCGGCGATGATGTTGGAGGGGGCCTTGCAGGTGTTGGAATAGACCACCCGCTCGGGGGCGACGCCGTGCAGGGCCGTCTGCTCGATCTCGTAGCGGGTGGCCACTTCGAAGCCGCAGCCCAGGGCGGTTAGGATGCGGAGGATTAGCGGGTCGGGATCGCATTTGACAGCTACAGTAAAAGATATTTTTTAACCCTTTTTTTGTACATATATTGATATGTACAAAAAAGGGTTAAAAATATCTTTTAAAATAAATTTATATATATACAATTTTTTTATATATATTGATATGTACAAAAAAGGGTTAAAAATATCTTTTAAAATAAATTTATATATATATACAATTTTTTTATTCATAAAATATTTATCAAACGTTCTGTATCGGTAAAGGCTGGATAAAACGTATTCTGTGCTGAAATAATGTACTCCGTGATTTAGCGTCTAATCAATGTAAATCTGTATAACCCAGTTAAAAGCCATTTAATTAATAAATATTTTACTTAAGAGAATAATGTTATTACACACATACGCAGTATATAAATTTGTATTAATATTATTCATTTAATATTTTAGTATAATCTTGAGGTTGCTTTTAATCAGAATTTTAATAAATTTATCGATAAATAAAAACATGTACAAATTGCCGGCTGACCGTAGTACAGTGCCACACGCGGCAGATGGCGCTTCCACAGCAAGACATTCTCGATCATCCGGTCGACGTCGAAGAAGAAAAAGGACGCATCGCAGTACTGGTCGTACTTGTGGGCGATGGCCGTCTGAATCAACGTGTCACGCGTCAGTTTCTCGTCCTTAACGAAGAGATCCATGGTGGATCCGGGGCAATGCGTATACCGCGTGCAAATAGCCATCTTCACCAGAAATTAGAATTAATTAAGAAATACTGATGCTACACGACGGTCAGTTGAATGGGAATGCGTCTGCTCAGCTTCGTCTGCAAAAAACTAATGCAGAATGACGATTTACGCATTTATGATCAAAGTCAACATCACGCCAATAAAACGAATATTTAACGTTTCATTGCACAAAGTCGTTAAAGAAGTGATACATAAACAGCCCGCGGTGGTGAGCAATTACGCGGTTGTTAATCATTCTCGGCTTAGACACTGAACAGATGTTTACATTGTTTTAGTATTTCAGGAAACTCAACCTACAACTTGCTTGGCAGTAATTAATTTCCGCCGCTTTCGAGGGCACGGTTATGGATTTCACTTGCACCGGCAATTGTCATGCTACTGTAATAACAGCGCTGCCGCTTCAATCTGCCGATATATTTATATTAAATTTTGGCAGATTGAGGCTTAAATACACGTACATACGTCCCGGTGCGGTATTATCAGTTTAATACCGATCATCAAATTCTGCACGAAAACGCACGTACTCCGTAGATATTAAGATCGTATTATTCGTACGCCGAATCATTGTTTATTGTACGGCAGGCAGGTAACCCATTAAAAGGCTAGGATCGAGATCTAGCCTGGGAATTTAAACCTGGCTAAATAACAGGATTCATAATGAAATTAGAGCAAAAGCCACAAAACAAGAGAAGTACTAAGAAAACTAGAAAGGCATCAATTAATGGTAACATGCTTCAGTGCATTACGAAAAACAGCAAGCGAACTGCTATTAAGAATGTCGCTTCCGGCCTCGGTTAGCTGGCTCATAACGTTGTCCAGCCTCCACGCCAACGTGGACTTCCCCGTCCTTGTCCTTCCCTGTCCTTCGATGAAGGTCCTGTTTCCGCTTCGAAGGCTGTACGGTTTGGAATCGTGTTTTACGACGATCATTTCGGTGAGGTAACGGGGCACTTGGAACTTCTCCGGGTGCAGAATTTTGTAAAGCCAAGTTATTTCCTGGTGTTTCCATCGTTCAGATAGTGGCGTAATCCCGTATTGTTGCATCAACTGGGTAGCGGATGTTTCGGCATAATTAGCAATAGCTCGAACAGCTTTTCGTTGCACGACGGCCAATGGCTCCAGCGTGGACACAGGCGCACCGCTCCATACAATGGAGCAACGGTCCAGGTGAGACTGGACGAATGCGTGGTAAAGTCCAACGCGGTGGGCGACTGGCAGTGCATCTTTCACACTGTTTATTAGGGCGACTCCATGATAAGCACTTTTTTGAACCTTTTTAATTTGGTCGGTCCATTTCAAATGCTCGTCAATTATCACCCCCAAGTGCTTCACTGATTTTTCCGGTTCAAGCTTATGCCCATTCAAATCGACCGACACCATGCTTTTGTCCCGACTGTACGCTGAAGCGATCATGAGCAGCTTAGACTTCTTTTCATTGACAACCAAGCGGTTCAGTTCAAACCACTCACAAATTATTGGAAGCACAGCGGTTATTTTGTCTGCTTGATAATAAGGATATCGGCCGCACTTGATCTACCGATTTTGGCTGACCGCACTTCGGCAGGGCGATTACTTTAGCTTTTTTGAAAATGTCCGGAAATATTTTTTTGATAAAGCACTGATTGATCAGGTGAGTCATAGGCTCCACCAGCAGTGGATAAATCTCCTGCAAGAGTTTATGAGGGATACCGTTAGGCCCGGCGCATTTTTTCCTGCTGAGAATGTCGTGACTTTTCAGACGAATCAGACTTCTGCATAAAGGCGCAATTTAAAATCTTCACAAAAACAATGTGATCCTGGTATACAAATATTGATAAGAATACGGTGATGCAGTGATTTTTCCGGCCGGTCGCAAAAATACACTGGCACGACGGAATTGTTTTTTTTTATTACAGTAGCTGCGCAGAGAAACATTTCTATGAGATCGCTAATCGAGTGGCCAGTTTCCCGCCCGGGAACACCATGGTCCGAAGTTACGACATTTCGTTTCGACTACAAACGACGGTTAGTGGCAGCCGCAGCCCTTGGCCACCATGTTGCGATACTTCTTGAGGACCACGTTGGAGTTGTCGTCAAAGTACAGCACGGAGATGGCGCTGAGTTTGGTGGGGGCGCAGAGGGCCTTGGGCACGATGAAGGGGTTGAAGAGGTGCACCAGGGTCTGCACGATGGCGTGGTTAGTGGCGTTCATGTGCGCGTTCAACGGGAAGGAGCACTCGCCGTGGCAGAAGTACGCCGCGTACCCGTCCGGCGCGATGATCCAGTCCTACACCCCGGGAGCACAAATTAATCTATGACCTTTATTTTATTATACTTTTATATAAACCATATTTATTCAATAATTGTTTCTTTATTTCGATTTTATTTGATTAATTTATTGCCGGCCCGGTTTCGGCAAGGGTCCTACGCGAACTGACCGGCGAACCTCGCTACGGCTTTTTGAAGACAGCCGGTTTAAGTCTAACGCGCGAATGACATTAACGATTTCGCACGTACATCCTTTTCTGTGTTTAGAATGTTATGACGTACTGGCTGATGCCGAATTGAAATCCACGAGTTTTTATTTCTATATTTTTATTTACTTTTTTCCTGCAGTCAGTGCAGTGGTTCTACTAATGTATCTTCTTATAGCTTAAAATGGAATACTTTTTATGCTCAAAACGCAATACTGACCTGCCAACCAAGGAGCTTGAAACTGACGTAAAGAGTTCGCTTCTGACACGTGCGGCTGGAATACCCGGCGTCGTATCCTAAACACAGTACAACGTCACTATCAAAATGGATAAATATTTTTCCAGTACTTCTTGGGAAAATTTCATGGCAGTTTTTGGATTACATATAAAAATATACGGGATTATCGGCGACGCACCGGCAAACGGATTCCACTGCGACGGCGACAACCGGCTATCAAAATCATGCGTGGACGACTGCGCCTGCTTTTTGCGCGAGCGACGCGGCGTCTGTCCGGGGTCCGGGGAGCGCCGGACTCGGAAGAGCGACTCCTCGCTGCGCTGCTTAAAGAAGCCCACCATAAATCCCTCTTTGTCATCGTCATCATCCAGCCGGTCGCCGGCGATGAAGATCTGCGATGGCCGTATGGTCTCATCTACAGGGTCAAGAAACACCGGGAATAAATATCTGGATGGTGAGGCAAACCCCGGTCTGTGGTATGCATACTGGTCGCCGACAGGATGTCGATGAAGAGGCCGTAGTTGGTGCTGGGCGAGGCTAGCCACGCCTCCACCGCTCGCGTAACGTTGAAGATGATCCAGCCTTCGAAGACGGTGTACGTCTGCTGCTCGTCCAGCAGCTCAATATCCCGGTCTCTACAGCGACAAAATTGTTATTATTATTACTATTATTATTATCGCACTGCAGCAACCAAACTCGTAACGGAGATACCTTTCCAGGCTATTGGAAAAGTTTATTGGCTGATTTGAAAAATCTCTTTATTTTTCCTGATTTGATTTTATGCGATGAAAATTTTATTTAGCCTAAGAGAATCGTATGTCTGCAATTTAAATTTTAAAGGAATATTGATCTGCTATGTCCGTACTCTGCATCCTGTCCTCGCTTGATCATGTAGACATAAATGGTGAAATTCTCCAGCGGATCCTGCTGCCAACTGTAGGCTTTGAATAATCGAAGTTCCGCCCCGATGACGGCGTGATCGGCCGACACTTCCGACAGGTCAAAGAGGAAGCGCCGGTCCCGTTCCTGTCGCAGATGCAGACTGTGCCGCTGCGCTGTAAAATCATACCATAAACGTAATCATTCTGCGAAAATTTTTTTCGTTTATTCCGGTACATATGTACATGCATAACATTTTTAAACTGCCGATGCATACAGATACATGGATATACATATATATGCACATATAAGGGGCGAAAGTAAACGCGTTCCACCGTTCCCCTGTACTGCTGCCGTCACCCGCCTGGAGTGTGACGTTACGGCAATACATGTGGTTAAATCTGGCGCGGTACATAAGCGCCATGTTCAGCCACAACGTCAAACTCCAGGCGGGTGACGGCAGCAGTACAGGGGAACGGTGGAACACGTTTACTTTTGCCCCCTATATATGCAAAGTGATTTCAAGTTTTCTATATAGGGGGAAAAATGTGTCTAGCCGAACCAATCCCTTGTACTTCTGATGTAAGCCAGCTGGTGGTTTACGTTGTGGCTTGACAGTGTTTTATGTAAAGCGCTGCTATTAAGATTGCAGGTACTGATAACAGGTAAGCTGCACTCGTACAACTGCAGGTAAACAGGCTAAAACTGCATTATAGCCCGGACCTGCCTGGTGCAGCAAAGACCACATGTATCGTCAATGCCGCACAGCCGATTAAAGCCGATTTTATTTATCAGTAGCAGCGCTTTACATAAAACGCTGTGCAGCCACAACGTAAACCACCAGCTGGCTTGCATCAGAAGTACAAGGGACTGGTTCGGCTAGACACATTTTTCCCCCTGTATTCTATTTTTTAAATATTCTGGTACATACTCGTATAAAAAAATATTTTTAAAATGCCGGTGTATTGTTTTATGACATTGTGTAGCCAAATGATTCGTATACACAGGCCTGAAAATCGTACAGTGCGCGCAACATCGGGCTATGATAATATTATAAGGAAATAAAATCAACACAAAATTAATACTTAACAAAATTTTGCAACGGGCGCATTATTTCTCAGCACCCCTCCTGCAAATATATGCCGGATGTTGTAGCAGTAATATTCGCACCTTGGTTGACAAAACTCATAATGACGTCGGCATCATTCACCGAATTCAGCGTGGAATTATTCTCCGTCCAGGTGAGATCGTGGACTTTGGCCAGGAGCTTCTCGTTGTCCACCTTCAGCACGCCCGTGTCCTCGTCCACGAAGGACTCGTATAAATTCTTCATGAAGGTCGGCGCGGCCTGGCCTGTTTCGTGCGCGGGCGGCCGTGGCCTGCAAAACTCGCGGTTGAAAAATTGAATAATAAAATCAACAAACAGCGTGCAACAGGAATACATTGCGCATAAATCGCCAGCACTGGGTTCGAACAGAGAAGCGCTCGTTTGCGCAGTACACTGTAAGCCGAGGCATTTAAATTTTTGTATATAGTAATGGTGGTCACCTGGAGTGTAGTCCCAGCAGCCCCAACATCTCGTGCTGGAGAACTTTCTTCTCGCGCTTCAACGGCGCATACAGCACCGTCTGATCGATGCCATTATCGGCGTAAAATCCACTGATGTCGCTGGCGCCCACCGCCACGATACTCGATAAAATCAGTTGCACAACCAACATGATCCCTATAGGCTTTATCGGTAACCAGATATTCCGGGCCAATTTTTGTGGAACAGTTCGATCATCATAATCTCGTAAAATTTACCATGCGCATATATCGTAATAACTCCACATGCACGTGCTGCACATTGCGTTCGATGGAGTGGAATGGCAACAGGTGTGTGAGAGAAGACAGGCAGGCTTGTCTCCGTGATGCCCGGAGGCGCTCATGTGGCAGCCAGTGCGGCGCCTGGCTACTCCACTAAGAAGAGAGCATTAGCAATTGAGCAGTCTGTCTGCCTGTTGAGAATTCTCTTATTAGTTTAGTGTGCTTCTGGTGTTACACGAGACGACTGACTGGGCAATAGCACAGTATCAAGTAATATCGAGTACAGGTATTCACCGGAAATATCGAAAGAGCTAGTCAAATGAAGCAATTGTAAAGTACGGATGTTTTTTTCGACGCCATCAACAGTAAATCTGTAGTCGGCACTTGAACCGTCCCGTTTTATCCCCGTTCCGTATTCATTATAAGTGAAGAGAAGGAAGGAATGAAAAAGCGGAACGGAATCTACTTATAAAAACCTGTTCGAAGAAAGCCTGTGTGCCTGATTGATAGGGTAAGAATACATCAGATAATTATTCTGATAAAGATTGTCACCGGAACTCACGTTTTTTTGCGCTAGTTGAAGTGTGTGTGTCATGCACTTCCGGTTGCTGCATACCGCAGCACATGGACCAGCTTGTACATAATAAGCACACACACACATTTCCATTCGTTCGGCAGTATTACTACAGATTAAATCACGACGGCGGTTTTATCAAGGTAGTGCTTGAGCAGTACTGATACCGTATTACTGGTATTCGGTCCATTTATCGGCAACCATTTCGCAATTAAAATGGCCAACAGAACACTGTTCCTCTGCCTGATCGGAGGCTGTCTCCTGGCGATGCTTATGCCAACAGGTCAGTTTTCCACTTACACGTACAGTAGAGTGAATTAATCCCCGTAATGTTATTCCTCGGAACGTACAGTAAAACCATTTTACTTGCACCAGACAGTTCCTAGTAGAAACGCTAAAATAATAAATAATAAACGCTAAAATGCACCAGCTAAATAATAAACGCAGTGCAGATAATAATAATAGCACACAGACGTTTTGCGCATTTCGGACATTATTGTCATGACAATATGGATCCGCGAACCGAGACACGGTAATCTCCGTGTTGTTCCACATGAAAAAAACTTCAGAAGTTGATTACGTAAACAGTTTTTGAAGAGTTTTTGTCATGTGGAACAACGTATACGTGATATGTACTTAGTGTTTTTATTTATAAAAGTTTCACGAGTTTAATAAAAAAAACTTATCAAGTTTATAAAATTATCAAGGTTGAGCGAAGCATCGAGTATTTGCATACTGTGTCTGTGTTGTCCGGTATGCCAATCTGCATTGTAAAAGTGTCCGGAAAGCGAAAACCGTCGAAGCATGCATGGTGTTTTCGCAGTCCGGCCTTTAGGTGCATCGATTTATCTTGAAGAATTACAGTATTAAAGTACTGTAAAGAAGTGTGGATCCGTACTAGATAGATCGTAACTCGCTCTTCGCTAATCGGTAGACGCGGTACGGCCGGTGTCCTGCGTGGAAGTTACCCAGACCGGGAAAGGCGACCGGTGCAGCGACGTGGCCCGGGCCAACGGCATCTCCGTGTCGGAGCTGGTGCAGATCAACCCGCAGATCGCGGGCTGCGCGGCCGACCGCCTGCTGAGCCCGGCAACCTGTGTGTGTCTGCGCGACTGTCCCCAGTGTGCCATGCCTGTCTACAACATGCGGACGTGCCAACCCCTTTCCGGATAAACGGCATCACTGCGGATACTGAATGTTGTCTAAGCGGGCCACCATGTTCTGAACAATATATTCTGACCAGCATACTAGGTATAAGGGCACCATTACCGGAAGCTGGGTCGGCTGTTTCTAGACCTGACTTTAGTTTTGTTTGCTTCTTACGTAACGTGTCGACATTATACAAAAATTAAATAGACCTGGTACCTCTCGATTCCAGTGGAGTGAGTGGCGCGTCGTAGTATGGAGCTTAGTGTAACACTTAAAATTGTACATATATTTTGCTGTATTGATTCGTCAGAAATTACCGGACAAGTTTGTACAGTAGAAATCTGTACGTGTGTACAGTTTCCTCGAACAAGTCGAAAAAACGTAAATCCTGCAAGCCGATTCGCAAAAGGCCTGGTTGATCTTCTCGATACGGTAAGGTCATTGTGATACCGATCGTGATATTACTAAGAACGTACGTCTTGTCCCGCTGGTTAACGGTGTGTCATGCGCACTTCTGGTTGTTTGCTGCATACCATCGGCATAAAATACAAGTACTTAAATAAACAAACACTCCATTCGTTCAGCAGACAATCTGATCCGCGGTATTACTGCACTAATAATCGTCATAATTTGGCCATAGCACGGCAGGCAAAATGGTCAACAGAACACTGCTCTTCTGCTTGATCGGAGGCTGTCTCCTGGTGATGTTTTTCCCAACAGGTCAGTTTACCGTTAACATACCGCATTGAAGCGTATTTCGGTGCTTTTTTAAAATGTTTTCGACTAGAAACCCTTTACTTCTATGATTATGATAAAGAAGCGCTTAGACATAATATTAGTCGGTTAGCGCGCGGATACTTACACAGTAACTGATCAGATTTGGTGCTTTTAATTCAACGGCATTTCGCCTGTACCGGGTACTATTTATTTCCAAGTTTTTATACGTCATACTTACAATTTTCTCGTCGATGTATGAGTTTTGGACTTGTTATATGTACCAGTGTTCAGCTAAGCCATCGAAGAAACTTTTTATAATTAAACAATGCGTATTAAGTGATACTGTATTAGAAAGATTGATAATTTCACAAATTAATCTCGTGTACACGGTTGTAAGTATGTACAAACACTTACAGGTGCAGGAAAAATATTTATTCGCAGTGCGCGATTTATCTTGATTAAGTTAAAGTAAGCACTGTAACATAAGGAGGTGCATGATGAAGCAGAATCGTAACTTGGTCTTGGGCACTCGGTAGACGCGGTACGACCGGTGTACTGCGTGAGGGTCACCCGCACCGGCAAAGGCGACCGCTGCAGCGACGTGGCCCGGGCCAACGGCCTCTCCGTGTCGAAGCTGGTGCAGATCAACCCGCAGATCCCCGACTGCGCGGCCGACCGCCTGCTGAGTCCGGCTACCTGTGTGTGTCTGCGCGACTGTATGCAGTGTGCCATGCCTGTCCACGACGTGCGCACCTGCCGGCCCCTTTCCAGATAAACTCCATCGTCTCTATTAGCGGGTGTTGCGCCGGGTTTTCGGCCAGATAACACTGACCGCGTTGTGTGTTATCGGAGTGTTTACCCAACTACTTACCTGTTTTGTGCTTTAAGAAATGTGTTTGCTGCTTTTGTTAAATGCTGCATTTAACCAAGTATACGCAACTACTGTCGCCAATAGATGACATCATGACAGCATGATGCTTAACAAATAGAAGCCCACAGCCAAAATAAAATAAAAAGTAAATTTGAGGAAGGGAATGGTTTTGGTTTAATTAAAGTTTGTAGCCGTAGTATAGTCGTTGTTGTCAAACACGGAGGAAACCATGATAGAAATCACAGAAAAAGGTCATATTAAATGCAGCAGCTGTTATGCGTAGACCGTTGAAGTATGTATTTAACGCACGTGCTGAGATTACGAACGGTCCTAACGATTTTAATCGATGGTTCCTTCAATGTTTAAAATTATTGCGCAGGTGTCATTGATATGTACTGTACAAGTCTGTATACTGGCCTTTTTACATACGTATCTAAGCGCTTTTTAGTGCGGGAGAATAAAAATTCTGGTGCAGCGCTAGCTATACGAAGTTTCTATTAGGTTATACATGTATACAGTACCGGCATCCGTGCTTCACCCATTTTATTTGGCCAAAGTTTGATGAATTATCTCATATTAACAGTGCCATAAACTCTTTATAGGAAGTCAGTTTCCCGCTAATACTAAACGCTCGCTCCATAAAGGTCACTTGCGTCCAACTCCTAAGGAGAGCAGCCATGTTGCACCTCCTCTTGTCACAGTACTGTTCGATATACACCGCTAGATACACAGCCAACGCCGAAGCGCAAAAAAACCAATTTGTCCCACATTACAAAAAAAAACTCGAAGGTCACCGCAGCAAATGCAGATAATCCGATGATATACACACGATAATCTCCGCCTTAGGGACGCCGTTGAACCCGGACGACAGTTCCTTCGCGTAGTTACCCATATTCTCAATCTCCAACCACGTTCCGCTGACCAATGCCGGTAGATGCAAATCCTGTGCGATAACATCCAAAGGACTGCACGTCGGTCCGTAGAGCGTTGACGGTTGACCCGGCTTCTCGCTGCAGCAATACGAAGGCCCATCGACCGGATGTACACGCACCTTTAATTTCGGCTTGAAGATCTCGATGTTCCGGCACGAACCGTAAACCCCGTCGGACAATATATAACCGGGCTGGCGCTGCTCCTCTTCCAGCGCTTTCACGCCGATCACCGGCACGAACAACGACTGCGCCGTGGTCACCACGAACTGCCCGGGCTCGGCGATGATCCGCACCCCGGAGGCGGGCGGGAAGTGCCGGTCCAGGCCGGCGTTGAGGGCTGCGCAGAAGTGGGGAAAGGTCACCGGCGCGTCGCTCCAGTCGCCGCGGAAGCCGCCGCCAATGTCCAGGATGGAGAAGGGCCGCCCGTGGGCGGCGGCGAAGTCGAAGAGCCGCTTGGCGACCTCCACGGCGCCGACGTGGGCGTCGGCCGTCCCGCTGACGCCCACCCCGACGTGGAAGGCCACGCCCACGACGTCCAGGCCGCGGTCCCAGGCGCTCTGGATCAGCGTGCGGGCGGTGGCTTCGTACACGCCGAAACGGCCGTGCATCTGGATCTTGGCGTGTGGGTTGTCGTAGCGGAGGCGTACCATCAACTGGGCCGTCGGGTGGTAGGTTTGGAGTTTCACGAGTTCGTCTTCGCTGTCGAAGACAGTCAGGCGGATGTTGTGGTGGGCGGAGTGGAGGAGGTTGGAGACGGATTTGCAGGTGTTGGAGTAGACCAGGCGGTCGGGGTTGAGGACGTAGGGAAAGGTCAACTGGATCTCGGATTTGGTGGCCACGTCGAAGCCGCAGCCCAGGGCGGAGAGTAAACGGAGGATAACCGGATTGGAATCACATTTCACCGCTACAACGGAGCCATAATTAAGAACCATAATTTAGTGCTTTTAATAATAATTATTATCTAAATTAAATTAAAAATTAACAAATTAATAATACTATGAATGATAGTAAATAAAAATTATAACAGTAAAATAAATTATTGAATTATTATCCTAATTATTTATTTTTAATTTTCGCGTACGTGTCTGATCGGGATTAATTACCATAAAATAAATCGACGCGTGGCAAATGCCGTTTCCAGTTGGCGACATTCTCGATTATCCTGTCGAGATTCAAGAGGAAAAAAGAATCATCGGAATACTCTTCCCATTTGCTGGCAATAGCCGCCCGCACAATATCGGCGCGCGTCATCTTCTCATCGGTAACGACGACCTCCAGCGGCGGACCGCTTAACGTATTAAAGGTCATTGTGCCAATCAAAAATAAATCGTCCAGATCTTTTTGTATAACGCTTGTTTATTAATCAACATGCAATCAATCTGGCAACACGAAATGCATATCCGGTTCCAGAATTTGATAGTTAAAAATTAAAAACGAGACAGAATTATAAGACGGTTGAGATTAAGATGCATTGCAGGTTAATGAAGTTGTCCGTTGAACATTTATATCGGCGACCGCGACTGAGCAAAAGCGCCGCGAGGCAAATACATCACGTTTTTCCCTGCACACAGCTTCCATTTCGGGGAACCATGCGAGCCGCTGTGACAGAAACAGTTATTAATGAAGTAGTTGGTATTAATCATAGGGCAACAGATACAACAGAAGCCTCGACTGTAGCTGGATTTTCTGATTAATTAAACACCCACCGCGCGACGACGTTCGCTATATCGCATCTTCGTTCGGCCGACCTTCACGTGCCGGTTTTTACTGTCTTGGCGTTAAAGGCCGCGACAACGTTAGTTTTTTAATAATTTCCCTCTTGTAAAAACGCTGCTTTTCGCAAATAAATGGGTACGCTTCGAAGAGACGTAAATTTTGTGCAGATTTTCAGCTTTTCCTGGTAAATTATGCATCTGGCGCTAATTGGAAAGCCGCTATGACGAATTAACAATAAAATAACATGGTTCTTCAAGTGATTTTCGTATTATAGTGAGATGTTGCGTAAAATACGGGTAGCCTATATGTTGCGTAAAATACAGCTGCCAGGAAATACGGCAATAAAATTAGCGAGACGCAGCAGAAAACGATAAAGAAATCCATTAATCACTCCGAATGTTCCACCTGCTTGTATGTGTTCTGACAAGTGTACATTTGTCTATTTGCCAAGTACAACACAGTTAGCCAAAAGCGGTACGACGTGCTTGATTTATGTATAAAGCGGCGTCTTTAATTATTACTGTTCGTTACTTGTGGAAGGGTATATAGGCTGCCACACCCAGATCAGTTGCAATAAATATCTGTGCAGCATTAAGCAGTTGTTTACCAGTATATTGCGCACTACATAAACACAACTAGTGTACGAGTACAATAATTTCATTTTCGAAACAACCAGCCGAATAAAGCAATCGCAAAGTACGGCTGTGTTGTTTTTTTTTTTCACAAGGGCGGATATAAGGCTGGCTTTAATTTTATTAGAAAGCAACAATAAGTCACTGCGTGCATCGCTGCCGACAGAATAATTTACCGGCGTCTCATGTTTGTTCTTTTTCGAGGTAAAGAGATCACATGAGCATAATGCTCGTAAATCGTAAATGTAAGCAGTCCAAAAAGTTGGAAAAACTTTTCAAAATGTACACAATTCGTACACGTAAGTGATTCAGATAGGCGTGTTCCATAAAAAATTCCTTATGGTCGCCCACGAGATTACCAAGTCGAGCTACCGTATGCTTGATCGGTCTGTCACCTGACTAATGCATTGCTGAGTATGTAAACCGAGCCGTTTTCGAAAACAACCAGCCGAGTACAGCAATCGTAAAGTAAGCGGTAATTTTTGCTACAATTTCCTTGTAAATACTGTCGTTTTAGATTTGTGTTGCGTGATCAGTGATCACTTTACATTTACAACGCGTGAATATAGTAATTGTTATTTGACTAGAAATTCGTCTTTATTAGTTACCCGGAAGATGAAGACGCTGTTGAGGAAGCTAACGTGGAAGCATCAACCCGGAAGACCGACCATGCTCTCCTATTTGTGGGTGTCGATAATCAGCATTTTACTACCGCTGTCGCACACGGCAGCCGCCCGTGTTCGTCCGGTCGCCTGCGTAACCGCCACCCGTGCGCTGCCCAACGACACCTGCCAGTCGCTAGCCGACCGCCACGGAGCGCGCGTCGACGAGTTGACGGCGCTAAACCCCCACCTCAACTGCAGCCACCTACCAGCCGGCAGCTGCGTGTGTCTGGCCGACTGTATGGTGTGCGGCGTGTCCGTGTACGATATGGATACCTGCCAACGCCCTGCGCCTCGTCCCCGCCTCCCGGGGGAACCACAGAAGATGGACAATCGACGACGGACCTTGCAACATTGATTACCTGAGAGTTTTACTCAATATCGAACTTGTACAATTACGTGAGGAACCGAAAAAATGATAGTTTCTGTTTATAAAATACTAGTGTAATCTTATAGCATATAAAATTATCATATAGAAAAGATATAAAAAATTATAGTTTCTGTTAATGAAGTATTTAAATCTGCGCTGTATGTTACGCTATAGTAATTAAACAGGCAGAACAGGTAACCACAACATGTTGAACCGCTTAGTCAACATTCATCCACTTTAATATAAGTAAGAGGTCAGTGGTCAGCGAAGTGCCGACGCTAGAGTTTTACAGAGGGTATGTAGAACGGCGTGCTCAATGCCCACGTTTCCCCTTTCTCGCCAATCTTGCACATATACTGGCAAAACTGGGACCATGCAGTGAACTGTATCGGAGCCACCGTCACCCGGCAAGCGTGGATGTGCGCCGCGGCTGCGTGACCGTTGCGGATAATGACACTGGGATACCTGCAACAGAAATTTAGGTAGTTTGAAAGCTTTTATCCTGATCCGAAAGTGTTCCATGGCCAGCTGAAAATTGAGTACAGTACAACGAGGCCAATCGGTTCGCGATTTAAAAGTGAATAAGAATATCAGCAAACAGTGTGCAACAGGGAAGCCTCTAATGCGCATAAATCGCCAGCAATGTGTTTGACCAGATCCAGAGAAACTGATACAGAACGATACAGAACCTTTGCCGATACAGAACGTTTCCCGTACATAAACAGCTGCTCGTTGTTCACCCGGTGGAAGTGGCCACTGTTCGACGATTCGGATTCCCGCAATGTGTTTCGCGAGCGGAAATACCCACGAACCCGCTCAATTCAAAGCCCTTCGCGCAGCGAATACAGTCCGCCTGCTTCTCCACTTCCACTGCTGCCAACTGTTCTTGGAACGCTCGTTCCGCTCGCCTCGCTCGTTTAACTTCCGGATCGAGTCGAGTAGCAGATGATTTCTGGAAATACGCCGGGAACCCGGGGAACCGCGTGGGTACCGTGGTCCGCAATACCGGTCGGGGTGGGTCGATTCTACGGACCACGCTGTTTCCTAAACCATCCTGGCAAACATCCTCTCGCATGAGTTCGTCGGGGGAAAAGTGAATTTCGCAACAGGAGATCTTTTTTGGGAATGTATTACGCGCGCGGGGTATCGTGGATTCCCATGTTGCGCGAATTACGGGATCCTTCGGACACGTCAACATGGCGCGTTTCGGACCGGTATAAGTGGCGTTTCCATAATTTCACAGCAGCATACGGCATTTATTCGGCATTTTAAATAATAAAAATAATTAATCGAACTGTATCGAACGACATTACGTTTACGTTATTTGATTTTGTGTCGAGAGTAATCCTGCATCTTCAAATTTCTGAAAAGCCCAATTCCCACAGTCCAGTGGTCACTCAAAAGCTTGTTACCATGGTGGCCATTAGCTTAACATGGGCTGTTTGTAAATCCCCAGATTGTTACTATGTGTTATTATATCGAATTGTCATTGAAATTAGCGAACTGCGAATTAGCAAAAATAACAGGTTCTGCTCACGCCTGTTTATTTTGTTCGTGCCTCCTTAATGTAATAAACATCGTTCCATTATTTAATACATATGCAGTTAACCGTTTTACTGCTCGAAATGCTAAGACATTATTCATCCGTGCTGGGCTTGTACGTATATTAATTAGCCCGGATTGTGGATCGCTGTTTGTAACCGGTAACCCAATTATCTCGCACTTTATTGTCCCAATCAAAAACGCAATACACAAATACCAGAAAAAACACGCTAAACTATAAAGAACAGTAAACAATTTTTAACCAATTTGAATTCTTAGAACAAGTAATAGTAAAGCAAATTAATTTAAGCAACAGTATTTTTTAATATTAAATTAATTATTAATATATTTGTAAATACAAAAATTAAATCAGTTCGGTTTATTAATAAAATCAAAAATTTCTTCAAAGTATATCGCAGTAGGGATACAAAGAAACTGGCCTGGTGAGCGGGCATGCCCCGCCCCTCAATTTTACTGAGCCCGGAATCTCCTGTATTTCTCTCTTTCGTCTTCTTGCAAACTACAAAGATATTCACGCAGAAACGACACCCCATAACATCGCGATTCCAGTCTAGACACCGTTTGATCTACCTGTAGAATAAAAGGCGTCTAGCAAACAAAACGCCACATGTCTGCGAGGATTGTGCCGGTGTTCAGAGAAAGTGCTGGATGGAAACTGGCACACGGGCGATTCTCGCTGACCGGTTAGTTCTGGCACTGGAAAGCAGATTTTTCCACTATTCATCTGCTTTCATGTCGCTCAGTGTTTGCAGATAAATTTTGGATATTAACGTCAGTCGCTCAGTATAAAGCCCACTTCACTGCATGTTCAGTTACTCTATTTTCCCGTTTTTCTTATAATCACGAAAATGCCGATTCTTCACAACGTGTTCACCATCATCGGCGCGCTGATTAAGTTGACCTTTTTGGTACGTAATTTGCTATTACAACTAAACAACATAATTATCATTATTTTTATTTCCCTAATAAATTTATTCTATAAACATTTTATTTTTTAGCATATTTTTATTTAATTTGTATATATAAATATTTTTTGCTATTTTTCTAAATTTTGCTTTATGCAGTTCGCATTATTTTAAAGTTATTATATGGCTAATTCCGCGTATTATGATTCCGCGATGATCCAGGCACGGAAATAATTGATACACATTTTTTACTGGTAGAGCGCGGCAATTGTGACGATACCGCAGGATGCTGGCGCCCCGGGCGGTCTGGCGGTGATCCCCGTCAACGGCACCACCATCACGCTGCAGATCAATCTGCGCAATTTCTCCAACGACCAGGGCATCGATATTGACGGCCGCCGCTGCGATCTGGCCACGCAGTGCGATGTGACCTTTTACGCCTACCTTGACGCGTGAGTTTTCCGCTCTTTTATTTTAAATACCCAGACATAGTTCTTCTTCAAGATAACTGACCTTTATATATAAAGAAATGTTGTATGAATGTTTTGCATCAGTATTGCATGAATGACTAGTTGCTTCCTGGTGCAGGAAGAACGCCAGCGCCGTCTGGCCGGGATCCGCCAATAAGAGCAACCTGCAGCTGGTGCATCAGAGCGCCAATAATAATCTCTTCACGATCGACAAGATCCTTAATTATTCGGTGTGCGCCAAGTCGGCCCAGATTCCAGTGAGTGATCTTGAGATTTATTTTACTTTAAATTTTTATATATATTTTTACTTTTACATTTATTAGGTGAGTAACCTTTACATTTATTTTTGCTTAAATTTTTTATATATACAAGATCATTTTTTGTATATAATTCACTTTTTATAGGTATATAATATTTATATATATAAATTTTTATACATATATTTTTTCTGCATTCGCGTACCGTACTGTATTGTTATACACATTTTTTATAATAAGTACAGTACATGTAGCTTCATAATTGCGTATATTTTTTGAATATTTTATTACTAATAATATAGGATACAAGAAACGGCTTCGGCTTTGCCTCCGCGCTTCTTGTGGTCTACGGTTGGAATTCTCGACTGATTTTCGTTAATTTAGTATTACTATATTTGCGATCACTTAGTGATCGCAAATATAGTAATACTATACACTAAACAGTACTCGTAGTGTTACTTCAGTTCTTTTACCATCTATCACGATCTGCGCTCCAGACGATAAGGGTAATTTGGTTACTCATTCTCACAGTCGGCTCTGCGCATTGGACAGTAGTGGAAATTGGTCATACACTATGTGCAGTGAACATTAGTGGTACTGTACATCAGTTACCCATTACCACTCGTTTCGTTACGTACCCACCAAAACGAGCGGTGCGCTATGGTTCTCTTCAGTAGTCGGTCGCCCACTCACTTGCCGGGCTCTGCCCACGAGAATAATGCATATGTTCAGTCTCATTTTCAGTGGTGGTAGCGCAGTTCACTCGTTCTTCACCACTCGTTTGATTACTCCATCACCTAGCGAGCTCTGTGCACTGGAGAGTAGCGGTAGTGCGGTTGCTCACCCATTCTATCGCGCTAGTACAGAGTAATTCGAACAACTCAATCGATACACTAAATAGTGGTAATAGTTCGGTAACTCGCTCATCCGAACCTGTGTGACCGTAGCCGCCAAATTAATACTCGTTTTTTTAGGAATGATAGTTGTTTATGAAGCAATTTTTATTTTTCTAAACTGTTCTTTGAGACGATGCACATACATGGTAGCGGTAACACTTTTCGAAATTCATGTAATTAGTAAAATTTTTTGTATGGTTATTTCCAATGTGAACACGCCTTTTTGCATTGATTGTGATCATTAATATTACGAAGTTATCCTTTGTAAGTCATTGCGACGAGTATGCCGTTTATTTTTCTGGTGTTTTCTTATAAGAATATGAATTTTTCGTTCTGAGCAGTTTAATTGGTTTGGCATTTTCTACAGAAGTATGCTGATTAATCACTGTCCTGTCTGTCCTTAGTACTGCTCGGACTGTAGTGAATGGTCAGCCCGTTTAAACGATTACTATGGTCAATTTCTTTTACAGCTTCCTTCAAATAACTTTAAACGAGCGCTCTGCTTCATAAGTCATGTTTTTGAACGCTTTGAATTGTTAACGATCTATTGGAAACGAAGCCATCCGCTAGCAGCCTCGTTCGTGTTACTGCTAACCGGCTATTTTTAGTTTTATAGGAGTAAAGTTAAAACCTTTTTAATTTGCTGATCTAAATAGGTACCAGTTTGAATTTACTGATTTTTTGCTCCATGCAACCGGGCTATGAAATTTTTTCAAGGTCACCTTGAGCTTTCAGCTCTACCGGCACCGGCGTCTGTGCACGGGAGCCGGAGCGGATAATTACCAAAAGAAAATGCATGTGACACAGTTTCCAGACATGCTGAATCGAATGGCGTTAGCAGTTTTTCGATTAATTTATCGGTTTGTTCTGACCAGATCGTACGGGGTTTTCCGTTGTAATATAGATCTTTTCCTTGATAGGATATTAAAAATAATAATACAGGATATTAAAAAAAGGACTATAGGATATTAAATTACCGGCCTACGTTGTGTAGATGTTGAATCTGCGCGTGAAAGTGGACGACAGCGACGTGCTGACGCGCGACGACAGCATCGAGCGCTTCAGCTGTCTGATCCCCGAGCACGCCTTCCCGGTGGCGGATGTGGAAGAGGAGAACGCCGTGTGGTCGGAGGATCTGCACTGCGTCGGCAAAGTGCATCCGCTCAGCAAAGTCAGGTCGGTCGCTGCCGCAAAACACTTACATTCTAAATTCTCAGCGTTTGATTTCAAAGGTCAGGGTTAATTTTAATTTATTCGGCAGGTTGACCTTTCGCTACCGCTACTTCCAGGCCAAACCGACGACGTTGTGCCTGTAATAATTCGCGGGATTAGCGCTAATTACGAGCCGTAACATTCTTGTATGTTTTCTTGTGGGTGCTGTTCCATGTTGTTCGTGTCTTGTTCATACATCATGACAACGAAATTGCACATCAACTGAATATAAAAATTTGGAAATATATTTAAAAAATGCGAGATATCACTGTCGTCTGCAGTATGTACTGTGTACTTAATAAGTCTTAACTGAATTAAAATGACAGCGTATCTGCATCTTGCTAGTGGCGCAAGAAACACTAACTATTATATGCGAAATACGTAAGTAAATAAAACAGCCATTAATTAATATTATAACGGATCATTCTGTGATTTTGTTTCACACAACTTCGGTTTTATTAGTGATATTAAAATTAATTATCGCCAAAATCAAAAAGTATGCAGTATATCAATAGATTCATATATCCTTACGTCCTTATTTTTTGGAAATTATCTTCTAAATCAAGATTGATTTTTTTAATAAGGTGATAATTTTGTAAAATAGAGCATCGCGCAAACGTTCCTACCTTTATCTTTAAAAAAATCTCAAGTTTTGGAGAAGGTCTAACAAAATTTTTAGAAGCTGTAGTACTTAAAGGTTGTTAGTACTTAAAGGTTGTTAGTTTTGTAAATTATCTCCTAATTCGAGATTCCATTGGTGAAGCTTTTGATTATTTTATAAAATCCAGCATCTTCTAAAGCTTCCTATCTGCTGCTTCGAAACAAATTTTGGTTTCCGGAACGTTTTCAAAAACCCTTTCAAACTTTCCGTACTTAGCGTTTAAAGTTCATAGAAATTTCCAGTAAATTCTACAAACGTCTCGAATGAGCAAATACAGGTTTCGCAACTTAGCAACCTAAACTATAGTTATTTGAAATTGACAATCCTATCAAACTTACAATTTTTTTAAATTCTTGAAACCTTTAAGATGTTTTTAAATCTGTTTGAATACCTCAAAATAACTATAAATGTTTTGAAAGTCGGCTCCAAAGCTTTTACATTTCAAGAATTTCTAAATATTTCGACTCGGCCCCGCGCAGCGGGGCCGTTACCTCTAATTTTTTGAGCCTCCAAACTTTCGAAATTTAAAAATATCTAGAAATCTAAGTACCTCAATATCTCACGGTCTAAATTGTCTGATTTATATGTAATTTCTAAATATCTAAAAGCCAGCCCGCGGCCCGTTTACCGTATTCACTCACATAGCGGCTCTGTGATACTGGTAGCTTGGGTATTCACTAAGTCCTACGTTGCTCTGTAATACTGGCGGTAGCTTGGGTATTCACTAACCTCAAAATTTATTAAATATGTATTTATTTTATTTTTATAAATACTCAAGAGCTTGACTGAATGGCTGAAAATCTTACAATTAGTAGCTAAAGATGCAGCCTCCCAGGTCACCTTGGGCAACCGTTATTCTGCGCTAAAATATCGGTTGAATGGTTTTTGTGGGCATCGTGTAAATGATCCCACTCTATTCATTTAATCACCGTTTAAATAATTATTATCGGTCGTACAAAAAAATTCAAGTTTTCAGTTCGTTAGATCGGCAATATAAAGTTACATTAGAGTGCGTGCGATGACAATCTGCCGCTCGTGACAAAATACAAAATGCGCCATTAATTTGATTTACGCCCATTTTTTCAATGGAATTTTCAATATTAAAAACTATTAAAAACGTGAAAAAGAACCGTGAAAAATGCAAACAAAAAGAAAAATTGCGGAGGCTTTCACAGTTTTTATACCAGTGGTCGAATTTAACCGGAAAGCTTGAAAACTGTCCTCATTTCTACATGTTAAAATATTTTCGTAGCTGGCCTCGCTGGGGGTTCCATAATTGAAATATAGATATATTTCTCAAATCATTTTTATTGCTGTACGATGTGTATTTTGTGTTTTTTTTAATTCTTCCATACCTCGAACACAACTGGTCGCGCGCTAGCGCGACCGATACTTGTATAATAGTAATATTCACAGTAATGTGGTCGCAAAATTTCCTATTAAAGTAATACTGTATTTGACAAATTCAAATTAATAATAATTTATTTTAATAATAATAATGATTTACTGTAACATAACAAAGTACCGAAAGCGCACTGATTGTACGAGCAATACCACGTTAATAATTATGGTATAAGTACAGTACTGTGAAAATACGTACGAGATACTTTTCGTATCCATGACACCATCCAGCATCAGCTGACGCAGAAATACGACTCGTATGGTACAACAAAGCAATTAGTCAGTATTAAATCAATTTTATTCAAAGTACTCGAATAATTATATAGCATTATTTCTTCGCTTAATACAAGGCGAAATAGTAGTACGCCGCCAACAACGGTCCGCTAAATCCGTCCCTCTCGCTACAAATGGATAAAACGCCGACCTGTCGGGACTTCCCGAAGGAGGGCTTCCAGAAACATCCGGCCGACGACGGCGACGGCTTCGAGGACGGCCCGGACATGGACGCCTACGTCGCGCAGCTCCTCGACTCCGACGAGGACGACGCCGCCGCCACCGGCGCCCTGCAGCGCTACGACACCGGCGACCCGCAGTTCCTGCAGCACGCCCTGGCCGACATGCGCCAGCTGGACATCCTCCTGGAGGAGCGCTTCCACCGCGAAGCCCGCATCCGCCACCAGCGCAAACAACAGCTGCACACCCTCCGTCAGACGCTGTCCGAGTACCCGGTGCCGGAGAGTCTCCGGCAGGAGGACCGCTCGGAGGTCGACAACACCCGGAAGTTTCTGTCGGCCACCGCGCTCCAGGAGGAAGTCCTCGGGGGGCTGGAGACGCCGGCGTCGGCCGGGACGAGTTTGTTTGGAGGCTCGCGGTCGGAGGGGTCGCTTTCGGTTCCCCGGCGGATCACCGACTCCGATTTGGAGGATTGTGAGAAGGATTGGCCGTTGGTCCCGGTGCCGGAGGGGGATGACCTCCAGGAAGCGGAAGAACCGGACGCGGAGGTCCTGGCGGATGATCTCCCAGATCCCGGAGCTCCTGTTAACGAGGCTGTAAAATCTCCGGCGTTTTCCTTCAATTTTGAAGCGACGCTTCCGAAAATCGACCATGTTAAGCGGAATATTCAGTGCGCCGGGAAGTACTACACACCGGAGGAGGAGTCCCGGCTGGATGAGCTCCTCCAACCGGAAGACCCCGAAGAGTCCGGCGCCGTGACCCTTTCCCACACTAACCCGTTCGAGCTGATCGACGCCGACCTCCGGACGCTGCGTAGCATCGAGGAGTCCCTGACCGCCATCCGGCGGAAAGGTCAACCGGCCGATGACCCCCCGCCGGACTCCAGCAGCATCGCCAGCACCTCCGAGGCCGCAAACCTCCCCTTCGGCTTCTACCAGTCCGCCCGCGAGGAAAACGAAGCCGTCCGCCGGCGCTTCACCGCCATCACCGACCGCCTGGAGGCTCTCGAAGCCCAGGAGCGCCTGATGCTGACGCGCGTCCTGGCGGACCCGGAGGCCGTCGGGCCGCTGGCGGAACGCGCCGGGATCGAGGACGCCCTGGCGAGCGCGCGGGCGGAGCTGACCGTGGAGCACGGGCTGGCGCTGGTCCCCTTCGTCACCGAGCAGCAGCTGCAGTGGCTTCTGGGGCCGGTGCCGCGGCTGCGCTCGGCGGAGAAGTTCCCGACCGCGCCGCTGGCGACGTGGCGGGCGTGGCTGCAGAAGCGGGAGGAATCCGTGAGCTTTTTGTCCGGACTGGATGAGGCCGCTGCGGCGCGGCCGGTGGATCGGGAGGTGGCGGGGATGGAGGAGGAGTTCCGGGTGTTGGTGGAGGATGTCAAGGAGGTGGCCGACAAGGTCGACCGGCTCATGCAGAACAACCGGGATTTTTTTAACGAGTGCAGTAAACTGCAGCGGGAAGATGTGCAGTGACGACGTTGGTTTCTCGGCGTTGCCGGTAATGAAGGGTAAGTTCGAGAAAAGGTCACCGTTGTCATACAAATGTTTTAAATTACATAGTTAATCTGTTTACTAAATTCTTGTCAACTAAATTCAGTTCCGTTAAAGGTCACCTTTAACTAGGATATAAACAAGCAAGAATTAAGAAAGTCATACGTAAATATGATCCGCTTTCATTTGCAAGAGTAGTTTTAATTTTCGTGACCAATTTATTTAACAGTGTCGTCGCTAAAGGTCACGTTTAAGTATTTATGTATATATGGGCCAGCCAAATTTAATTAGATTAGTAATTAATTTGGAAAGGTCATCGGTATCTTTAATTTTTTTGTCGATTTAGACATTGACTCTGTTTCCGACAAAGGTCACCTTCACTATATACAATCTGCTTCGACTATTTTAGGTTTTAATTAACGGATAATTAATTTGTTAATAAGCAATACAACAGAAGGCAAGACAGACTGCACAGAAAGTTGCGGGTAGAGAGGAATTTCACAGTGTTGCTGAGTCAGGGCCGACGCACCCGTGTGAGTGTTACGAGACAGTGTGGCGAATCGCGATAGGCATCGGAGATGGCAGTGATATTCGCCGAAATTCCTGTGTGTAATTAAATACACCAGCCTGCTCCATGTCGGAACGCTGTCGCTAAATTCAGTGTGCGCTCGCAGATGCACGAGAGAACTCAGTCGTGTTAAAGTTTCTCCTGGCTTCACCATTTTCCACCTCCATCGCTAATTCTTGCAATAAATATTATCACTTTTAAATAAAAATGATGTCGGTATACTTAGCCGTATTAACGGTAAAGCCGAAATTTATCCAGAAATTACAAAATTATTATTTATATTTACGTGTTCCCAAATGGTTGTTATTGGTGTGATTATCTTAGGTGTTATGGGGATGCGGCGGCAGTGTGCGGGGCCTGCAGACGACGAGCGTGACGGGCTTCTACCGCATCGAGGTGGAATTCGGCAAGTACGAGAACATCAACGGCCATCTGCACAACACGCAGAGCTGCGACGAGGTCACGCCCTGCGACCCCATCATCTACACCTACATCGACGTGTAAGCCCCTTCCGGTCTTCCGTCAGAATTTTTCAGCGGCGTGTTAAACAGCAGGCAGAATATCCGCATTTTTAAATTTGAAAATTAATGGGAAAATTTATTCCAAACAATTTTCTTTAATTTATTCACTCGCAAATTTATTCGTTCTTAAATTTTTTTGTATTCTTATGTCCTAAATTCAGCGCCTTATTACTAATAATTATTTATTTTAATTCGCTAGTTTCACATTTTGCGCTGCAATAAATATGTTGTACCTCATTTACCAGTGAAAAAGTTTACAAAATTTCTTACATTATATTGTGTAATGTTTCGGTGGAATTACTAGTGTAGAGGCATTTGTAGTACCCTAGGGTTTAGATTTTAGAACATGGTGTTCTGATTTCCGTTTCGCTTTGTCAGTGAGAGGCCGTCGGCGCCGTGGGCCCAGGCCGTCCGCGCGGACCGCGACCTGACGATGCTGACTTGGCGGCGCAACGTCAACTCCTACGATGTCAACCAAACCATCCACAAGGACATCTGCGGCGGCGGCCTCAGTGTATGTAATTAATACCATTTATTTTCCATTAACTGCAATTTATTATACTCGTACAGTTGTTGTTAATTTATTTTCCATTTTTAAGATTTATTTCCGATCATTATTTGCAACATTACATATACGCGTATATAAAGCGTTAATTAACAAACGTGTAAATAATTAATTGCGCCGGTTGCAGAACGTGAACGTGCGCGTGGAGGTGATGGACGAGGACTTTCTGGGCAAGTACGACCTGATCGAGCAGTTCGAGTGCAAGTTCTTCCCGCCGGTAGCCGACACGGCCACCAACCAGGACGAGGCCGAGCGCGACGCCTTCCGCAGCTGGTCCCCCATGGAGGAGTGCGCCGCCAAGCACCTCCCCACCAAAATCCGGTTGGCCACAGTTTTTTACAATTTTTTCTGTTATTATTTGTATTTTATAATTTTGTTTTTTATAGTTTTATTTGTAATAATGTTTAATTTATACTGCTAACTAAATTCTGTCTGGATGTTTTTAATTATTATCTCTTTATATTTTTTATATATTTATTTGTAATAAATTTTGTTTATTTTTGACTATTATGTTTACATTTCCGTTTTTATAATTTTAATATTAATTTTTCTTTATATTTCTTTTTTTTTAATTTCTCTACATATTTGTGGTTTTATTTATGTATGTTTATTCGGCAGGTTATTCTACCGTTGGCGCGTGTTCCCCGTGGACGTGGAGGTGTGCGGCGGCGACCCGAAGACGGTGACCACCACGACCCAAGCGCCGACCACTACGGCGCTGCCCTTTCCTTAATTCAACTTCGCATTGCACGGCGCCGCCGGTCTGTCTCTTATGGATTTTTACCTATGTTGCTGTTGCAAAGTGTTGACTCGCATTTGCCTGACGATTGTGCCGGAAGTTGCTTGTTTTAATTAGCCAGTTAATTGCGCAAGTCGCCATCATCGATGACGCACTTTGCTGTATGTATGGGTGCATTTGTACGAAAGTGGAATTTTTATCGCGATGCTGATTGTATCGGACCATAAATTGAACTGACTTGCAGTTGTACGCATTCTCAGTTCACCGATCGGTGGAGATAAATTGCCGCTGCGTATCAGAAGACGTAATTACCTCGTACATTATCCTTATCCTATATATAATAATATCGCTCAGTGGCAGCTTGTACAAGTAGCTACAACGGAATAAAATAAGATTTTCGTAATGAAACAATATGAGATGTAAAAAAAAAGATGTAAAAAAAGATAAGAAAGAGATGTAAAAAAAATATTACTAAAAGAGATGTAAAAAAATAAGTGATGTAAAAAAAATATTACTAATTAAACAGAAATAAAAATATTATTTTTATCGGTAATTAAAAACAAAAATATTATTTTTAACGACAGTCAAGTACAACAGAAATAACGTATCTTGAATTTTTAGGATAATTAAATACAAATAATACGCATCGTATACAGCCGATTAGTAATGAAGGCACGTTATGCGCTGCAGACATAATGCTGCTCCCTTCGCGGAAAATCTCTTTGGTAAACACTTACTTACAGTGGGTACTTACCTGAAATTAATTGGAAGGTATAAATAATACTGCAGTTAATTAAGACTGCAGCAGTACAATACGCTTAACTAATACACGTATTTATCACATTTATGATCTGTATGGGTTTCCACGAAAGCCTACCCGGCAGTGACCTTTGCTCCGGTGCCAGTGTGTGACAGTATGTGTATGTACGTAGGTGTGCACGGTTGCAAGCCCGGATCGACGCTAGCTGCAGCGTGCTGCCTGCGCATTTCGCACGCGGTCAACGTGACTGGAAGAAACGATGCACTTGTAGTATAATACTGTTTTAGTAAAAGAACTGCAGTTGATTTAGCAATTCCATTAAAAATTATCTAGAGTGTGCTTGCTGTTTATCGAGTTCACTGGCCAGACTGTTAATTACTGTGATCCCGGTGTATTATAATAAATTGTACATAATTATATAGCAGTTCGACGTTTATTAATTTATCCCGGCTTCGTGGATAGTCAGTTCAGAATGATCCACTCACGACTCTGTCGACGGAGCAGTGCACTGTGCTGGTTCTTGCTCGTAAGTGTACCCAAGGTTAATAAAAAATGTATCCAAGTTTTCTAATGTGAAACAACGCGGAGAATACCGTACGTGTCTCGGGTATCCGGTACGCGAAGCCATCTTGTGACAATAATGTCCGGAAAGGAAAAAACCCCGAAGTGTAGCGGTTGTTGAGAAAATTCAAAGTGCAAATAACACACAGATAATTTGATTGTACCGTAGTGCTGCGCGTCGCTGGTGTGTCGGTGCGGAGCGCTGTCCGGGCACTACTACCGCATCGACGTCATGCTGACGGAGCTGCACAACCCCAAATCCCTCATCCACAACGGGAAGCGCTGCGACGTCTTCACGGCCTGCGATCCCCTGCTCTACGTCTACATCGACACGTGAGTGCACCGCTGCGGTAACGTTGTTGAATTGTTCGCATAATTGTTGTAATAAGGCGGGACATCGAGTCCAGCAAACAACATCACCGGAAAATTGTATAAAAGCCGATATACTTTCTGCGCTGGAAATTATACGAGAAAATTGTACAGTGTATGTGTAACTGTACAGTGGAAAAAAATAAACAGTGTATGTGTTCCCACAGGCAGAAGCCGCGGGAGACGTTCCCGGGGGGCGCCCGCTCGCAGGAGGACTTCACGGTGCTGACAAGTCAGTACAACAGCGACACACTGACCATCAACCGCAGTCTATCCAAGACCATCTGCGGCAGCTCTTCCCAAGCCTTACCCACGGTACAGTACAGATAAATACATTTGTCTCTATCCAATTCCATCGGGAAAATAATCATCGATTTACCGAACAGTATAGGTGACCGATTCATACTACTATATATAAAAGGACGTTTATATAATTATTGAAGATAACAAGTAATTGCGCTAAGGATTATTGTAAAATACATGCATATATACATCACGTAAATCATGAATAAATACACGTATATACATGTACATGTATTGTATATATCTATACATGTAATACATTGTACACGTATATGTCTATACATACATGTAACACATGTATATAGGGGGAAAAATGTGTCTAGCCGAACCAATCCCTTGTACTTCTGATGTAAGCCAGCTGGTGGTTTACGTTGTGGCTTGACAGTGTTTTATGTAAAGCGCTGCCATTAAGATTGCAGGTACTGATAACAGGTAAGCAGCACTCGTACAACTGCAGGTAAACAGGCTAAAACTGTGTTATAGCCCGGCCCTGCCTGGTGCAGCTATACCACATGTACCGTCAATGCCGCAAAGCCTTAATAGCAGCGCTTTACATAAAACGCTGTGCAGCCACAACGTAAACCACCGCTGGCTTACATCAGAAGTACAAGGAACTGGTTCGGCTAGACACATTTTTCCCCTTATATGCGTGATGTATATACATCACGTATATAGATATACTTGCATAACACATGTATCTGAAACATGTGTCCAATAGCCCGTTGTGTGCATAAGAAAATTGCTGCAGGACGTGACGGCGCGGGTGGACGCGCGGGACCACGACTACTTCACCGGGCACGATATTATGGAGGAATTTAATTGCAGCTTCGTCTTCCGCGCCAGCTGGGAAGGCGACTACGCCTGGTCCGAGGAGCGGCCGTGTAAAGCGCGCTTTCATCCCTTAGATATCAGGCGAGTTACCGGCGTCCACTGCAATACACCACTGAATTTAATTGACAGTTATTACCCGCGCATTACAACTGAAATTCTCCGCGAGAATTTTGCTGCATAATTTTTAAACTTATTTTTTCTAAAAAAATCAGTTCATACAGTAATCTCTCGTCTTTCGGTTGATATATAAAGTAAAGGATATAATAATATATAGATATTCAAGGCGTTTTTACCGCAGTTATGTTCTGAAATAATGTACTGCGTGATTTAACGAATAACCAAGGTTCATTTATGTAACCCAATAAAAAACCCGAGTTTTTTTTACGCGACAGCACACTAACCGGTGTGATTTTGTAATTGCAGTTTACGGTTTAAATGGAGGGTGATTCCCATAACGCCGGAGCAATGCGGACAGGAAACGGTGCCAGCTTAATAATTCTTGATGGCCTCTTCTCAACTGTATCCTAGTATTCCCCATTTCGCAGGCAACATGACCTCTTCCAACACATCGTACCGTTTAATTATGACAACCTACTCGGTATATTTTTAATTAACTATGAATGCCATGCAATCAATGCACAGCGTATCAAGCCTATACAAATTCATAGAAAATTGTTATTCTTAGCTGCATCATATGTACACATATTAATTTATCCGCACACCGAGCTTATGTATCCCTTGATACCTTGATATATACAGTCACCGGGTCGATCTGTTTTTCTCATCCGGTAAAAATAATTTTGCACGAGGGACAAAAATAAATAAATCTCGATAAATAAATGTAACGCTAAAAATATATATCCTTAATAATATTTCCCTTACACGCAGTAAAACGGCGCTCGGATATATTTTATTTCTTTGCGCTGGAACACATGTATTTGATTAATATTAGCCCGAAATAAAAGCAGCGTAGTCAAATAAATCCAATAAAAAACGAATTAAGAAATGTTTCCAGGCACAAGCCCTTTAACCGGCAACTGTAATCACCGGTTCGCGGAAAAACAATACAGCATCACGTGACCGTTGCGGAAACCCCGCTGCTGCGGGACGATGATCTGCGGGGGCGGATCTCTGTACGCACGGGAGTGTGGCTGTGTGTGCAGCGGAAATGTAATGCAAATACAATAAAAGCCGGCAATTAATCGGTCTTGTATACCTTACACTGCGCACACACACGGCACTGCTACACACTGGCCGCGATTTCCCTGTGTTCTGTGCTGCTGCTCGCTTATAACGCTCGCATCTCCATCCCGGTCGTATAGTTCCATGTTTATCAACAACCAATCCCAACCGCTGTATTTTCAGAACAGTCAATCACCCATGTATTCCAGTTTCCGGAAGGTGCACAATTTTCGTAAATAAATCTCTTAAAATCGGCATTTAATTTGATAAATTTTTAAATTACCTACAGACTTACAGTATATAAAAATCTGGAAAAAGAAATGCGTCGTTTCAGATTCTTAAAGCCTCGTTTTTTTTTAAATGAATTGATTTGGAGCTTGAAATGTGAAACGCTTGAATCTGTATATAATTCAATCCGAGCAGGTTTTCACTTACATGCGTCTGGCAACCGGTCAGAGCTTCATTACACAGCTTTTACAGTATTTGATTTTAATTAATTTCATTTTTACTTTCAGTCTGAGTGTCAGACTCTGAGATTAGTTAGTTGTGCTTGACGCATTTACGTGTAAAGGTCATATACAAAGTAGTGTAAAAAAATGTTTTTTGAAAGTTTTTGTACCTTCCGGAAGTCAGAATACGTGGGGTGAATAATGGCTCACAAGTACTTTATTTCTCAATACAATATATATGTATGTCCAAGGCGAGCATCGCACAACAAATATGATCAAATGAAGAATTTGTCCCAGTTAACATGGGAAGAGACTGTGCACAACACTCACAGCATTACCACGCATAATCTCCAAACTTAAACGTTGAAACAAAAAGAGCCGCTCCACTTGTTTTTTGTTTCATGGCTCACAGTATAGTATAGCGCAAGTGATCGGTTGTTGAGAAAAGTCGACGTACATATACAAAGCGATGCGCACTGCTTCCCCGCCGGCACGGCCACTATACGCACATATCGATCCAGCATCCCTTTCCCTTCCCCACTCTACCTCCGCAAACCGTGCGGGTGTTTAAACTGACAACATTTAACCAAACTCCCTCAGCTGATCGCTCTACATGCCGGTTGGTTCGGGCTGTTGTTTCTCCAATATCCGCAGCAGCAGCTGCATACATACCAGTAGAAAATATCACATAACACTGTGCAACACGGTATATATTGTACGAGCACGCTCTGATTGCGCCCCCATGTCTACAGCGCGGACGGTAATTGTCGGTGCCGGGTGGTGGCGCGTGCATGGCCGTTTAAATCGCCGGGATATACAACGTTTGTGTAGGGGAATACAGTGCCGCGGGCGCCGCACTAAGCAGCGGCCCAACCGCGTCCCGTTTTTCATCCCGCCCCGGCTCCCTTTCTTCCCGCTGCAACAAATCTCGGCGGATACACGCACATGTATTGTACGGTGTGTTGCGGCATGACATATATGCCAACAACGCTGACAAGTGTTGCGTAACAAGCGTTAATGTTTTTCCCGAAAGGAAGGTAACCTTTCTTCCGCGCATTAAATGCTGTAGAGTTGTCTTATGTTTTCTTATGCTTTCTTATGCTTTCTCAGTGATGCGATGGATGTACTAAAAAAGAACCAGTTTAATTAATAAATAATAATATTTTGATAAAAATATAATTGACAATAAATTTAATCGATAATAAATAACAGTATTTTAACAAAAAAGACATATATATAAATGACCAGTTTGTATTGTAATAAACTATAATAAACAATATATTTAACTGACAAATAAAAATGTTTCAATAAAATAGAATATATACATTACACTATATGTAATTTTATATTGTAATAAAGGCTAATAAGACGCTCGTATATTAAACGTTTTATATGCAGTTAAGGGCTATAATCGTGCTGTTGAGCAATCTGTGCGCATTTAACTGCCACTTTACCGTGATTGTCTGTGTAAAAAAGGGCTCTAAATTGAGATAAAGTGGCCGATTAGGCTGATCCCGATCCAGGACAGTCAGCGCGCGCAGCCGCGCTACACCGCTCCGTGATAAGCGAATACAGCACCTGTACAGCGCGGTTGTCTATATACGAATGTGTACCGCTAGCAGTCGCGGCGTGAATAATTAAACAGCCCGGCGCTGGCGAGTGGATCAGCATCTGTGTACTACACAGCTTATGCCCGCAACCGGGGCGCTTATTGGACGGCCGCAACAGCAGCAGCGGGACTTCTTCCTGTGGGGAGCAGCAGCCAGTGTACGGCCCTGCGCCGGGCACGACAGGAGCGCCCGAGATGGCAATTCAACAACATGCACCACTGCAGTCAATCAAATGGCATGCCAAGATCATTAGGCGCTGTAATACAGTGGTGTGTACAAGCCTGTCCCGTAATATCTAACGTATCGGTACAGAGAGCACGTGTTTTGCGCGCATTTTGCGATCTGCACGATTATTATTATTATTATTATCATTATTATTATTGCGGCACAAGAGCAGACAACCTCAAAGGGAATTCAAGTCTGGTTGAACGAAAACAATTTTCTGCTATAAAAACATTTAGGACAGATCGACAGATCTGAGTAGAAATTTGAAAGCAGATACAGAACTGGCTTCGAGAATGTTAGGGTTAACAGCAAGAATTTTATCAAGAAGACGCATTAACCGCATTTCAGTACACTGCGTCGAAAACAACGACAAATTTACTCCTCTCAAGATTTAAAGTTTGTGTTTCATAATTTGTATGGATATATAGCATATGTAATTTATATAAAATGTAATTTACAGAGTATAGTTTATAATTTAGATCGATAAATTTGGCAGGCATCGTCCGTACCAAATGCATATAGAGCGTAACTAGTGTGGAGTTTGGCGCAACCCGTGAATTTGTATACTGTCGCTGTGTTGATGCGTTAGAAATTACGGGACAAGCCTGTACAGTAGCGTACGTTGCCGGTCGATGCGGTGCACACGGGGGGCCGGATCAGGCCCTTCCCGTTCACTGCGGCTGCGGGTTCGACCAGCTGCTCGTGCAGCCGCTCTTTAAGATGCCATATCCGCTCTTAAAGAACGCATTCCCTTACAGACATTCCCTGATCGCGCTGTACATGTATACACAGGCATCGCGACGTACACTGTCTATATTCGCGTTAACCGGCACAATTGCCACAATGCTCCATCACCACGGCCGATTAAGTTGAAGAAAAACGGGGAAGATATAGTTTTCTCTCTCCTCTATACAAGCTTGGTAGTTAATGATGTTATGATGCGGCGGGAATTTGTGGCTACGCGCGATGCCGTGATCATGTTTGCGGATTGTCATCGGATTCGACTGTGCAAATGAACCTCCATCTTACGATATTCACCAGGTAAGACGCATCGGCCCACGTTGGTAACATTATCTTGTGTCTTAAATACATATACACACACCGAGTGTGTGTGTGCAATCGATATATCCATACCGCAATCACGCTGATCGCTTGCCGATCTATAGACATTTGTCCCGGGGATTTCTTAGACTTCTTAGGTTTCTTAGATTTCTTAGAGCGACAACCGGTGAAAGTGTCATCAGGCGATAAAGAAGCCCGATCAATTTCCGATATGTACGACTACACCGCGACTTTTTTCCCGGGGTTTCTCGGATTTCTTAGAGGGACAACCGGCGAATACATAAACAGGCGATAAAAATCCCTGATCAATTTTCGATGTATGCGACAAAGCCGCGAACGTTTTCGCGGAGATTTCGCAGATTTCCTTGAAAGCCAGCCGGGGAATATATTTCTAGACGATAAAAAGTACATTTTTCCCTAGAGTTTCTTATAAATTTCTTAGAGGGACAAACGGCGAATACATAAGCAGTGGCCGGTGTTAATCGATAAAAAAGGACCATGTCGCGACGTTTATCCCGGGGATTTCTTAGATTTCTTAGGTTTCTTAGATCCCAAGCGCGAGCGACAGCCGGCGGACGCATAATCATCCCGGCGCTAATAGCCGGCAATATCGCTCACAGCGCCCGCGATCGAATATCGCCCGGCGTAATGGGCCGCGATCGAACGGGAGAGAGGCGAGGCCGCGCCAATATAAAACGCTCCCAGTGCGGCCGTCCCGGCATTGGTTATGCGGGGCACGTGCCGTCTCTTAAATGCCCCCTCTTGTTTGCACAGGCTAAAAGGCCGGCAAACGTACTTACGCTGGCTCAACTGTACAACACTGCCTCTGTACGCCGTCGTCCGCCGGCGGCGCGGCAACATGGAGAAATTGCTTTTTATCGGGGATTAATGAGACGGTTCGGAGCACGGGGATCCGGGCGCCGGAATTAGCCGTTCATCTTCCACTCGCCGCCTAAGTAATAGCGACCGGTTTTTTCTCCCTTAAACACGCCACTAACAACTCTCCCGCATATACGTATATAGATCCGTTTTCTTCATGCGGCATTGATTTTCCGTCGTGCGCGTTGCCGGCCTATCTGTCCATACGTTTACATTGGGAGTTTGTGTTATTGTACAGGGACAAAACGATGGGAGAAGAGGCAGCCCCAGCCGGGTCGATACGTTGTATCACGCATAATTAAATAAAGCATCATAAATCAACAAACATGACCCCGGCGCTTGTCGTTCGTCCTGTGTGTCGAGCTGGCGCTTAGCCTCATCGCGCATACACACACTGGCCCGATCATCTCCAATTACACTGGCGATTGTCAGAGTCATGTTGTATCGTTTCCATTGATACACAATTGCGCCGGTTGTTGTCTAAACAAGCGCAACAGATCAGCGATGAGGTCAGGAGTGGAGATTATGCTAACCGGGCAACAAAGAACGGTTGTGCCGTGTATACTAATCAAAATGCCGATAGACATGCGTATATAACGATCGATGCCGGGTACAAATCAGGACAATATTCTGTTTCCGGCAGAAAGTTTTCACTTCAAGCGCAACCAAGTGATTCTGTGTTCAAACAAAGCGCACACAGGGGAGACCGGGTTTTCCATGCGAACCGGTTTTATGGGTAAAACGGGAAAAAAGTTGATTAATGTTTTAAGGAAAATGGCGCGAAAGCGAAAGTTTTAGTGTTTGTATCCCATTTTTGACGCCACGTACCGGGCCGTTTCCCTTAAAAAAGTGGAAATTCGGCCGGTCGGTTCGCGGTTCCAAAATTGAATAATAAAACAGCAAACAGTGTGCAACAAGAACACGTTCAATGCGCATAAATCGCCGGCACTGGGTTCGAACAGAGAAGCGTTTGTTTGCGCAGTATGCGTTAAAACGAAGCATCGACTTTTTTTAGTCCTACACTGTATATGCGACTATACTGTATATATACAATCAGCCGCGCTGCCTGCCGGCACCGATCGATAAATTGCTCATTTACTGTGGGCTTGATGGAGCGCCGGGGATCGGGCATCTGCGGCGGACCGGCGTCCCGGCCGTGGTCAGACGCCGGGTGTAGCTAAATGGGCCCCGAGCGGAAATGGCAGTTGATGGGCATTACATGGGCCATTAATTGGGCGTTATAGCCGCTGTTATGCGTTTCCGGCTAAATGCCTCCACGCCGTCATGATCACGTTGTTATCTCATCACACAGGCTGACGGCGCCATCGTCCCCGCGTTGTCCGCCCTCCATGTTGCAGCTGGTGTTGTGGCTCGTGTGGCAGCTGTACTTCCTGCTGGTCAACGGCGTCTTCTGGAGTCTGGTGGTGCTGGTGGTGGCCACCATCGTCTTTGTCTTGCTGTCCGAGCGTGTCTTCTACTTTCCGGATGTCGCGGCCCCGCCCCCACCGGCCCCGGACGGCCCAGGCGCCGCGCCCCCGTCCCCGCTGCCGCCGGCCGGAGTGCTGCCGGCGGCGTCCGCCAGCGATACCGCCGTCGTGGCCGTGCCAACCGCCTCCGGGGCGCTACAGTGCCTTGCCGTACCCAAGCCTCGATGGGGTAAGTCCGTCTTAATTATTATTATTATTATCATTATTATTATTATCGAACTACAGTATCCAAACTCCATTACTCCAGGTATCAGACCACTAAAATATTTTTCTGGTCAATTTTTCATTTTGTTTTTACGACGTCGGACACTGCAAACGATTTTGGTTGTTTTTTCAATGTTTAAATTCAAATCATTTTAAGTAGTGCAAAACCAGCGCAGGCGTGTTCGTTGAATTAACCTTTTGCCGAATAAGTTAAATAATAATAATGATATCTTTTGCAAATTTACATGAACCTCTGCACGCATTCTCCGCAATTTTCATACGCTATATATACGACGGATAACCGAACCGGCGAATATTTACACCGCTAGACGAACCTTCAAATCGAAACCGGCTACGGTCGATAATAAGTAATTTCCAGTAATTGTTAGGCAAATAAATCTGTGAGGATGTGTATGTAAAAGCCGGTACGGCACGCCAACTAAAAAGCCCGTAAATCAATACAGTTCTCAACTAATTACGGTTCCCTGTTTCTATACTTCTATCTGTAGTTCAACTTAAGAATATTTTCCTGGAGCTCCTGACTGCGCAATTTAAATTCAAACTGGCTCTTTATTTATGGTTTTACCGGAAAAACATGGAGCAGGAATTTGCGGCGATTAAAAAAGGCACATTCGAAATGTTTAACGGTGGAAATAAAAGACCCCATTAATTTTCTTTTATTGCGGGACTTTCTTCGGCAAGGTAGGCGGCTCGTTATTTTTAATGGATAGGCCGGCTGTGATTGCATAAGCATTCATCGCGGCCGCGGAACACAATAGCCCGGCCTGAACTAATTGCACTGATTACGCCGGCAACCTTCCCATCGATCACGCGCGCGTGCAGGGAAGGGCACAGTTCGCAGTGCATATATACGGCGAAATTGCAACAACTATAGGTGAAAAGTGCGCCGGGCCTAGCCTCAGCTGACTGCCTGGCTGAATGAGTGCCGCCCGCGCCAAGAATCTGGCAAGATTTAATGGGCCTTTCCGGTTAAACGCCAGCAACGGTGGGCTATTGTCACCAAAAGGGGGAACGACGCGCGCTGACACGCAGCGGAAACGCCTGACAAGTGACAAATCGCCACCCGACCCGGCGACCGCCCCCGGCCGGCCATTACACCCCGCCTGCCCATCCATCTCACGTCATACAATTTTAGGGCTAACAAAAATCTGGAAATCGGCCAGTGTGTCCGCGCGGTTTAAAAAAATAACATTAAATCAATTTTTTAATAATTAATATCAATAATATTAATATTACATTTTCATGTTCGATTTACGTTGCATTTTTAAATACCCCGTCGAGACAAAATAGTAGGTTTGCCGGTTCGAGCTAGCGTTAACTTTTGCAATGTGGCTTCGGAAGCGAAACTGACCGGTGAAGTGCATTTATGTCTGTATTTCTGTCTGTAGTGAGGCTGCATCCGTTCCCAACGCGTCTGCGCTCCCAGGCCTAGTCGCAAAATGCGAAGAGTTAATAACAAAATTGAGTTTATTAGAACCCATCTGATGCGTAAAAATCGCCGGCACTGGGCTCGAACAGAGAAGTGTTTGTTTTGCGCAGTATGCGTTAAAACGAAACTTCTAGTTTTTTTTTAATCAGCGTCCGCGAGCGCCTGTTGACCAGTGACCTTTCGCGATCAATACCGGCATCGATCGCGGCGCGTTAATTATTTTATCGAGGCCTCGAAGAGCGCCCATTCGGCCTCGGCCAAGTGGGCTGCAAAGTGGCCGCGGACCCGGGCCAAGTGCCAATCGATGCTTCAACGCTTACTCTATAGTTCCAACCCGGGCCATAACCTGGCGTTGCGTGGCGGGTGTTTGAGTGATTAGCCGCGTTAACCTGTCAGCGCCACTGCCGCGATTAATGGCGAATCGGGGGGACCGTGGCGCCGCGTTAGCTGCTATTGTGACATTTCCGGCCCGCTAATTACCCACTCTCCCGGCCGTGCTGCACGGGTGGATACACGTATATGCCGGGTAATCCCGGCCGATCAGGAGGCCGCAGCGGGGCCCTAATGGCGGCCCGTCAAGCCGGGCTTTTTCCACCACGACCGGGGCCGATCCCCATGCGCGCCCGGATGCCGATTATGCGCGCTCCAGCGCACATTTTATTACCTATGTATACATAACCGCTGTAGTGTGCGTTAATTTCACTCCCGAATGCAGATTTAATTCCTGAAAAAATGGTTTTATTCGGCCATAGCCAGTTCACATAACAACAAGCCGGCGCTGGTAGAAGCTAATTAAAATGATTCAAAATTCCAATAGCGAATTCGTAATTAATTCTCCAAGCCAAAAATAACCGAGTAATTACCGTCTGTTCACCTTTGGTTAAAATTCTCGGTAGAATCTGCCGCAGTGTTAATTTCTTCATAAGATCGCGTTAGACCAATTGCGCATTTCGCGCAGTGTTGAATAAGCATAGGAACAAACTGGATGTGGAGAAAATTTCAATTTGTTATATAAACCAGACATTAAATTAATATTAGGCTGATTTCGGAAATAAATTTATAAGGGAGACATGATGACGGCGGGCTTATATAACATGTGGCTAATTAACCGGAAATTCCGGCGCATGACATGGATGTAGGTGCCTTTTGATTGCTGCGAATTCCTTGTTTAGCAGGGCTCCCAATTAAAACCGCAATAATTCTCATAAACAGCGAAATTAGAAAATTTAATTAAATTTAGAAAATGGCATTTCCCGATCAAACAGCGCTGGCTAATTTAATGAAGATTTTATCCAATTTATCTGCGCAGCTTTTTAGCGAAACGGCGCAGTTTGCGAGTATAATAACCATGCTTCGAAGTCTGGCTGTATTTTACTTGAATAAAATCAAAGTCGTACTTTGCGATTGCTTTATTCGGCTACGAGTAGTTCTTTCGAAAACGGTTCGGTTTAGATACTTAGCAGTTTATTATTCAGATGACAAGGTTCGGTTTGCAAAGTACGGTAATTCATTTAATCGTGTTTTTGTGCTAGTTAAATTCTGAACCATAATTCAGCAGCGCTCGCACTTAATTACGCGCCGGTTTTTATTCTACGATGCGGTAAAATATTTGAATAACCATCGGCAGTGAAATTTGTAGTGAATGTATTGCGCATTTATCTGTATATGCCGAATGGGGAACATCTGTGGCACGTAAGTACTATCGTATTGAGCGCTTTAAGTGGAATGCTTGAATGGGTTGATTAGGAAAGGCCTTCTCCTACCACAGCCAGGACGCCTCCAACTCCTCCAGCGACAGCGACAACGCCGACCCGCACAATCTCATCGTGCGCTGTCTGCAGTCGCACCAGGAGGAGCACTCACCGGGCGGCGGTGGCGGAGGAGGAGACCCGGGCACGGCCGATGGGACCGGCGAGATGGGCGGCCTTAAGAGTCCGCGGCTGCGCCGCTCCAAGTGGCGCTCCAAGCACAAGGACCAGCGCCATCGTACCGGTAAGGATTATTTAACTATCGTTATCGATCCAGACGCTGGCATCGCGTTATTATTACACTCATATAATTATTATGTAGAAGTATACAAGCATATTTATATCTACGTAAGTACAGCTACACCTACAACAGCTATACTTGTGTTTTCTATATACGGTACATAAGGCACGAGAGTTCCGTCATAAGTGGGAGCAGCAGTGCGGCAGTAAAATATCACTAGTTCACTACCGCCCTACCGTGAAATATCACTACTTCCGTCCATTTTTACTAAATCAGTAAACCAGAGCTTGGTGGCTTTGACGGTCTTGATTTTGGCTCATTGTAAAAATTTCAAAGCAGACGTACTTATATGCGCTTGTAGCACGTACACTAACAAATTTATTCATAGACATCTATCCGTACAACATATTTTTGTGTTGTACTCGTATATATCTGTACATTTATATATGCATGTAGACATATTGATGCTTCTTAATATTTATATTTATATTATTTATTTATATTTATATTTATTTAATTTTTTTATTATATTAATTTTTATATTTATATTATTTTTATTTATATTTTTTATTTTTTTATATTTTATATTTATACTATATTTATATTTATTTTTTATTTATCTTTATTTTTTTATTGTTAGTACAAAGATTTCGATTACCGGCTTTTTTTCTAGCAAGTCACATCACCCGCGCTTACATCATGATTATCGGCGTTGCTGTTGTAAATTTTACTAAATCAGTTAAGCGGAGTTTAGGTGCTTTGGCAGTAACACAACTTTGGCTACATTCTTGACCTTTCAGAGCGGAAGATGCGGAACGGCACGCTGCCGACGGAGCGGCCGCGACTGCAGCGCCAAGAGACGGTGGGCAGCAGCAACGCCTCCGCCCTGGACATCCCGTCGCCCATCCAGAGCGACGAGCAGGAGCAGGACTACGACGCCATGTCCAGCCAGAACTACGTCGTCGAAGAGGAGGATCTGGAGGCCGTCGGCAGCAGTGCCGCCGCCACGGCAGCCCCTCCGCCGCCCAACAGCAGTCGCGAGCGCCGCCAGCGCCGCTTCGTGGAGGAGCAGCGGCAGGCGCACACGCTCCTCAATGATCATCCATTACCGTCCGATTTCTCCATTTCCTTTGCGGAAGGAAGTAGTGTGAGTGGGCTTGTATACATGGCCGATGTTTATCATCGCGCCGGCGGTTTTCTATAGCGGGCTGATCATGTTGACTCGACGCGATTGCTCAATACGATGCCGGCGCGGCGTAATCGATAGATTTATAATTGCCGTCGTTTTCTAGCGATTTAGGCTTGTTTTTTCAACGCTTTAAACTGCTGATCGGTTTAAGCGCTATCCAGTGGCGCGTGATAGCTTTGCTTTTGGTGGGCTTCATCACCCAGATTCGCTGAATCACAAATATCTGCTATACACGCTAGAGTAGTTTTTTTTACAGCCTAATCCGAAACAGACTGTTGTTACTTACATCTTCTGTTACGAGTACAGAACTTCTTTTACACTATAACGAACATATTAAATTATTATCTAAATTTCTTACATATATAATTATTAACAAAATTGTGACTTTTAATATTCCACCGATTACTGCAATTTTTAAATAATTTTTAAAAATTATTCCGAATCAATCGTAAATTTGTTCTGTAACCCATGTTTCTCTAACTTTCAGATTGCGTTAATTTGTAAAAACTTCTAATGTTTTGATATTTACTAAATCAGTAAAGCGGAGTTTAGTTGCTTTGGCAGTGGCACAACTCTGGCTACATGTTTACGCTCTTAAAAATTAAAATAATAAATAAAAATAACATTATGTATTTGCCTGAAATATTCCTATCGCTGACCTTTGTAAACTGTGAAGCTATAACTTTCGTTACATGTACTGAATATTATGCATACCTGTAATTATAGAGTGTGTGTATCTAGGATATGCCTTATTCGGCAAGCGGCCTGAGCCAGCTGAGCGCCGGCAGCGGACCGCAGATGGTGCCGGTGTGCGGCAGCGTGGAGGTGTCCTTCTTCTACGACCCCCTGAAGAAGACGCTCTTCGTCACGGTGGTGCAGGCGGCCAATGTGGGCAGTGTGGCGCATGCCGGCCTGCAGATCAAACTGTGCCTGCTGCCGGCCAAACGGCTCCGCTTCAAGACCAAAGTGCGCCCCGGCAAGCAGCCTAAATTCCACGAATGCTTCCACATGAAGAACATCCCGCCGGACGACGTCCACGGCATGGCGCTGCGCATCCGCCTGTACATGTACGAGAAGCTGGTGCGCGGCCAGCTGATTGGGGAGTCCATCGTGGCGCTGGGCAGCATCAATCTTGACCTGGACACCATGATGTGGCTGACGTTGGAGCCGCGGAAAGCGCTCTTGGTGAGGCAGTCGGGCGGATGTAATCGCCATACGCTCGAGTGGGAAGACCGCATATATACTAAGACACCAATGTAATCCCTCATTCATTTCCCGCTTACATCCGCAACGAAGCACGTACTCCGCTTATAGAAAGTGTATACCGATATAAGGGAACATCGCATACGAATGTGTACATACAAGGTGTACGAATACATGATACGTACATATATACATACACTATACATACGAATGTGTACATATTTAAGGCGAATATATACGAATGTATATACGAATAGTCTATATACGAATACATACGAAAACATATGTATGGAGCTGGTATATACATACGAATATATATAATGGTATAATGTATTCTATGTATGGACTGTACGTATAAGGCGCTTTGGTGAGGCAGTCGGGCGGACGTAATCGCCATACGCTCGAGTGGAAAGACCGCATATATACCAATATACTAATACACTAATATACCCCTTAATTTCCCGTTTATATCCCTAACGAAACACACAATCCGTCATACGACACTGATTAAGCCGGCTTCCAATAAATGATTTAATCATAACCACGTATTCTACCGGCATTATATCTCCATTGAACCGGCTAATGAAATCTCCTCTCTCCTTAATACAGTTCGACTCGTCATCGACCGGCAGTGAACTGCGCAGTCTATCTCGCAGCGACAGCACCCTATCGGCGCAGTCCATGCCGTTGAGCTCGTCGGCGCCGGAGCTTCTGCTGGGACTGTCCTTCAACGACATCACCGGCCACCTGAAAGTGGAGGTCATCAAGGGCTCGCGGTTCCGCAGTCCCAGCGTCAACCGTCCCGTGGACACCTATATCAAACTGAGTCTGCTCTCCTCCAACGGCCAGGAGATCTCCCGCGCCAAGACCTCCGTCCGCCGTGCCCAGCCTAACCCGATTTTCCGGGAGACCTTTCTTTTCCCGGTAAGCGCTATTCAGCTACCGTTTAAATGCCTATAATCGGAAAAAAAATTATTTTTCCCATTGACCTTTAATGGGTATCACATGTAAGTCCAAAATGAGTACTAAAACAAACGAATTTTAAAGCAAAAACACTTCTTCAATGCTATCCTGCTCGGGGATTGTACCCATAACACATATCGCGAAATTATTCATCTTGTACAAATTTATATTATGTATATTAATCAGTTTATCTTATATTATAAATTTATCTCATTAAAATTTACATTAGATCAACTAATTAATGCATTGCTGAGTAATGAGTACTTATGTAAACGGTAAACCGAGCCGTTTCCGAAACAACTAGCCGAATAAAGCAATCGCAAAGTACGGCTGTTATTCATCTTATATGAATCGAAACACGATTTAATTATTTTGGTCGAATTTAAAATAATGGGAACGTTGAGGTACCGCATTACTTAATCTGAGAAACCTAAGAAATCTAAGAAACCTAAGAATCAGTGAGCAGGTACCTGTATATGCATTAAATCTGTTTTAGGTGGCCCTGTTCCAGTTGTCGGATGTGACGCTGCTCTGCAGTGTGTACATGCGGCGCAGTATGAAGCGCAAACAGCTGCTGGGCTGGCTGGCCATGGGCTACAACAACACGTCGCGCGACGGCAACGCTCACTGGCGGGATTTCCAGCTGACCCACGACCAAGTGTGCCGCTGGCACGCGCTGACCACCTCCTGACCTTTCAATCAAAAACACCCCCTTTCTCTTGATAATCGTGCTAATCACTGTTTTTTATTCACACGGCTTTCGCACACGCATTCCCCGAGAAACCTGTATTAAACCCCGAGTATTCTCTACTGAAATGAATTGCTAGACGGATTACACAATAAAAGCGATAAAGGTTTAAGGTTTAATGTTTTAACGTCCGCACACATTCAGGGCGAGAGCCCAATTCGAGGCAGTAGAACTCACAACAACAACAATTCTCCAGAATACACAGTATTTCAGATCAAGCTTTAAACCAGAATACAGTAGCGTATTTAGACACCACAACTCAGTACACCCACTCCCTTACAAACACATTTGTTAGCCAAATCTCAGGTTCTTCCAGAATTTTTTCATCTTCCAGAATTTTTTCACCATGTCTTGAAACGTACAAATGCGGGCAAACGCAAACGAGAAAGACACGTGCGGCGACACGCGAAGGCCCGGACGGGCGTCACGGCGCTGACGTCAGAGTGTTGTCCACCTGGCTGTCGGGCTTAAGTGCCTTCCTTTTAAGTATTGTGGCATCCGGTTGTTGTGACACGTGTCGACGCGCAACGATACAATACAGTTGACGTCATCGGGCGCCACTTGCCGCACAGCTGAGTGGGCGCACGTGAATGCACAATTTCATGTCATACACGCTACAATCGCCGCTCGGCTGCACCGGCTTTTCCCGCAGCGACAAACGTGACCTTTTACAGTATTATCGCGCCTCTTCAGCGGCGCTGTGAACACGTAAACAAACCAGAAACAAAAGGCGTTTACGCACGGAATTACTTATTCGCAAACGGATGCAGTTGCCAAGTGATGTACGCGTGATTTAACACTGCGCTGCTAGACGCATATACAGCCGCTAACGGACATGAGCGACTTCCCTCAGAGTAAACTTTGTTCATGTAGAAATCACTTTCCTGTCGAACATAATTTATGTTTCACGAAAACCTCTAAGCTGAAAATTTAAGATGAAGGAAATTTAGAAACTGCCGGCGCCTGAAGCAATTGCAACCGCCCAATGTGGCAGCATAATGCGAATTTTATCTTGAAATTTTCTAAAAATTCTCATTTATTTTCTTTTTGATTTTCTCCATGAAAAATTATTCTCTCTTCACCGTTACTATTAAGAAATCTATAATAAATTACAAAAAACATTTCTAAGTTTTAAATCTGTCGTTTGGAAGCAAACGCATAGAAAACTGCGACGTAAATCGAACGTAAAGCAATCCGAGTGTTACCAGATTGTTCCCCAGTCACGCAGTACATCATTTCAGCACATACTGTAATACACTTCATCCAGCTGCCTAATAAAATACGGAACGTTTCCTGAACGCAAGCAGCATTACCTGGCATTAAAACAACACTGATTCAACCAGGAACTTTAATTGAAAGCGATGGCATCGCGTCATTACAAACTGGTTTATTGGGACGCCCGCGGGCGCGCCGAGAGTATCCGCTGGTTATTCGCGTATGCCGGGCAGGACTGGGAGGATGTACGCCTGCCGGCCGGGCAGTTGGGACGGGCGTGTGCGCAGGCGCCGCTGGGCGGGGTCCCGTATCTGGAGGTGGACCGGCGACCGTTGGGCGATGTGGCCGCGATCTGTCGCCACCTGGCCCACCAATTCGGACTGGGACTTACCGGGAAAGACGCCTGGCAAGCGGCGCAGATGGACTCGGTCGTAGAATTTATACACGGTACACCGGTATTTTTTTAATAGATTTTTACGCTATTAGTTTTATATAATTCATTTTACGTAATTTAATTTGCTCGTAGCCTTAATTAACTTAACTCTGTTGCTAATTAATTTCATTTTATTTAGCGCTATATGACAGCTGATATATTTTACAAGCCCAAGATTAGAAAGGCACTACTAGTAATTAATATTAATTTTCTTAAACAGAAATTATTTTCTTAAACAGAAATCACAAAAATTATGAATTATGCTCTTATACTCAATCTAATTTATGCATAACGATTTTGGCTGTTTTTCCAATGTTTGAATCCTACGTAATTAAATTTGAATCCTTTTAATTAACGTCTATTAGCGCGGGCATTTATGTACTCGTATTTGTATTGGTTGTTGCTTAATATTTGTTAAGTAATTTATTTGTTTACTGATTGTAATTTTTTATTTTTTATTTCTATGTCGGTATGCTTATATTACGTATTTTTTAGCGCTTTATGTTGTATTTTTACAAATTTGTCAAGATTATATAAACGTTTTATTGTAGTTTATCGTTTCGTGCCGATAAAATACGTGCACTAAACAAGTACATCGGCATATATAAGAAAACAGTCGCCGCATAAATAATTAATTCACAGAAACCGCCCGGCCGCTGTACGCATGGATCGATCGGCGCATCCTGGGAAAGCCGGCGCAAGGTGACCCGGCACCGGAAGTGCTGATTAGCAATGTTGCGGCACCCGTGCGCCAGCTGGAGGGCATCCTGCTGAAGAATTCTGGCGGCGACAGATTCCTGATGGGCCGGGAGCCCAGCTGGACGGACTTTGTGCTGGGCAGTTTCCTGGAGAACCTCCAGACGGTCGACACGGATTTCCTGGAGATGCGCCCGGTGCTGGAGGCCTACTTTGCCCGGGTCTGCGGGCTGAAGGGCGTGGCACACTGGCTGGAGCGCCGTCCACCAACGGCCTATTAATTTACACAAAGTGGCGAATTTTTGTAATAATTATTAGCGTGACCTTTGCGCGGAAAATGGGACCTTCACTGCATAGAACACGTAAAAAATCTATTAAAGAAAAAAAATTAAAACGATATATAAGAAGTTGCCAAATAAAAACTAAAGGAAAAATAAACAAAAAATAATAAATAAAAAATAAATAAAAAAATAAATAAAAATAATAAATAAAAAATAAATAATAAAAATAAAAATAATAAATAAAAAATAAATAAAAAAAATAAAATAATAAATAAAAAATAAATAAAAAAAAATAAAAATAATAAATAAAAATAAATAAAAAAAATAAAAATAATAAATAAAAAATAAATAAAAAAATTAATAAATAAAAAATGAAAAGTAAAATAAATCAAAAAATGACAAATAAATAACAAATAAATTTAAAAAAATTTAAGGAAAAGCACAAAAATTTAAAAAAGCGGCCGTCGCATAAAAAATTCAGGTAATGATGGCGGTAGGCAAAAAATTAAAACAGTATAAAATATAATAATAAATTAAAATATCTCATTAAAAATACTTTGTATACAAGAAAACTGTTACTGTTTTATAACATCATTTTAACAAAACTAAAAACGTCTTAGACGAATGCACAATGTACGTTGATATAAAAGCTGCATAGCCATAAAATTCCGCGGAAAAATGAGTCATTTATTTCTACGGAAACCTGGCATGTCCCGCACAATGTTAATCCCCAAATAATGCACAACTAAGAACATTCTCTGGCGCTGTAAAATGCCGGCCCGAGAGGATACCGCTGTGAACGACATATAGCGGCCGTTGTATTGTCTGGTATCGACCGCATCGTCAAAACTGTTTACCTTTGCGTAACACCAGATCCGCATACATGCGCCGGCATTGTTACGGTGTTACCGGCGTCGGCAGTTTTCCCGCGTATAACTAGGTCGAACCGGACGCCGTCGACACTCGCCGGATATCGACACTCGTAATGCCAGCAAACAAAATATTGCTCAAACTTGAACTTGAATGTTACATGTACACGATGCTGGCGCATTTCACAATTTATTTCTTGGGACTATCAACTATGTTGCTCTTATGTCTGCCATTTTCTCATTCACAGGTACAACATGTCGAAAAACCATAAATTAATCTTCGGAATAATCTAGGATATTTTGTTTACTTCGGCTATAATATTTAGTTAATTAAACGATATAATTATCGAACTGCTTTCTTTAAATGTTCTCCATTACAAAAATAATAATAACTTAGATAGAACGTTTGAAATTTTTAACGTTTTGAATTTAATCATTTTAATTAGTCTTAATCTGCGCGAGCATTTTGTAATTGTTCTATGTACTGGCTGCTGCCGAAATAAAAAAAAACTTAGATAGAAACATATAATTTAAACAATAATGATTTTTTTATTAAATTATTTTTGAGCTATTAATGCTTTTAGAAAACGAATTCCTTTTCTTCCCTAAATATTTCTAATTGCAGAAATAGTAACAATTAAAAAATAGTAAATAATTTTTTATTATTAAATTCTACGTCCATACTTTTATATAATTAATAATTTTAAATTATTTTTTACGCATACGTCATTATTTTGTATTTTCCTTATTTATCTCGAGATTTCTTGGAGTTAAAATAAAGTAATGAAATTGCCAGAATTAATTTTGTTCGATAGGATGATTATCCGGACCCGGAATTCCCCGATCTCTACTCCCCGGCCGTCCGCTTCACCGTCATCCCCGAGAATTTCACCGGCCGTATCGGCTGCGACAGCGGCCGCTGTGTTTTAGAGATCTACGACGCCCACTTCCGGGAGCTGTGCAACGACACCTTCGAGCACTGCCTGGGCATGTGCCTGCAGTCCTCCGACGCCACCGCCCCTGTCCGGCAGTCCTGTGCGGCGCAATCGCGCAGCCAGTGCCAGATCGCTGTCAGCAGCGCCTGGTTCGGGAATCCCTGTCCGGGCCGGCTAAAACACCTGGTGGTGTCGTATTCCTGTAGTTGCGCGATGCCGGTGAATAGCGGAAGTGGTCCCGTGGAGAACGGCCAAGGTGCCGGTTTCTCCGTGGCGGCCATGGCGTCGCCGCTCGGCCCGACGGAGTTGAAGCCGCGCGGCAAAGACTGTGATCGCCGGATCTTCCGCACGCTGTGCACGTGACCTTTGTCGGATTCGCTGTTTGGACATTTTTTACGTTTTCTTAGACTTTCTAATGTTTTCTTTGATTTTCTCAAGTTTTCGTAGGTTTTTTTGTGTTTTCTTATGTTTTGTTTCTTAGATGTTTTCTTAAATATTCCAGCGCGCGACTCAATCGGCTGTTAAATTATTTAATTAACGTCTGCCTATTTTTGTGTGTAACATTAAAAATGTATACAGTACTATTTTTTTTGTCAACTGAATGGAGAGGCTGTGTTGTGACTCCGCTGACTTTCCATGTGTTCGCATTCAAAAATACCGGTTTGTCGTGCTGACTACCGAAGTGGAACTTATCTCTGCATCATCTGTTTCATGAGCTGCCAAATATATCATCAAAACTGCAGAGTACTAAACTTGATAGTGTACGATCTATCTGCATCATACGTTAATGCGATATGTTGAACAGGAGTGCCGCCAAACGGCGAAACAAGTGATGTATTCAGTCAGTGACGTCGAAACCGGCTCACGACGCAGCCACAACCGTTACGTATCATCGTTACGCATGATCATATGCTTGACCGCATATTTCTCTGCTGAACAACTGTGTACGTATACAGAAGTACTGTATAGACGCTGTATAGACCCGGTTTTCTTAGGTTTCTCAGGTTTCTTCAGCGCACTTAACTTCCGCGCCGGTGCAGCTTGATTGCGCAATCATTAATCAGGTCATTTAATCCGAAGGATGGGTCTTATGCGCAGAGGTGTATCTGTACATCGTAAATGTTTCTTGTTTTCGGTAAGAAGGCTGCACAGTACTTAAGAAATGCACAAGCTTTTGCCCGCTTTCCTCCGCATCGGTATTTCATTATTATCCATCGTCCTGATTGCGGAGCATGTACCTCGAATGGCCGCCATCGTGTAAGTGGAGATAGCTAGATAGTGTGCGGTGGTTGCGGGACAATTTGTCGCTGTAAGGCAATGTTGTGTTGGCGAGGTAGGGGCGTCTTCATCAATCCCAGTCTGTCCTGGCGGCATCCGTTGTGCGTGGCGCATTTAACCAAAGGTCATCCGTGCCAGCACTGTTCTCTGGACAGTTTGCACCGGAATTTCCAGTAAGGCGCCATTTACGTAGCCAGCGCAGAAACTGTATTGCCAGACTACAATATACTATACGATTCTGTGGTGTGTGCAGAAGGCAGCAGACGGATTCGCTGAGCAACAAGTCCATCGCCCTGGTCGGCGATTCCCGAATGCGCTACTTGTTCGGTTACATGCGCGGTATGCTGGACGGTCGTCAGCGTGTCCTCAGGCAATCCAAGGCCATCGTCAACGACACGCTGCATCGTGATGTACAGCGCCATATCCAACTCGTAAGCCGCTACATAATCTGACAATTATTAATTAAATAAAAAAACTAGATACCTCCATAGTGTCGTGCATGAACATTAATTTTAATGGCGACCGGTTTATAAATTTTTAAAAATAAATTAGTTTGGTGGTTGTAACGGCCGAAATACTTCTATAATAACCGGTCGATAACCGGTATTACTGTCATGTAGGCTTACTACATGCGGTACTATCCGGATGATGCGATGCGTGCGCTGCTGCACAAGTGGAGCGACGCAACCATTACCAACAGAATACCGCATTACGTCATCATGGAAACCGGTGCCGTAAGTACCAGTGCGTAATATTGCGTTGTAAGCGTAAAGGTAGTTTCCTATGGCATCACGCTGCATGCTTCGCGTTCTTGCTAACTTGCAATGTAAGTAGGCGCAGCAAGAAAGCCGGAAGAAAACCAGTTTTCTATTATAGTGGACCGCTCTTTTCCACGGTGACGCCGTCCTGGGGCAGTTTCGCAGTACGTCAATCTACTGGCACAGAAAAGCCTCGCGTACTGGTATTCCGTGAACGGTTCATTCTGTCCAGGCAATTTAACCGCTTTGGCCGGCGACTGCATCGCCTTGCGCAACCGCACCACGATCATCTGGATGCGAACACGTAGGTGGGCGGTCACATTAAGTTTACGGTTTCAAATTGTGGTCACCGGTCACCCCCCCCCCCATCGCCCCCTACTGTTTATCACTGGTCTGTCGTCATTTAAACAAAATTGAAAGTGTTAAAATTTGAAATTTCTGACATTTGTTATCGCAATTAAAACGGTTCTTTTACGCTGCACCGGGCCAATTCCTGTTCTTCCTTTGGTTCTTTTATGGAATTTTTTAAAGTTCATGCTTCGAAATGGATAAGCTGAGCTTTTACTATATTCATTGCTGGTATTTATGTTTAACAGAAAATTTGAACACCAGCAGACCAAACATGAGAACGCATACTTGAAGTGACCGAAATATGAGAAAAACCGAAGCACCTGTATAGTAAAATCTGCCGTTTTTGTTCAATGCAGTCCCGGTGAACGGTGAGCGGCTGCTCACCAGCCGCAAATGGGCGCACCGGCCCAACGGCGCTGCGCTAATGGAGCAGCTAGGACAGATCGTGGCGGAGGTGGCCCGGGACGCCGGCATCGTGGTGTGGGACGCCGCGTATGCCGACTCCAGGGAGCACATCACACTGTACAACGATGTCCTGCATCCCGGTCCCGCTCTGCGACGCAAGGTCCCCAAGAGACTATGGACGCCCATCAGTTTCCATTAAACGTAAAGCGGGATTTGTTTTTAGGCGGCATGCCAGTTGCTGTTGGCCCTGGATACGCGCCAATGCCATTGCTCCCCTGTCGCATCTTCAGACTAGTCTTTTGTTGAGGTCATCGAGTTGATATACTGTATGCCACGCTGCCAAGGAACCGAATTTTAAGAAATTGGAAATTGACAATTTTAGGAAAGCTGCCAATTTCCCATTTGTGGTGTGCCATTAAAGGCGAAATGTCAAAAAATGTCGGCTTATAACTTGGACCCGGAAAAAGGCCATATATATGGTAATCTACCGTGAATGTCAGGCAATCTACCGTGAAGCACCAAATTCTTAGCAGCCAAATTAATACTTCCGAAGGTTTGCCAGAAGCAAGATTATCAATTTTAAATTTATCTGACTATTCCTGTGACAGTTGTATAACTTTACGAGCGTGTACTGCGTTATTTCTGTCCATGTATTCCTGTACGGTACGTACGTATGTATAGTGTACGTAATATGCACTGTATAGCGAGGACAACAGATCGGTACGGTCGGGGTTGCAAACGGACACTGCTCCAGAGAGCGTGTTCAGCTTGCACTTGTCCAGTTTACGCTGGCTATGTGCGCGGTTGGAAGAAACGAACTTGGCAGTCAAGAGGAACCGCTTGCAATCCCTTCCTGCGGAACGCACCTGCCCCGGGAAAAGGTCGCCCGCACAAATGTACACACTGGGCCCAGTGGTTCACCACCCAGCAGCCGTTCTCTACCCGCCAGGCTGCCAAAGCGTCCATTTTGTGTTGCCGGAACCAGAAACGTCGATTTTGTACTTTGTCTAGCTGCTCCTGTGTTTAAGTGTAAAAATGTGAATATAAAGGCAATAGCCACCCAAATAGCAGTAGCTGCGAGCGCGGGTACATCTAGTTTAAACTTAAACAATTTTTAAAAAAAGGTTAAAAGGTTGAAGAAGTGTAAAAATGTGTAAAAATTAGAAGGTACCAAAGGATACCGGGTCGAAAATATAAATAACGCAGCAACGTGAGAGCTGCAACTGGTAGCATGATTGCGCACTTTCGTTGTTGTGGTATTTAGTGACATTTACCACTATACAATGTACGACAAAAAGAGGTTGAACCGATCAGTCGGTCCGCGGTTCAAAATAACCTCGCAACGACACGCCACCACTAAAACTTGGATGCTTACTCACTACTTTCAGACGCTCGCGCTCCGTGAATATCAAAGTGCAGCTATACTAGTTGCATATCAAAAGGTGTAGAAAAAAATTCTAAACTTTTTGATACTAAACCTGTGGATGTTTATGGCGAACAGCACAAATTCTAGCCATTTTGCTTTCTCGTAGGCACAGCATAGGATCTGTGCGCATAACCGTTTGGCTTGCAATCAATGCTTAAGTCTATGGGAAAGCAAAATGGCTAGAATTTGTGCTGTTCGCCATAAACAGCCACAGGTTTAGTATCAAAAAGTTTAAAATTTTTTTCTACACCTTTTGATATGCAACTAGTATAGCTGCACTTTGATATTCACGGAGCGCGAGCGTCTGAAAGTAGTGAGTAAGCATCCAAGTTTTAGTGGTGGCGTGTCGTTGCGAGGTTATTTTGAACCGCGGACCGACTGATCGGTTCAACCTCTTTTTGTCGTACATTGTAGTCAAACTGGCGACCAGTACCGTGGCTGCAGAATGATGTGGCTCCATAGAGTTGGTGTACGGGAAAATGGTGTACTGATCGTATTCACAAATGCATAGGAAAGGCAATTGCAAATGCTAATTTCACACATTTGCAATGCTAATTTCCCGTACACCAACTCTGTGGAGCCACTTCATCTAGAGTAGGACTACAGTACCCTTCTGATTTAATAAGATTAAACTCGTACGAGTACGTCAGGAACACGCACTAACCACAACAGCTCTAGATAGTGACAACAGGCATCTAAGGCACATGACCTTAAGATAATAAATACGACATCCGAGTGATATTGCAACAGCAGCCGGTTAAGCTGCTGTTCTAGTGGGTTGACGATCAGTCTTTACCACGATGTAGCGGCTGTAAAGTCTAACTAATAGGCAAAAGGCTGGCGCGGTCGGCGAGATGCTGACCGGAAGTAAGGTGGCAATTACAGAACTACTCTGTGTGAGATGAGACGATTCATCTCAACGTGATTAAAAAAAAACAGCGCAAGACATGGCAGTCACGGCAAGATTCTTATTAGCAAGTTTACTGGGCAAGAAGGCAAAAAGCAAGGTTAGCTAGCTAGCAAGAAGCAAATCCAAGAATGGTTCTAGTGCGCCAAAGTATAAGTCAAGAGCATCGAGAATGTAGCGGTAAACAGTAAGACAATGAGATGCGGATCCACATGATCTTAATGAGGAAGACAAGCAATGAATGAACCAATAACTGATCTAGAAAAGCAATTAACAATCCCATTTGGCGGTACTACAACTTTCTATCGTTACAATATTCTGGAGTGACTTTCGACATATCAGCTGTTACGTATATAC